CTTAGGAGGTTTTGGGAGATCGAGAGTTATGGAACTGAGCTAAATGACCGAGTCGTGTGTACTGCAGAAGAGAGATTGGCCTTAGAAAGGGTTAGCAGCTCAGTCTGCTACAACGGTGAGAGATACAGTGTTGCTGTGCCGTGGAAAGGACAGAGGCCTCAACTTCCCGATAATCGTCAGATGGCAGAATCCCGTCTTCTCAGCACAGAGAAAAACCTAAAAAAGAGAGAATTTGTTGAGAGAGAGTATAAGAAGACCATCGAGACTTATGTGGAGAAGGGGTACCTGCGTAAAGTCCCAGAAAATGAAGCACCGCCCCCTGAAGTTTGGTACCTACCACACTTTCCGATTGTTAGGATGAGCAAGTCTACAACCAAAGTAAGGATAGTCTTTGACTGTTCCGCCAAATACAAAGGAATCGCTCTTAATGATGTCATTCATGCTGGGCCGAAACTTCAGAGAGAACTCTTTGATGTTCTGATCCGCTTCCGCCGTAACCCGGTTGCCCTTGTCTGTGACATTCAAGAGATGTACCTCCAAATAGAAATTGAGTCTGAAGACCGACCGTTGTTTCGAATCCTGTGGCGAGACGGAGAAACAGGCCGCAACCCAGATGTGTATGAATTCTCTAGAGTTGTTTTCGGGAAGAACTCAGCTCCCTTCGAAGCCCAATTCATCGCCCAGGAGAATGCCAGGCGGCACCAAAGCGAGTTCCCATTAGCTGCAGAAACTGTCCTTCAGTCCACCTACATGGATGATTCGTTAGACAGTGTTGAGGAGGACGAGAAAGGAGTCGACCTGTATCACCAGCTTAATGCATTGTGGGCAAAAGCAGGCATGCACGCCCGAAAATGGGTGTCGAATTCAGCAACGGTGATGGCAGCCATACCCGAGGAGGACCGAGCCACAGAAGTGGACATAAAAGACAGTAAGGATACAGTAACGACAACGCTTGGCTTACAGTGGAACAGCACCGATGATTTATTGGCCGTGCCTGCAACACCCGTGACCGAGGGCTACCCAATTACTAAGAGGAGTGTTTTGAAGAAAATTGCAACTGTTTTTGACCCGCTTGGCCTGATAAGCCCTTTCGTCGTACAAGCGAAGATTATGCTCCAAGAACTGTGGAACCGTGGCTATGACTGGGATGAGGAGGTTCAGGACGAAGTGGCTAATCGTCTTCAGGTCTGGTTCTCACAGCTGTCATGCCTAGAAAAGGTCAAGATTCCACGGTGTCTGCAAAACCAGCAACCAGTCAAGTCGAAGGAGGTGGTGACCTTTGTTGATGCCTCAACACAGGCCTATGGAGCTGCCTCCTACTTACGCTGCGAGTATGAAGATGGTACCGTGTCCGCACAGCTGATAGCTTCTAAGAGTAAGGTTGCCCCGCTTACCCCCATGACCGTGCCAAGGCTGGAATTAATGGGAGCCATAGTGGGTTTAAGGTTAACCCAGTCCGTGTCCAGAGTCCTGAACTACCCGTGAAAGCAGCGTCGTTATTTTCCGACAGTACAGACGTGCTATGGTGGATTCGTGGAAGAGGCCGAGACTTTCGACCCTTTGTGGCAAACCGTATTGGGGAGATACAGATTAGTACTGAACCGGTACAGTGGCAACATGTCTCCACCGACAAAAATCCTGCAGACCTGTGTTCCCGAGGAACGAGCCCAGCTGAGCTTGCTAAATCCGAACTATGGTGGAATGGCCCGGAATGGCTGATGAAGGAGAAAAGTGAGTGGCCTAAGATGGAGTTAGCCGAAAAGCCCGAAAGTGATGCCCGAAATGAAGTCGACAACAAAACAGCAACAGGGTTCTACCACCCTCGTGACAGTGCAAGAAAACCAAGCTCAGAGGGACAAGCCAAGTCAGGGTGGCAGTGTTCCAGTCTGGAGATTGAACCCGAAACGCTTCTCAAGTTGGAGCCGACTGGTGAACCTACATGCTAGAGTAAGGAGGGCGCTCCACAACATGTCGAAGAGGGGTCCGCGACAGACCAGCAAAGCATTGTCACCGTGTGAAATAAGAGAAGCTGAGGCAGAGGTGGTGCAATCCTGTCAGCGCGAAGCATTCCCTGACGAATACAAAGCTCTAGTGACCGGGAGACCAATACTGACCAAGAGCCGACTAATGAAGTTGAATCCTGTGTTAGATGAAGAAGGCTGTATCCGTTCAAATGGAGGACTCCAGTTCGCAGAGTACCTGCCTTACGATGTGCGATTTCCAATGATACTGCCTCGAGGACATTGTGTCACGAAGCTCATTGTCAAGCATTATCATGAACAGGCTAACCATACAGCAGGAACCAACTTTGTCTTGTCCCAAATCAACCAGAAGTTTTGGATCATTGCAGCCCGGGAAGAGATCCGAGAGTGGGAGCGAGAGTGCAACATGTGCAAACGAATGCAGAGCAAGACCGCTACACAGATCATGGCACCGATTCCAGGGATCCGTCTTCGCTTTACCTTCCGTCCCTTTGACCAAACAGCCGTTGACTATGCTGGCCCCTTTACAACCGTACAAGGACGAGGTGTGCGCCGACAGAAGAGGTGGCTGTGTTTGTTTACTTGTCTGTCAACCCGTGCGGTCCATTTGGAGGTGGCTTTTGGTTTGGACACCGACAGTTTTCTGAATGCCTTTACACGCTTTACAAGCAGACGGGGAGCGCCAAAGGAAATGATAAGCGACTGTGGGACCAATTTTGTTGGAGCCGTCAACGAACTAAAAGAACTGATCAGTAAGCTGGACCAGGACAAGATTCAGCAAAGCACAGCCAATCGAGGTGTAACATGGAGATTCAACCCCCCCGGGGCACCACACTTTGGTGGCATTCACGAGGCCATGATAAAGTCGGCCAAGAAAGCTATTTACGGAGTAATCGGAACGAGTGACGTAACTGATGAAGAGTTAATTACCGCAGTGACTGGAGTGGAAGGACTGCTCAATGCACGACCGCTCACCTACCAGTCAGCCAACCCCAGGACATTGTACCGCTGACTCCAAACTTCTTACATGGACAGTTGGGCGGTCAATTCGCACCTGAAACCGTTGATACCACCGAGTTCAGTCCACGAAAACGTTGACGAAAGGTCCAGGAGATAATTTCCCAAGTCTGGAGGAGGTGGCTACAAGAGTACCTTCCTTTGTTAAGCAGAAGGCCAAAGTGGACCGAAGTGGTCAAGGATCTGAAGGTGGATGATGTTGTTCTCGTCCTGGATTCTAAACTGCCAAGAGGACGATGGCCTCTAGGACGCATCATCGAAACTTATACAGGAAGGGATGGCCACATCAGAGTCGCTAAGATCCAATGTGGCGCAAGCACCGTCGTTAGACCAATTCATAAACTGGTGCCCTTGCACGAAAGTTAGAACACTGAACATTTCTCGTTGTTATAGTTTTCTGTTTCAATCTTTTATCGAACAATCACACTGATCCTTACCTCCCAGTGTGGGGAGGGGGAAATGGACAAAAGACATTTCGGGTCTCGCGTCACGCAATCGCACGCGTGAGTTTTTAGTGATCAGATTTCATTTTTTTGATTGACAGTTACTCTGATTTTGTAATTCACACGCGGTCGGGTTTTTGTAGTTGTCATGAGTTGTTATCAGAACATGTAAGTTTTAGGAGCCGTAAAATTAAAACCGTGAGTTTCTTTAACCGACGAGATATCGTTTGTTGTCTTCGCAACAGTTACGCTAAGGTGTGCTGTAAACGTTACCACATCATCTTTTCAACATTTTCCTTGAAATTAAAGTGCAAAATATGTAAAAGAGGTAATTCATAATGTTTAAAAAAAAAATCACATTTTGGTCGCGTGACCAGCTACGAACTTACTCATTTTAAGAAAATGGTGCTGGTTTGAAAAACCAAATCGCTATTATTTTGTTTAAGATTTGACCAACTAATCGTTTTTCGAAGGCAAAATCATACAACCTTCATTTTCATAAAAACGATGTCACATGACCTCTTAGTGCAAATGGCCCATTGCATAAAATACAAGTTTCGCGCTGGATTCGTTCTCATCTATGACTCATCTATCTCCCAGCTAGCGAATCGGCGCGATGTAACTTCATAATTGAATAATTCACCTTTTTGGCATGTATACGATAAAATGTAGTAAAGTGAGCGTGCTGTAGAATTATACTATTTTATGAATAAGGGTCTGTTTACGTGGAGGTGGGGGACCCCATATAAGTGAGGCAACCCGCTTAGGTGGGGTAACCCGCCTGTCCATATAATTTCTAACATGGTCACCCTACCTATCATGTAAGGGTGACCAAAATAAAACGAAAGATTATGTAGACAGACGGGTTACCCCACCTAAGTGGGTTACCTTACCTATCTGTCCTACCTGGGGTCCCCCACTTCCATGTAAACAGGCCCTAAATAATTTATAAATACAGAGAGAAAAATTCATAATTTCTTGTTGTTTGTATACCTCTAAAAATCTTTTACAAGATTCTGCTAATCACCTTTCGAATTTCAGTATCCCGCACTCGTGAAGCCTCTCTGGAGATTGCAAGAGAAAAATTAACTTCACAAATCAGCCGACATATCGCGAAGCCAGCACTGGTTTCCCCGCGAAATGAGGTCTGAGGAACGTGCGCTGAAACTCCATAATTATGACGTGTCACTACCCAGTTCTGGGTAGCGCTTCTGATTGGTCGTGCCGCGTCTAATCAGAAGCATCGCTCAGATCTGGGTAATAACACGTCATCAGTATAAAATTTCTGTGCTCGTTTCTCAGATGCCATTTGGCGAGGCAACAAGTGGCGCCGCGATCGAAATCTAGGCTGTTTTCACAGGCTAGTGAAAAATGAATTTAGGCATGATTTGGACCTTGATACTGAAAAAGGCACACTGATCGCCCTTTTTGAGCTTACAAGAAAAATGTATTGATTTCAAATCTATTTGGCAGGGTTGGGGTATTATAGAGGTGTCGTGCCTTGTGTAACCTGAGGAACTATCGTCTGTTTTGTTTACAGACCGAGTTTTGTGGAACTATGAAAGTTACGATGTGGACACCTGTTTTTTGCCTCTTTGTTTGGTTTTGGCTCCCTCTACTGGGAAAAGCAGCACCGAAACCCGAGTGGATTGAGCTCTCATACCAATTCAACAATGGGACCATTTATTGGCCTACTTCTTTGGCGTTCAAGCATATCAGACTAAGCGAAAATTTTACCGGTGCTGGTTTTTATTATTCCGCCTATGACATCAGTGCTGCTGAGCATGGGGGAACCCATATTGATTCTCCAAGACACTTTGCGGCAAATAAGTGGACCACCGACCAGATACCTTTAGATCGGCTCATTGGACCTGCCATAAAGATAGATATGTCCTCCAAAGCAGCCCAGGTAATGGTTAATTTCAATTCCAATTTGGGAAACTCATGTTGAGACCCAGTACGAGTTATGATCCTAGCCTGTGCAGTAGTCTAACTTCTTTTTTTTTCTTTCTCCCCTCTATTTTGATGCTGCAAATCAGGCAGTATTGACCAACCAGTCAGACCAGTCAGTTTTATTTAAGCGTTGCGTGGACCTCTGCATTCAAACAGTTTTTCCTATAGTCCTATTAGCTTGTATGTTTTGTTTTCCATGTTCTCTAGGGAATTTGCTCTTTGTTTGTTTTTTTTTGTTGTTTGCTTTTATTTTTGTGATCATATCGCGCTGGAATGCGGGGCAATATTCCTTTTCCCCTCCAGCCGCACCTTCCTTTTCGACGCCTGCTTAGCAGGTTATTACGATACCATGCACCGTGCTGCATACATTCCGAGTCATGATCAGTTTGATGAAAAACTGAGTTAAATGTGATTTGGTAATTTTCGTTCTTTCTTCATTAGTGTCAATAAGATACCTTCCAGATATTGCTGATCTTATGCATGAAGAGCAGTAAAAATGAAACGTAAAAAAAGAAGCCATGAGTATGAGTTTCTCCTTTTGTAATTCATCCGTCTGAGACAGTCGCGAGGTTATAGTTCTTTTCCCTCCTTGTTTTCTATCGATCGAAGATCGATGAATAGTGCATGTTTCTACACGAATATAAATTGTTCGCGTTGTGGAAACGATTATGCAGAGTTGAGTTTGCTTTAAAACGCTTCTCCTTTGGCACAGTGGAATTCAGATTACATTTTGGCAGTTTTTACTAGGACGAAACTTTTTAAGCGTGATAAAGGAATCCTTAACCCTTTTAAGTTCTAAAACCAGTATTTAAGTAGATTACTGATCATGAACTTAAAATTAAACACTAGAACTAAATTAAATTTCATCTAACGCAAGCACTACTGAATTTGCATGCAAATGTGCCCAGTTATTTTCCAGTTAGCCTGCGCAGCAGGCGTTCGAAAGGGAAGGGGAAAGGGAATGAAATTTGGGCGCGAGACCGCGCGCTTCTCTTGTGCGTAGAATCCCCTTTTCCTCCCTTTCCAACTATTTTCCATTCTGAGATTGCGATCAAGACGGGTCGTTAATCAAACTGCACTGTAGAACTGTTTTTGACGACTAGTTTTGAGTTAGTTTTCTACACAATCTTATAGTAAGCCAATAAAAGAAACGATAGCATCCCAAAAATAGTCCATGCATGGTAGACTTCGGCGCAAAAGTGATCCCGTCTCCATGCGCAACCTCAAATGTGGCCAAAGTAAACTGTCAAGAGTAGATAGTCGAGAAACATGATGCACCTCCTAGAAACCTGTCTATCATAGTGCCCTATTAATTAACAGACCCGCCGTAAAATCAGTCGATGATTTGTTCCTCAGAACCGTGATTACCAGGTGTTGCCTAGTGACTTAGAAGCCTGGGAAGAGAAGAACGGAAAGATTCCTGATGATATCATATTGCTTCTGTTTTTTGACTGGGGAAAGCGTTGGCCAGACAAACTAACTTACCTCGGTACTGACACGAATGACACGTCCTTGCTGCATTTCCCAGGTAAGGAAATCACCATCACTGCATTTTTTTTTCTTTGTTTTCTGAGAGTTACCGGTATCCACTCCAACTTTCGGCTCAGGTTCGGCTCAGGGGCCCGTTTCTCGAAAGTCCCGGTAACTTAACGGACCCGGAATCATATTTTTGAATCAAAGTCTCAAGAAAAGTAGGGTGTGTTCTGTCCTCTAATGAAGTCCATTTTGTTTCGTTAGCTAATAACTCTACTGTATAATTTTCAAAACTTCTAAAACTCCCTTCTAAAATGGAAAACAAAACAGCTTAACGGGCTCGGTAATTACCGGGAGCTTCGAGAAACGGGCCCCAGGGGCCCGTTTCTCGAAAGTCCCGATAATTAACGGGCCCGGTAAGCTGTCTCGGTTTCCACTAAAGATCGAGGTTTCAATAGTTTTGCATCTAACATGTTAAAACTGTCAGTTAATGAAACAAAATGCAGTAGTTTGCTAGCCAGGACCCGCGCTCTTATTCTTTATATTTCGATTTGAATATTTGATTTCGGGCCGGTAAAGGTACCGGGACTTTCGAGAAACGTGCCCCAGGTTCCCTTCCTCGCTGTACATGCATTATTCTTCATCCTGCACCTGACTCGCCCATTTTTTGTTTTATATTTTAATTCAATGTTAATGAGACAATCGCGTGGAAGATGCGCGTTGGGGGAGATGAAAAGGAGGTTTCTTTCTTTTCCAACTCTTTCCTTCCCATCGTCCTATTCGCCAAGAAGCCGTAATAGTCCTCCGCGAGCCTTCCGTGACCGCTTTCAAATAACATGAAAGACGACTAGAGACGAGTCAACTTCATCAGTACACATCATCATCATCATCGTCATCTTACCCTCCCCCTCCCCCTCTTTCTTTCATTTTTAGGCTGTCGTTGCATTTTTCGCGAGGTAAAACAAAAATCCTGTTTCTCATATTCAGCCTCAGACAAATCATCGTCAGTAAAGTTACATAGTCACAAAAGCCCAACAGATTTCTTTGTTCCATGTTTTCTTTGCTTTTTAGACTACTTGTGTACACAATGTGAATACTATTCCTATTCAAGACCTTCAACGTTGTGCACTGTCAGGGCTCCTGGCACAATCAAATGCGAGTCGACTAAGTAATAAACAAACTCATGAAACAAAGAAATCTGTTGGACCCTTATATCCATTGCACCTCTGCACAAAAGCTTTGTCCAAATTAATTTTATGTCATTTATACCTGAATTTATTTTTGCATGTTTGCATTTAGGGATACACCCTAATGCCTCCCGTTGGTTGGTAAAAAATCGCAAGATCAAGTTGATTGGTGTAGACACAGCATCTATCGACTACGGACAATCGACACTTTATGAATCACATCAAATTCTTTACGAGAGGAATATTCCAGGCCTAGAAAATGTCGCCCACATGGACAAGTTACCCATAAAAGGCTTCACGTTGTACGCAGCTCCAATGTTTATCACTGGTGGTAGCGGAGGGCCTTGCAGAATCTTTGCTCGTCTGGATAAAGAAGACTGCACTGTGAATGCTGCTATCAGGCTGAGAAGTGTGAACATTTTTCTGGTTACAACTGTTTTCATGTTCTTGATTTTTCTGTAATTTTCTCTATTGTTGCAATGGAAGTTTGTGTGTGTGTGTTCTTTTTTTGTTTTTTGTTTTTTTTTTTCGATTACACAGTGCATCGCAAATGGTCAGTTCACTTTAATATTGCTCTTTAAAAGACGTTTCTGCAAATGATCTTCCATAGCAGGTTTCGATCAGTCTGAATAGAAGGTCCGGTGATGATGACCATGTTATGGGTGCAAAAATTTAGTTCGAGTTAGCGGGGAATTCGAGTTATCCGAGTTCGAGTTATCGAGGTCCTACTGTAGTTTATCATAAGTTATGCTAAATTCGTAACAGAACTTCGCGTCTTCCAATTCGATCTGTAATCATACCCGCCGGCCTAAACAAATCGGATTTTGTTGATCATTCGTATGATTACAGAGAGAACTGGAGTCAACTCAGTCCTATGACCATTATGAATGGTCAGAATGGTGAAATGTACTTACTATATATGACAGGAAGTAAAACTGGAAAATAAAGTGATCATTGACTCATTCATCCACTTAATATGCATTTATTAACATAACTGTGGTTAAACCCAGACAACATCAAATTCTTTACAAAGATGAAGGCAATGGTGCTGCCCTTATGACTTTTATATGTTGGACGCTCTCTGACCGCCCAAAATCCTTTGTCTCTCGTTTACAACCGAATACAACAAGTTAAAAATGAGACCTTTCTAATGATCAGTTGATTCAAAATGATAGGAATGCTATTCAAATTGTGTGAGCAAGTCCAAAAAGTAAACGAAACATGCAACAAAGAAATCCGTTGGGCTTTACAATTTGGATACAATTATTGCACTTTTTACTTTAGGAGGCTAAGTGCTGATATCGATGATACCGATGTAGTCGTCTCTTATCATTTTTAACGGTGTATTTCCACTGTCCCTGATTTAAAAGTGCCTAAAATAAAATAGAGGCAATGTATGAAGTGTCGCGCTTACTGACGCTAAAATTGAGGGAGGTTCAATTTAAATGTTTACGCGCTCCTTGTTGTGCCCAATTTATGACGCACGTAAAATTTACGCGCATTCGCACATAAAGATTACGCGATATTGGACTGAATTCACCCTTTGAAGTCAGGTGAGGGTTGTGGGATCTCGTGATAGACTATTACAACATCTCGGCGAATAGAAGGGGATAATAGGAAAGAGAGAGTGGGAAAAAGAAGAGACCCCCTTCCAATCTTCCCTCATGTGCATCTTCCACCCGGAAAATATTTTCTAAACACTAAATTTTTTTCTAAACACGTGGGAATGACATGACGAAACTTTGCGTAAAAACAAGTTTCAAACGAACAGACTTTAATGTATTCGACCGGCCAACGCTAGGGCCATGCTAGGGCCTTTTCCCGCCCCCTTTTATCTAAGTGACCTAATAAAGAGGGGAAATGTGACGTCACGTTACCATGATAGCAAAATTTTTGGACCTAAATAATCTTTCTTGACAGAGACGGCCATTTGTGTTGTCCCAATGGAAGAAAGCTGTTATGAGCTACTGTTTTGTTCCTGAGTGCAATCACGCATAGGAAAGTCATACATGTGGTGGTTCCCTCCCCGATTTACCGATTGCGGCTCAGGCCATCCTCCTTTTTTGCTCCGTTTAGCGTCGTCCGTCCGACCCAAATTTTTGGCATTTTCAAACAAAAAGAAAAAAAGTAACGACGTAGTTAAACCACTTTTCACTTGAAATAATTCTTTTAATCTGAAAAATGAGCATAGTAACAACATAGAGAAAAAGAGGAACAAACACAGGAACCTTTTGTACAGTATTGTGCATTTGGTTAGGGACTTTATTAGATTTATTGCCATTTGTGACACAATACCAACCCTCAGTGTCTACTATAAAGGAAGCTTGAATAATAAAAATGGAATCTTATACAAAACCAACCATAACTTTAATAAATTTTTAAAGAACCACCAATCATGTCCTTACAAAAAAGGAAAATCATTAAAGGGCATGCTCGTTAGAGCCAAAAAAAAAAGGTTAACAAAGGGTTCACGGGATGAGCGGCCTGTCACCCGTTGCATTTTCTCGCACCACAGGTTAGTGAGTATTTTAGCAATAATTCCAGCTGGCTGTGTTTTATATAACAAGTGTGGTCACCTGTCTCGTTATTAGTTAGTGCTTATCTATCTAATAAAATAGGGTGACCCACCCCATAAGGGTAGCCACAAATTGCACGACCCACCCCTTGCACAAGGCTCAAAACCTCATGACCCACCCCCTCTCTGCTCGGGCCCACCCCCCTTATACTTTTTGATCAGTCCCTTAATCCAAGTATGTAAATGTTGGGATGGCCTCATCAGAAAAGAGAGATGCGAGGGCATTGATTGACATGCTTGCAATATTGAGGGACCTAAAAATCTACCAATCAAAACCTGAGCATTACCTTTGCAAAAATTCATTTCAATGTAATATTTACTAGCCTGTTGTTCTCTTAAGCGTCACCAGATTAAGGGATTAGCCCCACGTTTTGTATCTCAACGTACTGCTAATGATTTCTTCTAAAGGCACCAAGAGCCGTTGAAATTTTGAGTGAATTACCCGTCATTCGCCCGCCCCATTTTCAGGGATTGTAACCGATCATGATTTCGGCTAATTTCAGGTTCTAAAACTTATTTTTGATAAGGAAACAGCACTGTGATGGTCAGGAGACGGAAGCAAGACAGGACCTGGGAACGAGTTGAGTCCCATGCTGAACAATTTGCTGAACAACAATACGAACAACAACGCTGAACGACCTGCAGAGTGCTGGCATGACATGACCATAGTGTTTGGTACTAAATTTCTTAAGTGGCGTAATTTTTTTAGTTAAAGAAATCCTGGCTAGTGAACAAACACACTCGCATCACATGGGGAAGCCAAACAACCAGGACAAAACCACTCGGAGAAATGACCAAGCACACGATCAGGATGTTGTCAGAGCAAACGGCCATGCTGGCAAGAAAGATAACCGGCCTTTCAGTATCAATTGCGAGTGGGATATCAAACAAACCCAGCAGTTCTCCGATGATGGAACTAATACCTATTTCTGGTAAGCCGAGAGAAGTTAATTTCTAAAGGAAACGTGTTAATGTACTCCCCCAGTTATTAAATAACACTTGAATTCGGGTGCATTTTCATGCCTCTGTCTGAATACGTATTTGTAAGCTCAAATTACTTAAACTTAATTCTTAATAATGCATAATGAAGCGTAATGCTAGACACTTTTGTAAGATGCATCTGGTCACCTTAAACTTTAATATTTTGATATTTCACAAATGGAAGTGTTTCGTTTCTTTTGCCCCGCGATCGTCACATGTCATGCCGTCGAAAAGCAAATTAGGCTAATTGATCTGGACATTCTGTAATGTCAATGTAATGGCCCCGGTAACCCACCTTTCTTAGCTTTCAGTTCAAATACAGCAGTGTTATATTTATTTCTTGTGTTTAGATATCCACAAGACCACTGACAGAAGATGTCTTATTCTTTGTTCAAAGGTCCCCTGTTTGATGGTCATGAGTTTAAGCTTATTACCTATAGGTCAAATCAAAATTTAGTTCAAAGCTAATCACACATTTACATACCCGAAAAAAAAGAAAGATAGAAATTAAACCAAGGATAAAATCGAAACACAACAATAACACTGTAGCAGTCAGGGGGAGGGGTGACAAAAATGTGGAAGAGGGTGCATGTGGGGATACAACTGATGGCATGGTAATTGAGTGTGATGAGGTAACTTGTAGTGTCTGCAAGTAATCCCAAATCTTCACAGTTATATTTCTATTCTGCCAACAATCAGGGCTGTCATTAAGAGGTAGGGGCTGGGGATTTCCCCCATCTATTTTCAGGGTAGTCTGCTACATAGCCGTTTTTAGTGTCGTCACGCAATGTTCCTCCACACTAACGGCTGCTGAAAACCGAACTACATTCCTTTCCCTTTGTGTTTGTGGTCAAACGAACAAACCAATCACGTACAAGAAATTTGACAATACGTGAACCGCAGGGCGCTAGGAAGCGAGCACGCTTCTCAGTTTTCGACAATTCAATCAATCATCGCTGAATTTAGACGGGCTCTGTGTTTTCAAGCAACGAAAAGGTTAATTTGCAAAAGAGTTTGTTTTAAGCGGTCAAGAAAGTTCCAAGTGAAAAAAAAGGTTTGATAGGCCTAGAAGACTTTTACCAGGATCGGTTGGTTCTTCATTTGACTTGCATATGTGCTGATATATAATGAAGAATTTAATGTACCGGATGTGCTCATTGTGTTCCTGTGAAGACTAACCTCTCAAGTGTACTGATTCAAAAAGCAATCTTGAGCGATTTCTCGAAACTATACCTGGCAACTTTATGAGCACATCCACGTTGTGCATCGTAATTTGCTCGACTTGCTTGCTGTTGCTGCTTATCTCCTAAATTTCGAATAGGACCCGACTACGACAACACTGTAGTTAATTGCTTGTTTTCACGCGATGATTTTGACTATTCTGTCATTCACACATGGGGCAACGATAAAAGCAAAGCTGTGATTGGAGGAGTCACAGTACCACAAAGTGGCGGGAACACCTTCCAGAAAATGGGAGCTGAATTATAATTGGCTAATCTCGGGAAAGGAATGTAGTTCGGTTTTCAGCAGCCGTTAGTGGGGAGGAGCATTGCTTGACGACACTAAAAACGGCTGTGTAGCAGACTATTTTCAGGGGAAAGTAGATGAAAAATAGGATTAAAAGAAATCCGTGGCTGTTTTTTTCCTGGCCTCTACTTGTTATAATAATAACTATTTACTGGGCAACGTGAAATCTTATAGTGACATCCCTGCAACATTTCAGTTTTGAGTTTGGCTCAACAGTGGTGGCAGAGTCTAATGGTTGCCGTAGTGCAATAGCAAGGGCACAGTAATTTCATGAGAATTTCTGTTGTTGCGATGTGAATTGTCAAATGCTTTTGAGAGTTGCATTTATTGTTATTGTTATGTATTAGTATTATACACTTCAAACAGATTTTTCAGTCTTAATCTTAATCAGTAAAACTATAGTTTTGGGACTAACTCTGACTGCTAGAAAGAATACCTGCCAACTTTTTCTCAGTCATATGCTTGACATTTTCACCTCTTCATGACCTGGATTTCCAAAAATGAAAAACAAGACTTTTGAATGTGCTCAAAAATGTCCCAAGGTGTTGCATAACCTGAGATCAGGCATTATTATTTTCTTTACTTCTTTGCTTCTTTGACTCGAGAGGGAAAAAAGTAATGCCTTATACATTGATTTAACAAGCCGTCAACCGCCTTCTAATTTACATAATCTAATGTCTGCTTGACCTGTCATGTTATTAGCCAATCAGTGTTTACCAAACGGGAATCAAATTTTGGAGCGAATAATGTCTCTTTTGAAATTAATTTTAGGGAAAAGAAATCAAAGTACTCCATTTTGACACTCCTTAAAAAGCGAGCACAGGAATTTCGTTTAGTACTGCATGCAGGCTCCTTGATGAGCCCTTGTGTTTTTGGAACAATTTCAAGGTGGTTGCATTTCAGCAAAACGACGGATTTGAACATGTTCATCCAACAGTAAATCACTTTAATTTATAATCAATTAATAATTAATTGCAAGGAAACACACAAATGAAAACACGGGACAATGCTTCATCAACTTTCTTCAGTGATCTTGTCTTTGAAATACTGGCCTGGTTTTAGGTTTCAACGTAAGCTTCTGTTGGCTTTTATCTTTTTTTAAAGCCAGGTTTCACTGATTTTCCCACTAAGTATAAAGTCAGGTGGCCCGCCTAGTATTAAGGTATCATACACCCTCAAGCACCCTTCTCATGTTGATCAGCTCTAGCGCTTTTGCTTTTAATAAATACCCCCATAAACCATACATTTTCTGAAAGCTTAATAGTTCCAGAATATTGTTTATTCTTTTTAAGAAATTCAAAATATTTTAAAATGCAATTTAGAAATGAGAAGCTTTTTGTGAAAGTGGGTGCCACTCTAAAGTTAAGTCGAGGCCAGCCAAACATAAGTGGAAGAAGCCAATTAAGATCGCATTTGCTTCGGTTGACTGAAAAAAACCGTGTCTCAGATTTTTGTCAAGTGCGTTTGTTCTGTTGTTATAAGCAGTTGAAGTTAGGGATAGCAAATCATTAGAGCTACCTGTGAAAAAAATACTTTTCCTCGAAAACGAAAAAAGAAATCAAAATTCGCAAACATATTTTTTAGAAAAACTATCTGACAATAAGTTGGCCAAATTTCAGCCAAATTGGTTCATGGGTTGCCGACTTGGAGTTTAAAATGTACCCTCAACTTGCCCTGAGTTTCATTTCTAGAAAAAACTGGGAGAAGATTTTTGGCGGCATATCACCCATGACGAGATTATAACAGATTATAACACCAAAGCTGTCAATGTTGATGTATACCAGAGAAGGGACAACAATAGTGACACAGCAGGAAAAGTTAAAAACGAAACCCGACAACAGATGAACAATTTATTTCAAAGGCTCTGCTCTGTTCCATCCTTTCTGTTGTCAAGAAAGTATCTTTAGTTATTTGGTACGGGCAGTTTTCATTTTCGCACCACAAGGATAAAATGGTTAGGCATAAATATACCCATCTACTAAAATTGTAGGGCCACCTGAATTAAAGTAATTTTGACTACCATTTTCCTTTGTCATTTCTGTGAATAGAAGGGGAAATTCAACACAAGTGGAAATTATCCTCGCAGTTAAATGAACAACCTATAAGCAGTTAAAAAATTAATAGGCTGAAAAAATTTAGGCTTGACCCTGAATCAATCCTGACCTTGTGACGACCAGACACAATGATCTATCCATTTTTGGCTATATAATCAAGCCAACTGAAAAGCGGGCCAATGCAAGTTCGTAATATAAATGTGCCCAGATGGTTGAAATGACATGAATCGAAATATATAAAATGACTCATATTGTGGACTGCAGATAAATATACATGTACATAAGATCAGAAGCTGCTGTACATGTGAGTCACTTTATAAGGCCTCGCTCATTTTCCCCTTAACTTATAGTTTCAATTAATAGTACGATAAAAGGTTATGCTTCTACAACAATAATGATAATAATATTCTTGAAATCACCCTTTCTGCAATGTTTTTTCAAGGCGAGCACATACTGTAACTGTCCTGATGATTATGCTGTGTGTCCTTGTCTATGTTGGAGTGTTTGAAAAACCCCATAAAGACCATGAATACAATACAAAGAGGTAAGGTGTGTTAATTATTATTTGTTTAACATTTTAAATGCTGCTTGACATCTACTAACACCCATCTCATCTCCTCCTTTTACTCTTAGCTATCTCTATAGCTTCCTTCCTTGCCCTCATGTGATTTGTCTGTGATTATAAAAAAATATCCCAATTTTACGTACTCAAACGATTGGACATTCTGCAGATTTAGGCAGACACTTGAGAGTGCAGAGGTGTTGTGGCTGACCATCACCTTGAAGTTTCCTTAGACAAGAAAATTGGCTCCACTTTGTCTCTCTTCATCCAACTTGTAAACATACCATAAAATTCCAAAAATAAGCCCCTCCATGTATAAGCTCCTCCAAATATAAGCCCCCCAAACTCGTAACGCAAAAAACCCTCCGTTAAATCTCCCCTCCAAATATAAGCACCCCGGCGGGCTTGTACTTGGAAATTGCCCTCAGATACAAAGTAAAACAAAGCAAAAATGGTAAATTTCCTTCCAACTATAAGGCTAGCCGAATCAATTTTAGGATGCAAATTTCCTTCCGTAGATAAGCCCATCCGAATACAAGCCCCTCCAAAAATAAGCCCCTCAAAAAGGGCCTTTGAAACATATAAGCCCCGGGGCTTATTTTCGGAATTTTACGGTATACATGTATACTGGGGACATTAGAAGTTCCAGGGACCCAGGTACCAACAACATTAACATTGTTCCGTGAGCAACACAGTACTCAACTCCAGGGGAAATAAAGAAGCCACCTCTCAAACCAGCTTCTAATTGACCCTTCCACAGTTTTTTTTTTTAAGTTTTGATGAAGGCAAGTAAGCAAATATCATTGACAATGCTGGGGAGAGCAACTTTTAATAGTGAATTTACCAAGTTAAAAAGTGATACAAATATCCATAGCAAGCAAAGATACGTGTATTGAAGTTACGTAATTTTACAGATATTTGTACACTGCATAAAAACAAACATAAAAACATCTGTAAAATTCATTAACTTTGGGGAGCTACACCTTCGTTCAACAAATCACTTTTGAACCCTATCACTTTTTAAGATCTTCTTTTCTGCCGTGTTGAGGGATTTTTGCTAACTGGTCTCAAACAAAGTTGAATTAAACCAAGGAAAGGTCTTATGTTCCTCCATACTCTAACAGTGAAAACCCTGGATGTCACATACTGATTGGGTTAAAATGGACTTAAGCATTTTCCATTCAGTCGTGGGTGAGCTATACTCGCACTACTCATAGGTGCATTTTGCTACACTAAGCCCATTGATACAGAGTCTTGAATTCTTGAAAAAGTCTGGAAATTTGCCCAGTAATTTTCCAGACCTGGTAAAACTCTTGGAGGGGGTGAATAGGGGTATGCAAATCCGCCGATCCGTTATGATTTATTAACCAAATCCGCCCTTTCATTTTCACCCTGAATCTGAAATCCAGGCAAAAAATTTCAATTACACGCACAGTCCAAGATCTGGGTCCAAAAAATAGATGAATCCACAATCCGCTGCAATTGTAGGATCCGGAAATCCGTTAAAATCTCGCTTTGAATCCGAAATCCGGGCAAAAATAGTTTTCAAAATCCGCCGTTCCATTTGCCTATTCACCCCCCTCCTCTTGAAAATAGAGAAAAAGTGTGCAAAAATAGTTGTTAGGCAGAGTTTTTTTTTTTTTTCATAGCTACAACAACTGCTTAATAAGTGCAAATTTTTTTCCTGTGGTCAATTCCCATTCAATCTCGCCCATAACCAAGACATTTAATCACAGAATGAGAAGTTTCAAAAGTTTCATAATTCTCTTACGTTGTATGTCCACGTTGCACCTTGGTTACCGTACATTTGCAGTGCATCATGAAAAAAGCTTGTTTCCTGTGTTTTTCAAGGTCTCGATATTGAACACCTATTTGTTAACCTTGCATCTGGAAAAATAAAGTATTGTTTTGAAAAAGTCTTGAATTTTAGATCCAAAAAGCTGCATGAACCCTGTAAGCCAAGGCAGGTTCCAGCCTTTTGGCCTTTTATTAATCCTTTAAGCCCCAATATTCACATACAAATACTCCAAACTGGTTGTTCTATACATTTTCGTGAAGGATAAGTTGAGAGAATTTGATAATAGATCAAGGCATTTTCTGTGTGGTGATCATTTTATTAATTCTCATAACCTTATCTCTTGACAATGTATGGATATCATTGGGAGAAAATTGATGTTGATCACTATTGGGACTTAAAGGGTTGATGTCTTTACCTTTTGTTTTTGTTTCTTATTTCAGGGGCCTCATAGCATGTATTGCAGTGTTTTTATTATTTGGTGTGACACAAATTAGAGATGGTCCTTTTAAAAGACCACACCCAGGTAGGCATGGCATGGCAAGTTGCTTTTACTTTGGATTTATTTTTCGTGTTTTCACCCAATAAGTTAAAAATGGAGCTGGTGAATGGTCTAAGAGAAATTATCCCAAGCCCATATCCAAGGACAATAATGTTGAAATTTTGTCCTTTTGTATTTATAATATTATTAATAAACATGTTGTGACAGGTTTGAACCCAGTAGTCATTTCATGTTAAGTTGAGTATAATCATCTGGGTGAACGCAGTCCTGAATATGGGACTGTTGTTGTTGACATTGACTGATGTTTCAGCAACCTGTGTGGTAGTCAAATTCAGAGTCCAAGTGAGTTGTGTCACGTCAGTTGATGGTACTTTTATTAAACTACCATCATCTGATGTGATACTATCAACTGACGTGATGCAACTCACTTTTACTCTGAAGATGACTACCACACAGGTTGTCGAAACATCAGTCACTGTCAACAACAACAGTCCTATTCAGGACTACGTTCACCCCGATGACCATACTCTACCTACTTGCGAAATAAATATGTTATTTACTCACTTATTTCCCATTACTTACATGCATTGCTTTTGAAGATTTCTTGCATGTGTTGTTTTAATTTTACGTGGTCATTTATCTATCATTGATTTTATTTTTTTGATTGCAGCATTTTGGCGACTCATTCTCTGTTTAAGTGTCATTTATGAGCTGGCCCTCATTTTCTTGCTATTTCAGGTACATGTATGGGTAAAGGGAGTGAACTAAACCTTCCTTGTTCCCTGCTATTTCAATTCACTGTTAGATACCATTAAGTGTTAGAAGAACTTGCTATGACTTATACTTAAGCTGTCTAATAATCAGTGTGAATCTTTTTAGACAACTGATGATGCCAGACAATTGCTGAAGTATCTTGATGAAGATTTGGGCAAATCTTTGCCAGAGCAGTCTTATGGTGAAGACTGCAGGCTGTACACACCTGAAGATCCGAGGGGACCTTTTCACAACTTTTTGGTAGGTGGCACAGATTAATAGCTGATAATTAAAATTAATAGCAAAAGTGTGATCTGCAAGTTAGAGGATAGTATACAGTAGTAGTGATTCATAAAGTACAGCCAGGTGCTAAGAACATTGCTTCAGCATTGATGATGGTGCCAATCACTTTTTGGGAATATTTTGAGTTGCAGTGTAAATAATTTACTAAAAAAGGAAAATCAGGGCCAAAGGAGTGATCTGCGCTCGTTCGCATCATCCTTCTCTTTCCCGTCTTTGCTTGTCTCCAGCACCCCGGGCCACTTATAAAGTACAGTGTACAGCTGTACATGCTCCTCACCAAGCCTTGGAAAAGCTTGCCTCCGTCACAGACGCTCTAAACCTTCTATATTAATGGTTTGGACGAGTGCCAGGCTAGGAAAAGCCTGTGTAGGAAAAAGTAGCTAGTGATTTGTTGCCGACTCCTGCTCAGTGCTGCTTGCTCTATGTCACTGCTAAGATATTAAAATGTCACAAATGAAAGGACAATTAAAACTAGACTACTGACGAGTAGTCCCCCATTTTTCCTCAGGGATAGTAGAGCGAGCGAAACGCGAGCGCGCGTGAAAATCACCCCACGCGAGAAAAGGCGACACGCGGCATTTTTCTCTCTCCCTGCCGCGTGTCGCCTTTTCTCGCGTGGGGTGATTTTCTATCCCTGAGGAAAAATAGGGGCCTACTCGTAGTCTAAATTATAACAGGTAATCTCCCTGTATTAGGCACTTGTGGTAATCTCAAGTCTTAGGCGTAGAGGGTTTTATGGGCTGCTGCTAATTAAATCAGTCCGTTAGCAATGTCCTCTCTCCCACTCCATTTAGAAATTAATGAATGGCTCCTTAATCAATGTCCTTCAGTAGTTAGTTATTTTTTCACTGGTTTACCAGTCACACTGCATGCAGATGAATAATCAGTGACTTTGTTAAATGCTTTCTTTTTGTACAGGAAAAGTGTGATGTCTTTCTCCCAGCTCATTTCTTTGGTTGGTGGGCAAAGGTAAGTTCGATTATTTGTATGCATATGTACTCCAATAACGTAACTAATAAGAAGGGAGAGCATGCTCCCAGATTCCAATAAGATACCAGTGACCCTATGATACACCATTTCTACCTACAGGTATGGGTAGGCAACCATGTTTGCCACGTAGTTAGAAAGAGCGACCATTATTTCCCAGATGAGATAATGGCGTTACCATTCCACCCGGTAGTCTATCTGTTTCTCCGGGGTAACAGGCAATCTATCCGTATTTACGGCTGCGCGTATGGGAAATTCACCCGTTCCCGTACACGAAAATAGGGAGTTTAAGATACCACGACGGCGACGGCGACGGCGACGGCCTCGAAAACGTCGATTCAAAAGTGAATTTGCGTTCTTTCAATCTCTATCACGATTACTCCTACTCATTTACTACGTCAAATGCAAACGAACTCTTTTTTGAGCCGAATTCCTAAGAATCATATTCAAGTTCAGAACGAGAAAGAAACTTCAGCCGTCGCTTGTTTAAGACTTCCATAAAACGTGAAGATAGGCATTTTCCCGTCGTAGTCGTGCAGTGACGGCAAAGAAATGTACAAAAAAGCGTGATGCACGTGCAGAGTTGTTATTTTGCCTATTCAACCTATTGCTTTTTTGACGTTCTTGTCGTCGGGGCCGGCGTGGCATCTTAAAGTCCCTACTGGTGCATGTTAAGGTCTCTACTGTTGTAGGATTTTCTCCCCCCTCTAACCTGCATATCCAGCCGCGTTTGCAGTCATCACTTAGAACTCTCCTTTTTGGGTAGAGAGAACCGACGAGCCGAAATACTTCTCCGTTTGCAGGTTGCAGGCTATCCCTTCTCCCTCTAGAAACATTCCTGCCTAAGCTTTTGCGCACCTTTGTTAATAGACTGCAAAACAGTCGGTTTTTTTCTCAAAATCAGTAAAGAAATCGGTAAAGCGTGGCGTAAGAGTCTTACGCGCGCTTCGCGCGCGAGCCTCACACGCCCGTAGGGCTTGTGAGGCCAGAGAAGAAGACGTATTTTTGGCGTCTCTCCCCAGTCTCGCTCTCTGTTTTCAGCCTCGTTCCAGACCTTTTGTCAGACTGCTCGCGCGTACTTGAATACGCCAAAAGACGGACTGTTTTGGAGTCTACTTTGTTCCAAGTACAACTGTACCTGTATTTATTTTACCTTTTTCTCTTTTTTTTCCTTTTTCTTCCAGGCTCTTATTCTTCGTGATTACTGGTTGTTAACTGTAATAAGTGTTCTCTTTGAAGTACTGGAATATTCATTGGAGCATCAATTACCAAACTTCAGTGAATGTTGGTGGGACCATGTATGTAACTGTCATGATACGTGTTAATCTGTTTTAGTTGACAATCTTTTACTGTCGGCTGTCTGAATGTGTTTTTCTTTTTTCACGGTTTACGAGATAGTTGTTTTTAGTGCAATCGACTCCCGATAACTCGAACTTTCAAGGGAAATCGAAAAAAGTTCGAGTTATCGTGAGTTCGAGTTATTGGGAGCTAGAAAAAATTAGCCGGAAGTAAGGGAAAAACAAGTCTTAACTGTACAGTGAACATTTTAATCTCATTTAATTGTAGAAATGTTAGGTGAAAATTGAAAGATAAGATACTTCTAGATTATAAATCAGAACGTAACGTGATAAAACATAGCCTAAATAGAGCATGCGCTTTACTGTTTTGAGAAGTAAAGCTGTTTCACGTTAGATTTGTGACAAAAACCGACGTCTGCCTTCGCTTGTAAACTATATGCCTACAACACGTCAATAGGAAATTCAAAATGCAATTTTTCGGACGCCAGTACACGGTTTTTTTGCCCGACTTTATAAGCGCTCAAAACTTGGTTCGAGTTATCGAGAGTAAAATTATATAGAAATCAGATAAATGATCTGAGGGGAATCAAAAATTACTTCGAGTTAGCGGGAGGTACTAAGGCCAAGACTTATTAGATCAGTACATATCATATATTTTTTTATTATTATTTATTTATTTATGTAATTTAGTTTTTTTCCATATAGTGGGTTATGGATGTGATTGTGTGTAATGGTTTTGGAGCATATCTTGGAATGAAGACATGTGAATATCTAGGAAATAAAGTAAGTTCTCTATTAAACACACTTAATAACTGTTCTCAATGAAGTTTAGCCAAGTTGCATTTAGGCAATGATGCCGAGGCTTTGTTCACACTATACTGGATAGCTTTTGCACCGCCACGAAAACCATACCGGATCGATAGGGCTTCTGTTCACACTAAGAACGGTTGTAGCGGTGTGACGGAGCGAGGCTCTGCCGCGCCAATCTCTAAAGGGGGAAGATACATGCTGAAAAGGTGTTCACACTATAACGGATAGCTTTTCGTGGCGCTACGAAAAGGTATCCCATATAGTGCAGGGGCGGATCTAGGGGGAGGGTGCAGGGGGTGCGCACCCCCCCTGAGATGACCTGCGGTTTTCTAATACAACTGGTATTCTGCAAAAAAAAAACTATGTGGTTTATTGGTGTTGAAGTAGAGCAAGAGACGAGTGCACCCCCTCCTAAAAAAAATCCTGGATCCGCCCCTGTAGTGTGAACATAATCTCAGATGAGGCATATTTGTGAAGTCTAATTTCTATAATATGATCGGTACAATTGCTAAAAAAAAAAAACTAACGACCTGAACTGTCATTTAAAAACCAGTCTTAAAGTTGAACTGAAGTCTATCTTAGCTTCCTTTGCTGCAGTGATCCCTACACGGTCCTTTAAGAGATAGTTTTCAGATGATCACTGAACGCCTATAGTGGAACTTTTATTTAAGGATCGTAGCAATCGCAACGAGCAAATGGAAACCAGTCTTAAAAGGTGTTATAATCTTACAATATTTACACTTCAATTTGTAAAATACCGCCCTCCCTCACACAAACTCATTACGCTTGACTTGTCGCAGTGCTAATTCAATTCAGATTTCAATGGCTGAAGACCGCTGGTTATACTCCTGTACCTTATCCCATATGAGAGATTTATACGGTAACCTTTTTAGATTTGGGTTAATTCATTATAATTGTCATCGTTATCATAATTATTGTCATTATTATCGTTTGTTTTCCTATGTTCAGCCATATCATTGGAGAGGGTTATGGAATATTCCCTCCTACAGGTACGTGTCTCTGTACTGTGTCACTGTTACTTTTTAAAGTTGAAAGGGATAATGCTTACTCTTGTTCAATCTTCTTCATGTTAGGCTCAATTTGCAGGTACGCCATTCGTCATCAAAAAGCCGCGCGTAGGTTTTTAAGATTTCGCTTTTGGAAAGCGAGAAAGCAAGTTTTATCAGCGCAACCTGACCAATTTGAGCCCTTTCTTCTCTTATTGTGAGCTTTTCTTAGCCAGCCCGCATTCAAATTTTCCGCTTCGCTGATTATGAATAATTAATGATGTCCCTCCATTCTCCGCGATGAAGCAACAGATTGACAATGTAACTGACATTGTACTACCTGTTTATTTTGCAGTGGAAAGTTTAAGAGGGTAGCTGAACAATTCACTCCATATTCTTGGACATCGTACAATTGGAACGCCACCACTAGTCTCACTAGGTGGCTGGCAGTTTGTGGAATTACTGCTCTGGTATGTTTCGTTGTTCCTGTTTTTGCTTTATTCTATCAAAATCCGGTTTTTATAGCTTGCGTTTAGAGGGACGGGCGCGTGGTGCTGGAAAATCTCTGTCAGACATCCTTGGAGTAACTCTTCAATCCCCTGTCTTTCCTCGCGATAAGCGATTGTAAAGGCCTATCAACTAGTTTGAGAAGCTGCTATCCCACTCACCCAACTCTCTCCGCGTGGCAGGTGTTTGAACGGGGAGGGAATGGACATTCGTGTGCGCTTGTGGAAGAACGGGAGATATTAGGTTCCCTTTTCCCTCCTCGCGCGCCTTTCGCGCTCCTCGTGCGCCCGAAATCCCAATCTCCTTCGACCTTTCGAACGGCTGCCACGCAGGCTATCCATATTCGATTACCATAAAGTCAAGATCGTTCTCGACACTCGGCAAACACGCGTGGAAAAAATATGGGACTGCCCTGCCTTTAACTTTCAGACTTTCTTTCCTGTACTCGGTTTGTTTATTTGTTTGTTTGTTCTGAATCATACTCGGGAATGGAATTTTATTTAGTACTGTACTTATATTAAAGATCTGGAGGGGACAAAAAACTAGCGGGAGACGCAAAAGACACAGTTTAAGAGAATCAATGATTTTTAGTTCCTTGCAGCTGAACTGAACTTGTTTTACCTGAAGTTCATCCTGTGGATTCCTCCTCCTCACTTCATAATGCAAGCTCGTATGGCACTGTATCTTGGGATGGGAGCAGTTGCTCTAAATGAGACTTATAGATACATGGATGACCCGTGAGTTGTTGAATGTTTTTTTGTTTTGTTTTATGTAATTTTATTTTAATTGATTTGAGAGTTGGTTACCGAATGTAATTTCGTGATTTCTTTGGGTTTTCATCGCCACGCCTTGTTTGTCCCCCAGTTTTCCTTCTTTTAAACTAAAACCATTCGAGACCTTCCCCTGAGTACAAAGACAGCTTTTAGAAGCAAATTGTCCTCGCAGAGGAGCTTCATTACAGCTTGGTGAGAGTTTAAACTACTGGCATTCACAAGTGCTGTACAAAGACCTAAACACTTCCTCGCCTTCCCTCGACACAGCACAACATACACCAGCAGGAAAACCAAATTATCTATCCAGCGTATCAAAATACGAATATTTCATACCTTTTTTTTCCTGCGAAGATGTCAAACTAGTGCTACAATATAAGAGACATTAAGATCGAGGTTTTTCGACATTCCCCGCGAACCTCGAACGTCAAGAAGTCACGTGACCGGTCCCTTGCCGTCAGGTTTGCAGTTTGATGTTGACGTTCGTACGGCTAGACCACGCTCTAGAAGTGAGTGATTTACCGCAAGGGTTTTCTGCTCCCGAAAACATCACAGTCCCACGTTTGAGAGGGAATCTTTTTCACTAATTAATTATCGAACTCGAAGTAGAAGTGAGCAAATGAATGAAAACAAACGTGAGAGCCACGAGTTCCACTCGCGAAGCTCAAACCTCAAATATAGGCAGACAGGTAACAAGAAACTGCTAACCGCAAACCGCGGTTTGCCGTTTGCCGTAAGATAGGCAAACCTCGATTTTAAGATCTCTATTATCGCCATTAAGTAAAACTGCACTTGTGTTGTAATTTTTTAACTGCCCACAATTGATATGCGGCCTTTATGTCATGACCTTGTAGCACCTGTAAACGGTTCGGACAACAAGCGTGGGTGGTGGCTGCCATAGTGGCGACTGAAATACTAATCTGTGTCAAGTTTGGCTGGGACACACTCAGCATCCCTTTCCCTTTTCACGTATCTGCCTTCTGGATCCTCTTCGTTAGCATTTGGTTGATGTGGACGGTGTGGAATTTTTGGCCTTCAATCATCGGCATCTTTAGAGTACATCGTGATGCTGAGGACAAAGATGCTGGGAGCGTCACGCGGAATCGACCCAAGCATGAATAAGGAGGCGATCTTAGATTGTGTTCACACTATACTTGATAGCTTTTGCGCTGGAAGGAAAACCATTTTGGATAGTGCTTCTGTTCACACACAAGAACGGTGATTTCGGCGCGATTTCGGTAACGAAACCAAGCTGCGACGCCTTGATCTTTAAAGTGGAGAGTCACATATCGGATAGGTATTAATACTTTAGTAAAATCCAACTAGTGGTCTATTATCAAATTGAAGGGAGAGATCGCTATCTTGTTTGAATTTTTCAGGACTGATTCTTAGGGCTCCACAATGCCAATAACTATTAATACGTGGATAGCAAATATGTATCGACAACACAAAGGCCAGTCTGTCGAACAAGTTATCCGTAGGAAACCGGATAACTCTATCAGCAACAATTTTCATTTTGAAAAAGAGCACTACTTTAAGAATTTTCCCAGCCTGAGAGGGTGAGACAGTCGTCGAGAACTGACGCTATATTACCGTTTCTTGTAGACCAGTTAACATAAACAACTTGGTGCACTGTTGTTTTGAAATTTTTTTTTTTTTTTGCGTGTGGGGGATCGAGTGAAAAAGTTGACGTGCACTATAAAATATTATAGAACACGTGACTAGGCTACTGAATTATTTCTCATAGGTCACTGTGTGACTCACATTTACATTGCACTTTTTGGAACCCGACATCATTAGTATTACTTTTTTATGTATTTCTGAGAAATGAATTTATGAATTGTCGTATGTTTTTAAAGCACTTAATATATGTTTGGTTTTAAATAAAAGCTTAGGTAATATAATTTGTAACTCTGAATGACTTGCCGGTTGAATGAGGTGTGCACGTTTTGTTTGTAAAGCTGTTATTTTAGTCATAAAATATCAATTTTGAGCAAGAAAACGAAGCTGTAACCTAGTTCCTTTTTCATCCAGGGAACTTGCTGGTTATTTCCCCTATCCCCTCTGCCTCTTTTCCGTGTGCCACCGCTTTCTTTAGTCCCCTACGTCCTATTCTTCTGTGCATTCTCATTCAATCTTCCGCGTGACCCGAATAATAATCAGGGGCACCCAACGGCAATTTTCGGAAAATATCTGTTCGGAAGACGATTTGAGATCTAGAATTTTCGGAACATTTGTTGTAAAATTTCTTGCTTGCCTGCCTCTCCTAGGATTTTCGAACATCTACAAAATGGTATAATTACCCATTTTTAACGAATTTTTACCCTAAAAAAGGCCACCTAGAATTTTCAGGAGCCCTTTTGCTGGCTGAAATTTTCGAAAAGGTAAGTTTTGATCCCTATAATTTTCGGATCACTAGACTTTCAGCTAGGAAATCCGAACAGATGAAAAGTTTTTTGGGGATAAAAATATGCCTATATCTACCGTTTAAATACTAAAATACGTTGAACAATGAAGTGGTTTTGAACTATATCCTCATTGGGTGCCCCTGAGTAATTGTGAGGTGTCCGCTTGTGTGACTCTGACGAAGATAAGCGTAAAACATATCCAGGGGCACTTTTCTTGGTAGAAGCTGGTTATGACTTCCATCTTTGGTAAAATAAGGTACTAATTATAAAAAACCTATTTCCTAATATTTCGGGCAAAACGACGTCTCAAATTTTGACAAATAAATGATGTCACAAAATCTATAAATTAGCAGTAGAAAGCAACTTAAAGTTGTAAAGTCACCATGTTAAATAGACTGCAAAACAGTAAGTTTTTTTCTCAAAATCAGTAAAGAAATCGGTAAAGCATGCCGTAAGAGTCTTACGCGCGCGAAGCGTGTGAGGCGAGAGAAAAAAACGTCTCTCCCCAGGTCTCGCTCTCTGTTCTCAGCCTCGTGCCAGACCTTTTGTTTGACTGCTCGCGCGTACTTGAATACGCAAAAATACGGACTGTTTCGCAGTCTACATGTTAAATGTTTGAGTCGCGCTCTTAAAACCGGGTTGCAAGAGGGTTTGCGAGATACGTATTTCTAGTACGGTGTTCAGGGGGTTTGGGCCGATGGAGTTGGGAATGAGGGAGTGTGCAGCGGACTGAGTTATGATGTTAACACATATCCCACATTAAATTTCTGAAGCAGGTAATATTTATTTAATAAATAATAGTTGAACAGAACAAAATATAAACGCCTTGCGAAATCGGCGAATCAAAGGCCTCGTACAATTAAATAACACTTCATAGTTACTTAAGAACACAAACCACGGTCACTGAGGGAATGTATTTTCAAATTAGGATTGAGTATTGAATTGATTTGTTCAGTGAACGCACCAGCACACTTCATGTCCACGATTGAACGCAGGAATATTGTCGTAAAACAGCAAACACAATGTTTCATCACGTATCAAACATCCGAACAGCAAGTTAATAAGCTCCCCCTCTATTTTAAGCCCCACAACTTATTATTCTTCACTATTAAGTGATAGACTGTATTAGTCAATCACAACTGTAAAACTTCGTGTGGACTACCGTAGTTATTCGATTAACCGCCCTGGGCGCTTATTAAATTTTTGGACCTTGAGAGTGGGCGCTAATTCAAGGTGGGTGCTTATTAAATTTTCACCATTTTCAGCAAATGTAGTATGATTATTTTGCAACAAAGCAATAAATGGTAATAACAAAACGCAAAGATTTAACAAAGCAAGGTTTCTGTAAAATACTCTAAAAAAAAGGGTATCTTTAATATTATCTCTTATTTGTGTTTCAGAGTGAGGGGAGGGGTAGGCGCTTATTCGAGGCAGGGCGCTTATTCGAATAAATACGGTAATCCAAGATGGTTTATTCAGCAACTGGAAGTTCGGATTTGTTTTTGATCTTCTGTTGCATGACCTCCAACTTCTTGTACTTGAGCTTTTCCACTTTGTACTCAGTTCTTAATGGACAACTGAAGCCATCATGTTCGCTAAATTGAATAAGTTACCCCTGTCTCTATTAAGCCCCTTACTCAAATGTGTTTGAAATAAATAAGCCCCCCCCCCCCGGGGGCTTTATAGAGGATTTACGGTAAGTCTTGTTTTCGTGTCCTTTTCCTATTGGAGTTTACAATATTTCACTCTGGGTTATTTGTCATTTTAAAACTTCATATCTGAATGAACTTCGTGTGTTTTGGTGGACTTTCATCCATGAATGCTCTTTGCGATGGTCATCAAGAAGATCATGTTTGTCATTGTCAAGCATTGGCGTTCAATCCTGAACATATTTGAAGCTTCAGGTACAAATATTAAAGACACAATTTCGAGAGAATATTCATGTAGCGTTGTAATGAACAAAGCAATGCGTGAGTCTTCCAATTTCGAGTTGAATTGTTAACACACAATTCAATATATATGTATGAGCTAAAGTTATGTCTAAAAATTGCGTTTGACATCGCCCTCTCTTTCGTAAAAGCTGTTAAAAGTTGTTCACTAAAACATTTGTTGTAAACTACCCTTGTTTTCACAAAAGGAAGGGTGTTATACTCTTGGATCAATCAAAAAGGAAATCCTCTTATTTATTTTGTTATTTCCTAATTTTCCAAAAACTTTCTTAAAAAATACGGGGTCGTTCGGGCGATGGGAAACGAAAAACCTAACAGGAAAGGAAAGGTGCTATGAAACTCAAACAAGTTTATCTGGACTGGTTAATACGAGGTATTTTTATATATAAAGGTACCTAATACTCAAGAAATAAATTAATTATACCGTGCGAAATGACAGAGCTGCAAATGACAATCCGCTACCGGACAATGCAGGACTAAAATTTGGTCAATATCCAATGAAATCGCAACTGTGGTCGGACAAGATGTCCCGATAAAGTTAATACCGTTGGCAGTCATTTCAGTGCATATGAATAAAATCAACAGTGAGCGCCCGTGAATTTTTATTCCAACAAAATTACATTGTTGCAGTGAATACGCGGCAGTAATCAGTCTAGCTGCGAATCCCGCGCCAGCCAAGCGCAACTTTCTTTACAGACCTTAATGCATCGTTTACTGCGTCCGACCACATTTCTGTATTGTCCGACAGAAACGGTGAGTTAGCCAGACATAAAAGACTCTCTACGGACATTTCCAACGAAGTAGAAGTCGCAACGATTGTTTTTGATGAGACAGAGATGTTAGAGATTAAAGAGGTGATCGCATTGCTATTCCAATCCGTCGACAGCCAGTGTGGTGATGGGAAATCCGCGAAAAAGTGTGCTGCAACTTCAGAGTTTCTGTTTTGGTTATTAAAGTTGTTGCTTCTTAATTTTCTCGTTTCCGTCTTCGTTGTCAAGGTAGCTCGAGCACGCTTGTTGCGTTACCACAGAAAACAATTGTTAATATGCAACAATTTCGTTGAAACACTGACGATTTGATGGAAAATGCGCGACGAAAACGACGTCCGCAGGAAACTATAGAGAGGCTTACACGTGGCCTTTCAAGAAAGAAAATGACCTGCAGCTCTGAAATAAGTATTTTATTGAGTAGTTTATTTGATAAACTAGGCCGGTTCATTTCTATTCTAAAGAAGTAAAGGTTAACCACTTTTAGTAAAAACAGGCCATTTATATTAAAATCAACTTAATTAGCAAAGACATCATAACACAAATAAAGTAAGACAATGATTCCACTTTCAAATAAATAACCATACTTTTCGGAGAGAAAAGGAAGCAATTTAGGAAAACCTATCAAAAGTTTCAGATATAAAATAACAAGAGAAATCTCAAATTGATGCCCTGACTGAAAATAGTTATTCCTATGTACGTGAGTGGAAAAAGGTCTTTACAGAATAGAGTTCTAGGTTGCCAGCCGTACGGCAACTCTTCGAAAAGGAGAGAGTGTTGTTGAATAGTAGTCTATCTCTGACACAACTGCGTATTAAAACTTTACGTTTTAAGAGTGTGAAAATTACAAATCTATATCGAGAGAATCTCAACTCCAGTCTTGTTTTGAAAACTTCTAGTACTATGTTAAATAATGCTAAAAGAGATTTCACCTGACTGGTTAAACCAATGAATTTTGTTCACATGTTTTTCCTTCGGCTCCCGCCCCAATAAGAGTGTAATTGTTTATACATGCAAGACCACAGATAGAACTGAATAAAAAGTGAGACAAGGTAAGAAGAAACAGAATTGAATGGATGAGAAATGACCATAAAGAACAGTGCCATTTCATTTCATCCGTTTGTGATCTCTGAGCCCGGCTATCAATTTTATGGCGCAGTCTTTATCGCAATAATTATATAATATAGAGGCCACAATAAAGGTGCTATGTCATTATTTGATAGAGGGCACATGTTGCTATTAATAAACGGAAAATAGTTTAAACACACTGATGTTAAGTACTTATAGGGATACTACTGATACTAAGGACACACATCTGCACGAACTATTTGTCTTTGTCGTCAGACTTGATCGGAGGAGGTGTTATACTGAAGAAATAGATGTTGAGATAGTTGCATATTTCTGACGCCAGTGCAAAGTTGTAGCGCAGTAGTTCAAACATCACATGGCCCTAAGTCGGAAAGACAAATCGTTATTAGTCCTTCATATCATCCCTGATCATCATTATCAACAACGACATCATCATCATCATCATCATCACTATCATCATGATCATTATTATCGTCGTCGTTCTCGTCGTCATTATCCTCGCATTTATGTCTATTTAATAATCAGTCTGCCCCCACCCTCCACGCCTCGGAGATCAGACACGCACGCATGTATATAGCTGATCCAATAAAGGTTGCTTTGGGCATTGGGAATTGCGCATTAGGAAGCTATTTTTGGTGCTTACTCGAGCAAATCATTGTGCACAATGAGTTCTGGATGGCCAAATGCTCAATGACCAGTTGCCACTGGCCAATGTCAAAGTCCATCTTAGAGAGAGTCGACTGTACTCAAGTCATATTTCAGGAGGTTCACGGTCATATCGCCACCAACGAAATCGCCACGCCGCCAACCAACTCGCCACCAAGTAATGACTCTGCATTAATCGACGTGTTTACTAACCTAGGATTACTTACCTAGAATTTTTACTTCTTCGCCAAACTTATTCGAATTTGATTAAGGAGTTATTACTTGAAGGCGAGTTGGTTGGCGGCGAGTCGACTTCTTGGTAGCGACTTCGATGGTTTGGCGGCGAGATAACCGGTTACCCTTCAGGATTATCATAGAGATAAGAGATTAACTTACGCCTGAGGAGGAGGAGATCAACAATCAGAATTTCAAGTACACCAAGCGCCATATAAAAGAAGAAACAAAACGACTTACTATCATGCACCATAATAGAAGATACTCGTCAATAGGTGAACCGTAATGAATGTTTAGAATCTGTAGTATTCCTCCAATCATTGTAGAATCCTTGACCTCAACAGGACTCCGTGTCATGCAACCAACCTGGAAGCAGTTAAACCAGTATTTAGAAGAACACAACAATTTAGTACGCGTAAAAGTGGGGTTTAGGTGAGGCTTATTAAAACAAAACCAAAGTGTATGTAATTACTGCGGCCAATTATCAAAAGAGCTGACGGCGGTCAAGAGAAATAATTGTACATCGAATGTATTATATCTCCACGGCTTGAAACGCAGGGGGGAAGAGGCAGGGGAGAAATTTCACTGTTAATTCACTAAACCTTGTGAAAATTCACTAAGAAACAATTACACTGTAAGTGTTTGAAACTGAAGCCGGTGTTATTGTCGGTACCATTTTCCAGCGGGCGCGAAGCGTTTTTAACGAAAAGAAGCCCATCATTTCGAAAAAAATGAAAATACGCTATTGCATTTAACTATATCCGTACTCCCCGGTTGAGGACTTTACCTTTCCTTACCCATGAATATTAAATAAAATTGCATTGACCCCTGAAGACTTCCATAACATAGGGGTCTACCCCTGAAGAATATGAGTCTACCATTAGAGTGTTTTCACATGACGTCACGGCGGCCATATTGGTGTCCCAAAACAATGAAACGGCGGCCATGTTGGTGTCCCAATCCAATCCTCTGGGAGTTCAACTCTTTTCTCATGCAAACGCTTTCTGTTGTTCAAATAAATTTGCATAGATGCTGGCCACGTGAGTGAAAACACTCTATAACTTACCCCCGAAGAGGGCGGGGGGGGGCGGATATCAAATGTAATAGCCCAATTTAGATGGTTACGGTAACGATTATTTTATACATCCTGCCCACGTTTCCTCTTATTGGCAAATGACATCCCCGCAAAAACTAACAAAAAAACGCCTTGAAAGACGCTTGATCGCAGTGCCACCCACATGTGTATGGCGTCGTCTCTAGAATTCCAACCCAGACCACATTGATGGGAGGCGAAGACCCTCGTCGCTGCCTCATCCCTGATCCCCTCAAAAGGAAAAGAACAACTGGGAAAGTGGCGTGATATTTTTGGGCCCATAGCATAGCTTAGAATTGCAAATCCAATGCAATCACGAAAATACTTTGATTTGCTCGTAGTGCAGTCAAATACCACTCTTTCTGGGAATTCTGAAGCACCCAGTCAAAGCATACATGTAAGTCATCAAGTTATCTTTTTGCTTAAAAAATCAGTAGCCTTGCAGCTCTTCAATGATTTAATTGGACCCCTATGGGTCGCAGCTCTTTTGTTTTCGGGCCAGGTTCCATTGTTAACTTTGTGTCTTTATTGTTTCCCAACCGGTTGCAAACCAGTCCGATGAGGTCTTTCGAGAGCTGCAAGATCCCCCTAAAGAATGCTAAAAGAAAACAAAATATCCTGGTTGAAGAGCAGCTCGCTTTCGTTCAGGAAGTGAAATATGAAATAAAGGTAACAAGTGTACACTTCCTTAGCCTAATCCCCAGAGGTCCCACAGTTTAAGAGTCAGGTTAACATGTCCTCTAGTGTATTACACAGGTACTGACTGCGAGAAAATTTCTAATTCGATACATACCACTAATTTGATTGTGATCTTGGAACATGCCATACCGAACGCCAGGACAAATAAACAGGGGTGCTTTTGAAATAAACTGGAGGAGGTCCTTGCAGTAAGGTATGCCGTAAGAAGCATAAAAGTAATTGGAAACAACGGTGACAAAACGCTTGTTCCCTATAATTGCCAGAGAAAACAAAACTGTGTTAAATGTAGTTTCAAGCTTATGTTAACAACAGAGCAGAAACAGGGCTTAAATTGATCCTTAAAATTATTATTATTATTATTATTATTTAATCCAATGAGACTTCACAGGTGATAGAACGGAATTAATTCTGTTCTTTCTACTTTCAGCTTTCTTTTTTCTTTTTTCTGTTTACAACCGAAACGCAAAAATTATTAAAAATTTACTTACAGCTACTGTTGAGCCATTCTTGCCTTTTCCTCCCTCATATATTTGAAGAAAAGTTGTTGAAAGAGTATAAATACTGCCGCCAACAGCAATCCATAAAAGAAATTTTTTTAATGAAACATCAAGGTAGGGTACCTCAGAAATAAAAAGAGTGTAAGTAAAAATCTAATGCAGCACTTTAGAAGCAAGGACTTCTGTGACTGTGAAAGGTTTGAACCCAGGGGTCATTCCATAAGTAGGTTGAGTATCATCGTCCGGGTGAACAAAGTCCTGAATAGGACTGTTGTTGTTGTCAGTGACCTGACATTTTGACAACCTGTGCGGTAGTCATCTTCAGAGTCACAGCGAGTTCTATAATGTCAGTTGATGGTATTAAACTCTGGTTATTGACCTGATAGGTCAATTAAATCACAATGTTATTGGCCATCTGTCAGTTAAGCGGTGATGTTATTGGCTATGAAGACTCGTAATGTCATTGGTGCATTTCTATCCGTCTATTGCCCAGTTAAACAGTCACTTATTGTTAGTCAAATTGCCAGTTGTCCAGTCATTTTCTCTTAGTTAGTCTCCCTTGATTCCATTGATGAGTCATTTGTAGGGTGCCGGTAACTGTTGACTACATTTCAGTGGCGTTTGTTCTAAGTTAGTAAACCAGCTTTCTAAAGTGAGTCATTGTGAGTAATTGGCCAAAAGCTGACTGGCATGTCGCCAATAACGATCCCAGAAACAAATTGCAGTAAACATTTCAGCTCCAGTTTCCTTTTCATTTCTAAAATTATAGCGAATTAATCTGCCAGAGAAGATCTTTCCTCCTTCTTTTTTGCAACTTTCTGTACCACTACAAAACCTTTTACTTAAATCCTTCAAATGAATGGACTACCAATAACACATAATATTAGGGAAAAATTAGAGTGTAGCTAGATTGTCTTGAGTTGATATGTAACAAGTAAGCCAGCACTTGATTGACAGCTTTATGCAGTTGATTTAACCAATCAAAAAAATAGATACCAACTCAGTATAGGCTCGATTACCAGCCGCTGTTCGGTCAAATGAGCCCGCACTCATCCCCCGGAGGATCAACGACCGGACCCGGGAGACGGCGGAAATCGAGCCTAAACTCAGTACAGCTAAATTTACAGTCAGCAGCAGAATATTATTAGTTGATACATGCTGTCCTCGACAACATTTTTCATGTTTTTCTGACACAGGAAAAGGGCAGAGTCCAGATTGTTTGGCTTTCAAAAAAAATAATATACCATTTGACACTGAATCAACAATTTTATTCCTGACTGTAACTTTTATTACAGACAATTTCCTCCCCACTACTTATTAGTAAACAAAATCACTGTACCAGTTGTGTCTTTGCCCAGTACCATAAATTTAGTACTGTTAAAATGGGGTGATTGAAACATTAGGCAGGAGGGTCAAAAATACGAAAACAGCATAATTTCACAATCACGATGCTGATCAGAGCTAATTACTTCCACACTGTATTACATGTGGATATGGATATTTAGGAGAAAATTGATGTTGGTCATTATTAGACATTTAAATAGTATAATTGTCATTCACCTGCAAAGACCATAGTTGTACACCAAATATTCCTGATAGAAAGAACATTATCATGCCAGTAACTTGAAGTTCGGTCACATCAATTCTACAAAGAAGAAAAACTTCCTTCAATACCTTTATTTATTACATAGATACTGATGAAATACCAGGATTTTTCCTTTCACTAAAAAATCATATCTTCATCGCAAACAGTGAAGATACTATTTTTATCTTTCACATGTTAGGATATTGGTGTCACCGTGGACTTTTTCTCTTCTTCATGAGAATTTTGACTTTTTGGAACAGAAAATATAAGTATTATTGTCTTTACTTCTCTTTTATAACTTTATATCCGAGTTTTGTGACCACTCAGTAATTGCACTATTTTGCTGTTTCGAAAATGAATAAAAAAAAGTTGTGTTTTATGTAGGAATTTCATGAGTATCTATGACATAAACAGAAAATTGCATGGCCGCTTGGGGATAAAAATTTTATCGTCTCATGCTGAAAGGATCTCTCACTCATTCCCTTTGCTCACTCGTGAGAGATACTTTCAGCACTCGAAGATAAAATTTGGATCCCCGCGCGGCCATGTCATATCCTGGTTCTGTAAACTTCTACTGATAGGCTCTTGGCTTATGCATCTTTTGGAGGGGTTTTCGGAGGGTTATAAAAAAAAGTACTTATATCAAGGGTCATTGGGGCTTATAACCAGTCTAAAAAAAAGGTTCAAAACAAGCTATGTACAATGTAGCAGTGCTAATCAAAATACTTTTGAACATACTCACTTTTGTAAAACTTCAAAGCATCGTAAAAAAATCAAATTCATTTCAATACAAGCTAGAGAAGGATTTATATCCAGGTGGGGGTGGGGGCAGCTTATAAGCAGAAGTTTACAGTATTCTAGTTTAAGCAAAATGTACTGGTATATATTTATCAACAGATGGCTCTACAAAGAATGTAGAAAAACACCTTCCATGCTTAATGACCTTTAGTTTATACTTTTAACCTGTGAGCAGCTAAAAAAAACTAGAGGTTCAATATTGGAAGTGAAGTGCTGAACCAATACCTTGATGCATGAGTTCGTAAAAAGCAAAATAGTTTAAAATAACCACAAACACAACATTAATGCAAACAACAAATGCCCAAAGACTTAAATCAAGCATTTACAGCTATTTAAAAAAACATTAAAATGAAGCATACAGTATACCTCAATGAAAATTATCAGTACACTGTATGTTTCCAACAAAAACACTGTACAACTATTCAACTCCCTGTTTCATTCCCCTCCTCAGGCAAATAACAAAGTTTGTTCGCCTTGTATCTTCCTTCACGTTTTGAGGCAAGTAAAACTGGTTAGAAAAAGAAGTGAACTACTTTGGGAAGGTTATCTCGATTCCTTGCTAAATTGTTCGCTTCCTCTAAATGAATTCTTTCAGGAGTACTTAACTTTACACCTGCATCACATTAGCTAACAAGCAACTTACCATTACAGTATAGAAGAACTTTCCTTCACACTTGCGACTGATTTTCTACTTCAAACCCAAACATCAAAACAACAAATGTCAAAGAACAAGGTCCCAGATTTAAGTCTGTGAGTGCTAAGAAACTCCTTAACAGGTTTATCTCAATTTACTTTTTAGCTGTTTCCAAAAGGAATTAAAGACTTTCTTTAGTAGCACTCACAAAAATAAATTATAAAATTTCGGCCATCATTTCACTTCGCTTCTGATTGGGTGCTACGTGGCGGGGACATGTACTACTTACTTTCCAAATCTAATAGTTCCAGTAACATAGGCTTGCCAGTGTGCACAGTAGAACATAAAGGTTGCCATAAAAGGTAAGAAAAACATCCAAGCAGGTTCATGACCAAGCTCCATTGCAACAGTGATCGCTAAGACCATTATGACCATCGAAACTGAGTCACAACCATGGTCCACTAATTCTCCCAAAGGTGAAGCACTTTTTGTGCGCCGGGCTTGTTTACCATCAATGGCATCTAGTGACTGATACACGAACAATCCAACCGCACTTAAGATGAAAGCCCATCCTGGTGCCTGTTAAAAGTCATGCATGCATGCACAGACATTAATCACTAGCTGAAGCAGTAATAACTTGTTAGATATTAATCTCTGACACAATTTATTGTAAAGTAAATTAATTGTGGCCATAAGTGCCCAGGCAATGTACTGTACAACTTTAGCTTAAGATGTATCTAACTTCAAAATTAGCCCAAATTAGTTTTCTGATTGTAATCTACAAAATGTAGTTTTATTTATGTACAAAATACTACAGGGCTGAGCATGTGTTTAGTTTTGTCACTAGTATACATGACCATTTATCTTTGTTTTGTTCCAGATCAAGTGAAAAGTTTTTAAAAAGTTCTTTAGTAGTTCTAGAAAGAAAAAGAAGCACAACGATGAAAATTAATGTGTTCTTGGTTACTAATTAGGTAAATTTGTAGAATGGTTGGATTTGACTTTGACTGAAAACCCAAGTTACTCAATTAGTAACCAGTTATGTTATTATCGGCACTGGTCAACCATATGGTTAAAACAGATTAATGCAGAGCAGGTCAAGCTAGCCAAGTCTGAAATAAATACCAACTTAAGATATTTTATAATTACGAAAATATGGTGGTTTTAATTTCAGCCCCAAGAAGAAAACTATGGGCAGATTCATCAGAGGCCTTTCGTGTATTTTGCGTTAATTTCCCCCACTAAAATGCTCCATTTTCCCCCTGAATAATGAAAAAAATGCTCCTTCTCCCAAAATAAGTCAGTAAAATTCTTTGATAATACTCATTTTATACAGAGGCCAAGTATTAGGGTAGCATTTGAATTGCCTTTTTCCTTTTGTTTTATTTATTTTGTTTTTTTCAAAGTTGAGTTCAAGTCTACATTTTCTAAAAAAAATAATAATTTTGGGAAAATGCCACAAAATGCTTAAACAAGGCTATTTGCTTTTGTTTTCTTTAAAAAAGTTGAAAAATTTTCTAAAAAAATAATAATTTTGGGAAAATGTCCAAAAGCTTAAACCTATTTGCTTTTGTCCCTAAAAACCCTGGGCTACCATAATTTATGGACAAAAGCCTTTGGTACAGGCATTTCCCTGGTTTATAATCACAGTAGCTGGTGATTTATTGATGATCAATTTAGGTTTCTGGGAAACTGACCACCTACCCCTCCCCTAAGCCAACATTAACACTGACTTCTCACTTAGGGCAAATTGTTGGCTTAGGGGAGGGGTAGGTGGTCAGTTCCCAGAAACCTAAATTAACCAAGCATTGTACAAACAACAAAAGGGAAATTGGAAAATGCAAGCTAATAAATGGTGCCATAGAGGGGCGTAGTCTGTTATAAGTTTTAACAGAAACTTACACTGTCTAATTAAGCTTTATACATGTAAGTTCATCTTACATGTGAATTTATACGCCAGAAGCTCGTCTACCGGCAAGCCAGACCGCAAAGGTAAAATGTAAATGCTTCATTAAAAAAGACGATTAAAATCCTATAATGGCAAATAATACTTTATAGTGAAAGATTCAAGACCTAAAAAGGACAAGTATTTAGACTGTATTCAATAAGGAAAACAAAGTGAAGAAAAACATGCATTATTTACCATGAACATTGAAAGCTCATGCATGCAATACATGTACAGTTTTTATCGTACAATCACTTCAAATTAAATAACCTGCTTTTATGCACAAACCCACCTCTCCTTTCGCTTGAGGGCAGTAACCAATTAAAATGAGTGACGTGATAACATTGACTGCTAATCCCGACACTGTAAGAGTATTTGGAGCCAACCACAACGGCAACTGTTCAACAAGCCATCGCCAGTAGACTTGAAAATAAGGATCTAAAATCGTGCAACACTCCGCGCTATACTTGTGCTCTGAAAGACGCTTGAGTTGCCTTTCATTTAAAACACTAATCATTATTATTATCCTCCTCTATAGAAGCGTCTATGTCCCTGATTTTTTTGCCAAAGCGAAGATTTTCCACGTATTGCTCGTCTTGCAAATACAAGCTTACATAAACATATGTATTTACCGCTTCGCTGGTTTCATTCTTCGAACACAATAAGGCCTGGTTACGACTGTTTTGGCGCGGGCGCTAAGCCGCAAGCGCATGCACAGGTAACCCAGACATTTTCTGTCACGCAATCGTCCACAAGTCAATGGTTGTCTTTACACTAGGCTGTTAAGTAAGACTTTAAGAGCTGCTAAGTCTCACTTAAGCAAAAATTCGAGTGTGAAGGCCTAAGTAAGATCTCAAGTAACTTTGCTTTGCATTTCATTAAAGTCGAAAAGTTGAAACGATTCAAGAAAGTTTCAAGCGACTTGAAAACCATCCTTATGACCGACTTAGCTGACTTGCGGTTTTGCGGTTTCTTGAGCTTTGAGGAAGGCGAGACATGTCCGATCAATCTTAATTTTGTTGTGTGGGAGAATAACCTGAAGTAAAAAAGAATCGGTTGTGTCTGGAGCTTTATTTTACTTGAAGTAATTAAAATTTACTTGTCTTGAAATATGTCTTAGCTTATTTAGGCTCTAGTGTAAAGACTACCAATGGCGCATGTAAACAGGTTTAAAGTGGCCCCCTCTTGAAACCCATGGGAGGGAGGGTGATTAACGTATCATCCACCCTCAAGCCCCCTCCTGGCGTTAATCAGCACTACAAATACCCCCATAAACCGTACATTTTCTGAAAGCTTAATAGTTCCAGATTATTGGTTATTTCTTTTAAAAAATTAAAATGTTAACGCGATTTAGAAATGAGAAGCTTTTTGTGAAAGTGGGTGTTACTGTAAATTTAAGTCCAGTCCAGCCAAAAATTAACGGAAAACCGTGTCTCAGATTTTTGTCAAGTGCGTTTGTTCTGTTGTTATAAGCAGGCGAAGTTAGGGATAGCAGATCATTAGCACTACCTGTGAAAAAAAATACTCTAACTCGAAAACGAAACAAGAAATCAATATTCGCAGATACTGTTTTTTAGAAAAACTATCTGACAGTAATTTGGCCAAATTTCAGCCAAATTGGTTCCCGGGTTGCCGACTTGGAGCTTAAAACGTACCCTCAACTTGCCCTTATTTTCATTTCGAGAAAACCGTGGAAAAAGATTTTTGGCTGCGTATTACCCGTGATGAGATTATAACAGATTATAACACGAAAGCTGTCAATGTTGATGCATACCAGAGAAGGGACAACTATAGTGACACAGCAAGAAAAGTTGAAAACGATACCCGACAACAGATGAACAATTTATTTCAAAGGCTCTGCTTTGTTCGGTCCTTTCTGTTGTCGAGAAAGTTTCATTACTTATTTGCAACGGGCAGTTTTCATTTTCGCTCCGGACAAGCCAAGTTGAGCCACGCCCACTTTTACTCGACGATACATTTTTTAAAAGTTCGACCCTTCCCCGGAAAAATCGACAACAAACCGCTCCCTGGAGTTTTTCTTGAAGCTTGTTTCCCGCTACAATAGACTTTCAAAACAGTACTTCATCCGATTTTTATATGGCGCGGAACCTCTCGTGACTTCGTCTCTCGCTTGGCTGCTTCGCGGCCTATAAAGCTCGCTCCGCTCGCTAACGAACTCGTGAAACTCGATTCCACGGTAGATTCAATGGGTTTTTCAGGAGCTTTGTCATCTTTTAGCCATTTTTCTTCTGTAGTAGGAGCCCTTGTCGTTCTCTACTAATTTCGAAGCCCACTCTTTGGCGGCAAAACGATTTTGTCGTCTTCTTTTGTCTTGGAGTCGAGGACGAAAACGGACAAGCTCCTTTTTCTACTTTGGAGGCATTCACTTTCAAACTCCAGGGAAAAACAGTGAGCACTATACTTGTAAACCACGATTTCTGTCAAATTGCGTGATTAGCTTGGTTCAACAGCGGCACGTGGATCAAGTATGACAGGACTTGTCAACGATCAATTGAAATAATTAGCATAAAAAAAAACTTTTGCACTCCATAAGTCTGCACAAATGCGCAAGACTGTCAGCAGGCTGTTATCGAACAACAACGGCCTTAAGGAACATTGTACAACGATACTAAAACTTTTCACTTAACACAATACCCCAGCTGTTAACTCAAAGGTTTACAAACTGTAGTTACACTCATTTTGAAACAAACTGTTTGTGGCGGCATGACAAAGAGACACTCAACTGACAAAGAGGCTACTATTTTTTTTTCTTATTTGACCAATTGTTAGAAACAATCTCTCTGTTATGCAAATTAAGTCCACAACCTATTGACCTATTGTTTCCAGACTAAAGCGGATTTCTAGCTGCTAAATGTTTAAGTTAAGCAAGTTCGCCACAGCTCAAGAAGGAATGATGAGTCCTTTTTAGAAACTACACTACATATTTTTCCAGTGGTTCTTGGACTAAATTCTTGCAGCACGGTACACTTAGAGACTAGAGTAAGATTCTAGAATAATGTGAGGTAAGTTGGTTTGAAAACTAAGTTTAAATCGGAGGGCAAAGGAATCAAATTATAAATAGTTGTACTTTCAAATTGATCAGAAGTTCTTACACTCCGCAAACCTTGACCGATTTTTAAGGACCGTAAGCACAATATAATCTTCTCATCTTTTACATAGTTTCAAGTCCCTAGAATTATCAAATCGAAACATCTTATATGAGTTTTAATGCAAATTTAATTCGCTATGTAAAAACACACTATTTCCATGGATGAGTGGATTTTTAAAATTGAAATTTTTCCCATGTTTCCTTTTGCATACTGGATTTCTAACCAGCAAAGTAAATTGATTTGTAAGTAAACTGATGACTGAGGGTGCCTTAATCAAATGGAAACTGTTTAACGATGCGGTCCGGAAGTTTGTTACTTATACTTTTCAGCTGATTTATATGATTACAAATTGAAGCCCCATGAAATTTTTCAACTGAAGATTGTTCAACATTGGACCCTCGTGAAATTTAATTGAAGTAGAATTCAACCAGTTGTTGCGTTCTTAATCAGTGGTAAACCCACTGCTGTAAATCGTTATGGTAAAGACGCACATCGATCTACGCATCATGGCGTCTGCATGTTGTGTTTGGTTTAGAATCTTCAGTCTTCATCCCCGCTCGTAGGCAGTAATTCGTTTTCAGCTTTACAAGAAACAAACGAAAGAGAAAAGAAAAAAAGTATGAAAAAAATTACTCCTTGAGAGATTGGAAGCAAAGTTGGGCCAGCTTAAACGTCACCAATATTCAGTAACTATTATAATAGTATCAGTTATGCTGTTATGCCCGAATGGCGCATCCATCATGCAATAGGCCTCGAATCGGGTATTTCGTCAAGTTGTAGTTAAAGACCCATAGCTTATTAGGGAGTTCATTACATATTGAACAGTTTCTTAATAAGACTGAGTGTAAAATAAGCAGAATTATGCACGCATCAGTGTGAAGTGTGTGTTATATCCCGGGTCGGAAGGCCATCTTAGCGGGCGGATAACAACCTCCGACGTGTTAAAAAATGAAGCAGCCACCGTATATTATTGATCGAGACCAAAAAGTAATGATGGGTTTTGCGAAACCTTTTTACCGACAAATTAATAGAAAACATCACTAAATGCAGAATAAAAAAATTAACAAACATAAATGATGCTTTGTTTCACCTGACTTCATTTAATCACCTTTATTTTCATAAATGAGACAATTTTAAATTTTAATGAAGTCCAAGATTGCGGTACTTTGTACATAGGGGGTGGCCATGTTATTGACGTCACATGCAGATATTTCATAACATATACGATTTTAAAAATAAATAATGACAACGACATATACTTGTATTTTCATCGGTAGGTGGTGAAGGATGAGTGATTACATCAGACGAGTCCTCATAGGTGATGTCTCGAATCTTCCAGCAAAAGAGTCAAATGTCGTACGTATATTTACCAGCTCGACCTTTACAGGTAAAATACTACCGAAATTACTACCTGATTCTGAGCAGAAGCCTAGGCTCCTGTTCTGAGGTTATGTCATAATCAACATCATTTTGTTTGATAAAGCAAGGTACTGATGTATTGCTCGTTTTCAGTGTCACGCCATTCAAAATAGATCAAAATCAAAATCAAAACTGTTCAATAGATTAAGTCCAGAATCTGGGAAACGAACGGAGGTACATATACAAAGACCCTGGCCAAGATTCAGGTCAGAGGAATATTTCGTATACGACATATCCGAAGAAATGTTTTACCCAAACATATAGAAATTTGTATGGAGACGCCATGCTGGTGCTCACCTGAATGAGCCCCAACATGGCGGACGGAAACCAACAGAAACATCTGTTACCAAGTTTTGCTACAAGAGCGTGAAGTTATTCTTCGAGAAACTCATAAACATTAAAGTAATACTTTTTCTAATAGACGAACTGTTTAGATAACAAAATTTCCTGACATAAGTCATTTTTTTAACCTACAGGTAAATGCCGCGTCACGCAAAAACTTAGAAATTTTCAAGCGTACTCTATCACAAAACCAATAACCCTTTTGAAGCGAAAATTTGTATGAAAATTAGTTTTCTGCTGCTCTAATACATTGTGAAAGTAAAATCTCGGTAGGATCGATAGTTTTTTGGTCTGAACTTTAGTGACGTCATGTGAAAACCAACAATACACGACAGCTAGAAAGCTTTTGCTGACATGCTAGAGCAATACCCGCACATAGATACACACATGTCATTTTGGTTGAGCATACTACCGGTGTCTACATGCCCCTACTCCGGCTGTATTAACTGCAGTGTGAAATCTTTTACGTCCCATGAGAGTCAGTGTTCCTAATACTGAAAGTAGCTGCCGAGTGTGAGCTGAGAGGGCCTACGGTTTTTGATCCTTATCCGAAAAGACAACAATATCTGACCATAGCACAACAGCAGCACATAGCATTCTCTTTAGGTGGTGCAGTGCCGGTGGACCGGCCGGGGTTTAAGCCTGCGGTCTCCTAAGGGGCATCATCCAGCGACGGTTTCCTCCTTAATACACACAAAACACTTTTTGGGCTATCCAGAATACTTTTAGATCTCTCAGTAGAACTGCATTCTAAGCGGCGCCGGGGCAATAAAATTTGTACCTGTTCGCTCATTCTAGGGGAACTTGAATCTCAATAAAAAGGGCTTCAGTATTACTTTCCCGACAAATTTAGATGCAATTTAACGTATTACGACTGACTAGATCGAGCTTTTCTGATTCCTCCCTCGATCGCATTTATGAATCCGAAAATTTTAGGTTTCCTTTTTGTATGAAAAATAGCCTAACATGGGCAGTGAAATGTGAAAAATTAAACTTCAGTAAATCGGTGGGAATTTATTAGATAAGCTTCAAAAACTTGTACATGAATGGAATGCATGGTCATCTAGAAATTTTAAGCCGTCCTCAAGTAATAGAAAATTCTAGGCAATATTTCTCTACTCCGCTCAGATATTTTACAAAAAGCAGTCGTTGGGTGCCCCCGTGAATCTCCCTCTCGGCAGACCGGCGCTTATCAACTTAACCTAATAAATAAGTTGGACGAAAATCGCTCGTTGATTCCGTGGGGATTAAGAGTGCCTATTGAGAGAGAAGATTTTGCGGTTTTTGCTTTTTTGCGGCTTCCTCGATTGCCTTAGTGAAGAGAGAATTGCCGATCACGAATGATTTGCGAGATAAAAATGGCGATTTAGTGATGCGTTTTTGTCAAGACGTTGAAAGAAACAACAAACTAGTAGCCTGCCATTAATCTCGCAGAAGTTAAGTCGGAAATATTTTGAATAAATAATAAAACATTACTTTTATTCGGTTTTCCAATGATATGAAGAAATAGGCACCTCTGGGAGGGTGTACGTTGTCCGCCTCGGCCTTATTGTAATTCTTCATATCATGCTCAGCTTCATCCAATAACTGCCAAATATCCTCCGCCTGCAGATACCGTGGAAGAGAGAAACCGTCTCATGCGAGATGTTTACCCAAGCCTGCGAACCTACTGCCAGCAGCGAGGCTTAGAATTTCAAGTAGTTGACATGAGGTGGGGCGTACGCGATGAAACCACCGCTGATCACAAAACAAACGAAATCTGCGTACAGGAGATCAAGAATTGCCAGAGGCTTACTCCAGGACCCAACTTTGTGGTGAATATGTGTTAAAGTTACTATGAAACAATCTCATTTTCCCTTACATGACTGTTCTTACCTCTCTGAATTCAATAAGCGAGTTATTTTATTCAGTGTCTTCTAGGAAATAAGTATGGTTATCGCCCGTTCCCTTACAAAATCAAAGCAGATGAGTTTGAACTCTTGGTTGAAGTGGCCCGGGAAATTTACGATCAGCCCAAACACATCGATTCACTTTTGGATTGGTACTGGAAGGTGAGGTTATTTAAAGTTCAAACTATCCATAGAATTTGAAAAACACTTCGAAAATTCAAAATCACTGACGATTTGACCTTGCGACCTTTGTCGCGCCATGCATCGCTGCTTGTTAGTTATTTGAATGGCTTATTAGAATTTTTCATTTTTGTTTCCAGTCGAAGAGTTATTTAAGAACTGAGATGTGGATTCAAGCTTTTGTTCTAAAGAACCTAACTGAATCCAATAAACACAGCCACAGTGATGGGAAACCTTTGTGAATTATAACATATAAACAAATGAATAAATAAACACCACGTTTTCTTAGAAAAATTTTAACTCAAATGCGCAACTGTGTTGTGATCAGAGTGACAAATATTTGTTGCAGGACTGGCATTTAGTAATATTTTCATCGGTATTTGCTTATATCCTCCTAAAAATATCAAGTCGTATATTTATTGGAAGGATCAGTGTGATATCATTTATAAGGTGTCAACTCTCTCTAAGACGGACACCTCTGGGACCTGCCTCTACTGTCCATCTTGGAGATGCGTCCATCTTATGGAGATTCGAGGTAACATGACACCAGTAAATACTTAAGCTGAACCCATTCGTCTGTTTAACTTATGCAAAACTGCTAAAACTGGAACATTGTATCAGAAAAGTGGAATCATTTTCTTATTGTACAATCAAACGTTCATACAAGCAAACGTTCATGGCTTTGTGGCCTAAAAGTGTAACAGTATACACTCTGCAAACTAGAGCAAGACCACAAAATATTGGAAATTGTGCAATTTACAGTCTTGTAGAGCCCCGTCATTTCTGTTTTTAAGTATTTTTCACTTCACAACTCACTTGTCAAGTGTCCGTTGACAGTTTCAAAAGTGTCCGTTATCCATATTAGAGAGGTGTCCATCTCATGGAAAGTATAGTGACAGTAAAAGGACTGAAAAACGGCAGGGACCAACATCAGGTGTCCGTCTTAGAGAGGTGTCTGTCTCATAGAGAGTATAGTTACAGTAAAAGGACTGGAAAAAAAGGAAGGGACCAACACCAGGTGTCCATCTTAGAGAGGTGTCCTTCTCATGAAAAGTATAGTTACAGTAAAATGACTGAAAAAAGGCAGGGACCAACACCAGGTGTCTGTCTTAGAGAGGTGTCCATCTCATAAAGAGTATAGTTACAGTAAAAGGACTTTAAAAAGACAGGGATCAACACGAGGTGTCCATCTTAGAGAGGTGTCCTTCTCATGAAAAGTATAGTTACAGTAAAATGACTGAAAAAAGGCAGGGACCAACACCAGGTGTCTGTCTTAGAGAGGTGTCCATCTCATAAAGAGTATAGTTACAGTAAAAGGACTTACAAAAGGCAGGAACCGACACCAGGTGTCCGTCTCATAGAGAGTATAGTTACAGTAAAAGGACTGAAAAAAAGGCAGGGACCAACACCAGGTGTTTGTCTTAGAGAGGTGTCCGTCTCATAGAGTATAGTTACAGTAAAAGGACTTAAAAAAGACAGGGATCAACACCAGGTGTCCATCTTAGAGAGGTGTCCGTCTCATCGAGAGTATAGTTACAGTAAAAGGACTGAAAAAAAGGCAGGGACCAACACCGGGTATCCGTCTTAGAGAGGGTCGGGCTTATAGAGAGAATAGTTACAGTAAAATGACTGAAAAACGGCAGAAACTAACACCACGTGTCCGGCTTATAGAGAGTATAGTTACAGTAAATGGAGTGAAAAAAAGGCAAGGATCAACACCAGGTGTCTGTCTTATACAGGCGTCTGTTAAGAGAGAGTTGACTGTACCTACTGATCAGTCAGTGTTTATTGCTGACCAGATCGCTCTATTAAAGCCTTTTCTGTCAATTCTCTTCAACCAATCAATCAATCAATCCTTTATTTTAACAAGTTAGGTCGAGGAGCTAAAAAACTCGTTCAAAATACGAACGTGTATAACTAAAATCTCTAATAGTTACAGCTATATTATAATATTATTCTATCTTAAAAACAACTCAATAAATATATAAAAACTTAGTAATAAAAACGAAAAATATAAAAAGCTAAAACCTACTAAAAAGCCATATACTAAAAACGTGACAGGAAAACTATAAGACACGTGGTACTATGGTATTAGTAGTGGCAACACTTAGCGACTTTTGAATAATGTATGAATCATGGTAATCTGTGATCAGTATTATTTTATTTTATCCTTTAGGACACGAATGCCATCCCTGCTGAGTATGTGCTTCAGCCGATCACTCACCATTTTCCAAATTATAACGATTTAAGTGAGAAAAACAGAGAGAAAAACCGAGAAGAAAGAGAACAGTGGTGGGAGATTTTTCAGTCTTTCCAAAGACTACTCAAAAGGACGGCAAAGGCGGCTATTGAAAGGAAACAAATCACATTACAACAAGCACATAAGTATTTCAGTTCAGGTATGTGTGGGAATAAGAAACTGTTCAACTTGACAGACATACCTTGTTTAATTAGTATGAATGATTATTAAGCACAGAATTCTGTAGCTTGAGAAAACAGCCGAAATTTCGCGGCGTCACCACAGGTTTCCCCGATCCTGCCTTTCAAGTCCCGCTTTAAAACCAGATTGTGTCAGTGCACGAGTTCAACCTCTCAGTCACGATTTTAAATAGCCAATTAGTTTGCCTTCTGCCTTGGAGTTTATAACAAGTCGTGTCTGCCTGGAATGTCTCTGTTGTGGTTAGTTGAGCGGAGTGCCCCTAAGCTAGCTATACAACTAAGTGCATTTTATTCTATGAAAACCGAAGCGTTTACTTGACTTTTTATATTTCTTTTCCCGTACTTTTCAGTGACTGAGGAAGAGATTGAATATGGCATTCTGGGTTCTTCAGACCCCAGCGCCCAATCCCTCTGCTACATACGACACCTTTCAGACATTGAAGTTAACCTCGCTGACAAAAACTCTCGAAACTATATCGACATATCAGAAGGGGAGCAAGACACTGAGGCGCAAGAACTCTTGGACAGACTTAAACGCGACCGGATACTTCAGAGACTAGGAGAACACAATGTAACCCACTATGAAATCCCGTGGAGCAATGGAGGAATCAACGCATCCGATCGAATGCATGAACAATATCTAAACAGCTTTTGCAACAAATTTGAGGCGGATATCCAGAGATTAATCGAGAAGAGCTTACAGCATACTGCGAATGAAAAAGCGAAAGAAAGCAGCTTGTACAAGGAAGTTCTTCATCATTCCTGGTTTTGCCAAGACAAGTGCGCCACCTTTCGAGGTCGCGAGGGCATTTTAAAGAAGGTTGAAGCATTCCTAAAAGACTTCGAAAAGAGGGAACCTTTGGTCATCTACGGAACATCAGGGTCTGGTAAAACTTCAATCATGGCGGTCGTCGCTAAGTCGGCAAGGCAGTGGCTTGGAGATGGTACCGTGACAATTTTTCGCTTCCTTGGTACATCCCCAAACAGTTCATCAATTCGATCCGCACTAGCCAGCGTGTGCATTCAAATTTGCGAAGTGTACGGATTGGACCTTCCAAAAGCAGATATTCTGGAAGATTTTTCCCAGCTAGTTCGATTTTTTCATGATTTGATCGCCAACTTGCCAGTGAGTGCTGTTAAACCATTGGTGCTCATTTTGGATTCTGTGGACCAGTTATCTGCTGCAAACAACGCGCATCTTATGAACTGGTTGCCAAAGAAATGTTCAAAATTTGTGAAAATTATAATTTCTGTTTTGCCGAATTATTATGACATTCTACCAAACATTCGTCGAAGTCTTCCAATCGAGAACTCGTACATTGAAGTACCGGTGCTAACCATTGACATGGGGAAGCAAATTCTGGAAGCATGGCTTGAAGGAATCGGACGAACATTAACAGAGGAACAATTCGAGTTAATCTTAGCCCATTTTACTCAATGTCCTCAGCCGCTGTTCCTAAAATTGATATTTACTGAGGCATCGAAATGGGCTTCTTACACAAATGTTCGAGGCTTTGACCTTGGAAGCGACGTTAGTCAAGCCATCCGCCTTTTGTTCCAACGCCTTGAACGAAACCATGGGAGAACCCTTACATCACGTGCCCTCAGCTATATCACTGCTGGCAGAAGTGGTCTCACAGAAAGCGAGCTTGAAGATACCCTATCACTTGACGATGACGTCATTGATGACGTGTATCAATACTGGGATCCTCCCGTTCAAGGCGTGATTCGTTTGCCGAACTTACTGTGGGCGCGTATACGCCATGACATAGACGAGTTTCTGACTGAGCGACAGGCAGACGGAAAGACCGTGATTGCATGGTACCACCGTCAGTTCTGGGAGACCGCACAGACTCGTTATTTATCTGACCCAGAAGATAAAAGGTCTCGTCATTCCTTGTTGGCTGAGTATTTTCAAGGTAAAACTGCAGTTTTGTTTCCAGCTTAGCAAGTGGTTAAAACTCAAGCGTGTTGATTTACCATCTAATGAGTCTTCAATCACACATGGATTGGGATTTAAAGACAGTTTTCCGTCTTTAAATTCAGATTGGACGGTATCATTTCTCACTGGATTCTATCCTTTACGAGTTCCCCGTCTCGTAGTAGGACTTCGGCTAATCTCAAAAAAAGGTTTCCCCGTAGAATAATTTACCTTTAAGTGTACGGTAACTCACTGAAACGAGTCTGTCAGTTCCAAACAGCTGATTTTAAGGATAATTACAGTCTACTACACCTGTAACTGTTCCATATTTAGATTCATGAAAGCTATTGTTTTTTATATCATTTGCAGGCAAATGGGGCGGTGGACGAAAGAAACACATTATTTTGAATCGTAGGAAGAAAACGCTACCAGACGCTGACAGGCAAGTCTCCAGTCAGCCACAGATGTTTAGCAAGGATGTGTTTAACTTAAGAAAGCTCAGTGAAATGCCATATCACCTCATTTACTCAGGGCGAGCTTCTGCATTGGACGATGAGGTCTTGTTCAATTTTGAGTGGATTAATGACAAATTAAAAGGACAGTCATTAAATGATGTTTTGGAGGACTACGTCCTTGCACTAGAGGTCAGACCGGAGCTGGACGTAAGGTGGGAATTGGTTATAGTAAAGTTAAATTAAGTTAGTTATCATACCTCTATTCCTTTAGGGTTGTTATTTAAGATTAAAAGCAATCTCTTTTTGACGGAAAAATGGTTAAATACGGTAGTAGTTTGTTTCGTGGTGAAACTTTGAGATCAGTACAAGATTCTGGGAAACTTCCCGCCTACCCCTGCCCTAATCCAACGTTAACGCTGCTTCTTACCTAAAGCAAAATATTGGATTAGGGAGCAGAGGGTTCAGTCAAGGTTTCATTTGATTGTTTGCTTTGCAAATACAAATGCAAAAAAAGACTGAAACAGATACCTTTCAGTGAGGGTATGTAGCCAGAAAAATACTACAAATGACTGAATATTGTATATATTTCGAGAAAGGTTGTCGGAAAAATTGTGCACGAGACAATCCCGAAAGGTAATATGGGATATGATCAATACACTGTTCCTGACGACTGTAGCTGTCGAACCTACTTTTGTTGCTTTCCTTTGTCGCAAACACATTCCAATTCTTTCAAATTTCTTTGAAAAAAGAGAACTCAAAAACCCAACAATGCCTTCCAGGAAAACCCCGAAATAATCATGAAGAGCTACCCTGGTTTAAAGTTAATTCAGGTATATTTTGATGAGAAAACCCCAGCTCTCGTTTTTTCAAGACTTTCATGCAGTTGTCGTGCTCATTTAAGTAGTTTAGTTTTGATTGGTCATTTCAAGTTCCCAACAGTATTTGAAATTCTGTTTACTAGGTTGATCCATGATACTCTAATCCTTGCCTCGAGCAACATCAAACAGGATGTGAATTGCCTGGCCACACAGCTTCTTGGAAGACTGCTCGCCTTCGGCGGACAGTTTCAAACAATTCACAGCCTTATTAAACAATGCTTTCGCTGGTGCTACGAGCAGCAGTCACCTCTCTTCATCCCTCAGACAGCGTGTCTCATCTCGGCTGGTGGACCTCTGAAAACCAACCTACGAGGTCACGAGCAAAGAGTGAACGAAGTTCTTGTCACTAGTGACAATAAGTTCATCGTCACTTCAGGCGAAGATGCTCTTATTAATGTGTGGAACAGCACCAATCTTGACTGCCTTCACACGCTAAAAATGGCCAGCAAAGGGCAAAGCTGTCTAGCATTGACACTGGATGACAAATATGTCATTGGATCCGCCAAATCCAGCGTTGGAGTGTGGAATATTGATTCTGGAGAAGCTATGGCGCATTTTGACAATGGATGTGTGGTCACGTGTTTAGCGACGTCTTCTGATGGCGCTTATGTTGTGACAGGTGGTAATGACGGTACAGTTCAGGTCTGGGGCATAATCGATGGAGCAAAAGAGAGAACGTATCTCGGGCATGAAGGTAAAAGCTCTTTTAAACCGTTTTTCCAAAGTTTGGCTGGTGTAATGTAGTAACAAAGTTTTAACCTTGCATAATCAAATTAGTCAACGCTGCAACAGGTATAGACTTCGCTTTAGTATTGCAAAAAAAGCTTTATCAAAATATATCTTTAAAAGCATATTAGGTAAAAGGCTGCCGGTCGATCTCTGTAAAGCTTGGACAGAATACATCTTTAAGCATTTATCGATCCATTTTTTTGTGAAAACATTCCCATTCAGTTTCTTCGTCCTGCGGATGAAGAAACGCAAATCCTTCGAAACGCTGTTTTCAAACTGCAACAAAGATAACAATTTTTCCCTTTATAGGACCAATCAGCGAAATCGTTCTAGGGAATAATGGTGGGGCAAGAGTTATTACTGGCTCCCAGGACAGTTCGATCCGTGTGTGGTCCCTAACAGGAGACGAATGCCTAGCATGTTATGAGGGTCACACCGGTTCTGTCCTCTTTGTATGGCGATGTCATATGACCGTGAGAGCGTCATTTCTGGTTCAGAAGATAAAACGGTCAGGGTCTGGGACCTAAATACAAAGAACTGTGCCACTTTTAAAGGTCACGGAGGTACGGAAATACAAGCAACTGAGTGACTATATCTTTACTGATAATAAGGCCAAGGCTGGCCATGGTTTAAGCGACGTAAAACCGATTCGATCTTGTGGTGCGTTTTTTCAGTCAAGGACCCCCGATAACTTCGAGTGGTCTGTTGTTTCAACTTAAATATACTACCCCATTCTGTAAATATACTATCCCATTCTGTAAATTGTACAAACTTAACAAAAACAACTCTATTAGCTATAGAGGCGCTATTCTTTGGAACGCTGTCTCGAGTCATTTTACAGACCATTTTAGCGTACAGTCGGTCCAGTCGCTGCCCAGTCACTACCAAGATTTTAAATGTTTTTAAGTATTTTAAGTTTTAAATGCTGTAGTCAGTTTACTTAGAGGTAACTAATGTAAATTCATTTTAACCTTGTATTTTTTTTTGGTTAGAATCTTACTGTATATTTTTAGAGTTTTAATTGTAGTTGTGTTTTGTAAGTAATGATATTCTTATTTTTTATGTAGTTTTATCCATTTGTAATTATTTTTACACGACCCCACAAGATTTGAGCTTTAAATAATATCGTGTTTACATAAAGGATATGTATGTATGTATGTATATATGTACATGTTGAGATTTTTATTTAGAAATATTCTTTTAGTTGCTCGACTTTATTTTGAGGATGTAGGGTAAATCCGTTATGTCTATATAAAATTTTGTAAAACCTCTATTTACTGTATACATACTTTAACTTTCAGGTTTAATCAAATGCCTAGCTACCATGAGTGATGGCCGTCGAATAGTGTCTGGATCTAAGGACCAGTCATTAAAAGTCTGGGACCTTGTCACTCTCCAATGTTGCATGACTCTTAAAGGCCACACAGACCTCATTTGGCGTGTGGCTGTGGCTTCTGATGACAGTTTTATCGTATCTGCCTCTAAAGACGACATGTTAAAAGTGAGCAGACTTGTTTTTAGACTTGATCCGTTCTGTTCTCATTTAGAGCTACACGATACTGTGGCTGATATTGCTGAACAACCCTTATGCGATCTTCCTCTACCTTTCCTTCCTAAACTTAAGATTTCGTTGTTGCCCTCGTGGCTCAGCCAAATGTTAATTTTTCCGTCAATACTTCGTCTTACTTTTCTGCAGCCACCAGCCTTTAAGTTGCAGACGCCGGTTTTTCTTAGTTATGTATTTGCTCTGCATCGTCAGTTCCATAGCAGGGAACAGGACAGGAACACACCCAGCTTAACTCTTACATGTAATTCCAAAGCAGAATTGTCACTGTTCATTTTCAGGTCTGGAATCCAGTGACAGGAGAATGTCAGCAAACACTGATTGGCCATTCATCCTGGATTTCATGCGTCTCCATCACGAAAGATTGCAAAACCATAATTTCTGGCTCAAATGACAAAAACGTCAAGCTGTGGAATGCCATGGGCAATGAGGATGCCGAGAAATTGTCAACGCCGAGCGATCACATAATTCACCATGCAACACAGCCTGAGTGTGTTGCTATAACAGCGGATGGTCGTTGGGGCCTGTCTGGTTCTAAGAATGACTCTTTGAAGTTGTGGGATATCAAAAATGCGAAATACGTCAGCAACCACGAAGCCTCCATTTCTTCTATCGCCGCTATGCATAAATCCACGCGCGTGGCAACTGGTTCGCACAGTGGTGACCTAACAGTGTGGAACTGTGATGGAAATCTTGAGGTGGAGCAAAATGTAAAGGTGCATCAAGGAAGTATTTTATCTTTGAAAGTCTCTAAAGATGACACGTTCATTTTGTCGGCGTCCAGCGATAAGACGATTGGCCTTTTCCACGTTGTTAGCGGCCATGGGGAACAGCTGCTTGGTCATTCAGATGCGGTCTTGTGTGTTGATTTTATGAATGGAGAGCTCTGTGCTATCTCTGGGTCAAAAGACAAGACTTTGCGTCTATGGAACTTGCAAAAAAAGAGGTGTGAACAAATCTTTTCAGGTCACGCTGGAGATGTTGGTTGTTTAGCATCAACTGACGACAACACGATTGTAGTTTCGGGTTCAGGAGACCATACCATTTGCGTCTGGAGCACTGACTCGGGTGAGTGTTTGCGTACAATAGAAGGTCATCATGACTCAATCAAATGCTTGGGAATCACAAGTGATAATCGCTTCGCAATCGCTGGATCGCATGAAGGGAAAGACCAGCTTCTAATGTGGGACCTCTCCAACGGGAACTGTGTACGAAAGTTTATCGGTCACACCCACGCAGTTATGAACCTTCAGCTTCTTTCACGTGATTCTCGTGATACGGCGTCAGGACCGTGTGTTGAAGGCATTCATGTTTTGATGACTAGCTCGCGCGATGGGACCATAAAAGCGTGGGACATAGCAAGTGGCAAGCTGGTTACCTCATTTGATTTTCAGTCCCAAGTCAAGTATTTCGACGCGCACTCTGCTGATGACGGCTACTCTGTGATCCTCGTCACTAAATCTGGAACAGTTTCTGTTCTGAAGCTTTTTTATCCCGAACAGGAAACCAACAACGACCAAGGTGTCCCCTTAGTTACAAGTAACTTCCAAATGAGCGAAGATAGCTCTTCCGCAAAAGAAGCACCATCTGAAAGCTGCTGTCCGTGCTGCCAATTTCAGTGTCAGTGCCAGTGCAAAAAATGTACTGTGTTGTAAATACGAAACCTTTAAAAATGGTCAAATTCATCGACTAAACAGGGTTCAAAAGGCTTCAACTTATCAGATAGTCCTTTCTATCGTCTGACCTTTTATTCGAATGAGTTAGGCAAAAGTACCTTATTGCTAATTTGTGGCTGTGGCTGAGGTAATGGTTTACAAGAATAAAAGTGTTTCCCTCCACTGATGGAAACCCAAATCATTTTATATTTTAAGAAGGTCTGAACTTTTTAAAATTTCTACAAACTGGAACAAGAAAAGCGCATATTTAGAAATTAACTTTTAAGGTAAACTGGAAGTAAAACGCATATTGGAAGAAACGTTAAACGTTATTTCGATACAAAATGGAATTTCCCTTAAAATCAGTAAATAATTTGTGTATTTGTCGATACATGTCCTGTACATGTTGTTGTCGTTACGTGGGTTAATCCTTCTTTTTTTTATTTGAATTTTCTATTATAATATGGGTTTTGAATTTCACGGATTCACACACATCACGGGAACAATCGCGAAAACGAGAGATTTACATGTTCCAATATAATTTAGACTCGCTACTTAGTCCTTGGTTTGTTGCTGGCTCACACTCACCCGCGTTCGAGCTTTCCCAATCTCAGTACAACATGTTCACTTTATTTTCACAAAAAGAAACAGACCTTGTTTTTATTAAGGGAACGACCTCAATACTTGATGAGTACCATGGCCTTCTGAAAGATGTCAATATTGCCTGAAAAATTTTGGCATTTCCGCTTCATTTTCCCTAATAATCTGTTTAAGCCGAGTGTATTTCGCTTATTTTTCATGGATATTTTAAGGCCCAGTATGAGGGTTGTAATTTGTGTTTTAACTGTTTATTTCATTTACTTATCAGTGGCGGGTCCAGACCTTCAGATAATGGGGGGCGGTCATCCAGACCTTGAGTTAAGGAGGGGCTGGTTTCCAAAATATTTTTTTCGGCCCTTCAGGCGTCAGTTTTAGGTCTAAAACTATGGTGGGTGGGGGCTTTGTGGGGGCCCTCCCCTGGATCCGCCACTGCTTATAAGCCAGTATTCAGGACCTTAAACTGTTGCGAGCTAAGAGGGATTCAGTAAGCTGGGGGCTCAAAGTTTCGTTATATAATGCTTAATAAGAACTGGGTAAAGAATCATTATAAGCATAGTGTGTGAATTTCGTAACGCGTAATGCCCCCCCCCTTTTTTTTTGACTGGTCAAGTCGTTAAAATTGCTCAATAACAGTGTGCTTTGTAAGGTAATATTTACAAAATGCAGGTTTATTCCATTCATTCAATCAGCTGCTCTGGAGAGTGTATTGTTTTTTTTAGTACATTGCATTCTTCACTTGTGTAGTAGTTGGGAAATTAGTGCTATCGAGCCAGTTGTGATGAATGATGTTTTTGTTGTAGTTAATTTTTTATCTCAGGTAATTTTTGTTTTTCTATTGTTTTTGGGTATGGTAAATGTATGCTAATGAAGTTAAAACAAAAGAAAGGATAAAAATTACCTGAGATAAAAAATTACAACATTTACGAAAGCATTTCCTCATGGCACGACTAGCTTTTATGATATGTAGCAAAAAGTAAGAAAATTGCACAAAATTAAACGAAGACGTGAACTGCAATACCTTGAAGCGTAATTTTTAAGAAAGGTGGAGTAACAAAAAAAGCTTGCGTTTCCACTTGAAATAGAAAAGATACATTCAACATCAAAAACAAAAACGAGGTTTAGTTTTCGCACAGATTTATGAAAGTTTACTTATAAAAAGAATTAACTACCGTAAAATGCTATTTTAATGGGTCTTCAGAAAATGTACTGGTATAGTGGCTGGTTTTTTACCCAATAACTATACTCAACTGCCAAGCTTTTTAAACAACTGGATCTCTTTTGGCAAAAAAAGTTTACTTAAGGATGCTAAAGCACTTTCGGATGTGGCAAAACACCTTTAATTAGCAGATGATGCCTGGTTTCCAGTTCACATATAGTAACGAGGCTGACGTCGAATGTTTCGCAATTAAGTCAAACATTTACTGGAGCATCAACGTTCGTTGCGGTCCAGGTCATGAAAGTGTTACCGGTAACCGTGCTAGATAAAATGAACGACTGATTCCAATCTAACTGAGGTTTTGTTTTTGAGTTTAATGGCAAAGTTAGTACCGCTACAGAGTGACTTGAGTGTAAATGGCTCATAAAAGATGTCTTTAAGCAGCATCCGATATCAAATATTAGTCAGAAACACAACTAATTGCTGGTCAAACAGAGCTCTTAGCGATTAAACTGTCTTCTTCATCCTGTTTCCTGACTGCTGAGAGCCCTGTTTTACCAGCAAGTAGGCAGAAAGATTATACTTTACTCTGTATCATCGTCGATGCGTATGTTAACCTAAAGAGTGAAAAAAAGATAAAAAGTATAAAAATTGAAATAGGCTATTAAAACACTAAAGCTGCATGCAGCTATTTTCGTATTAGAAATACAGTGTTTTTAAATTTCCTTGTAATTAATGAAATTATACTCGTTCAGTTTGCTGGATCTATATTTTGCTAGTTTTCATGTATGACTGGCAGATTCATAAGTGGTGCTCAAGACATCTTAACTGCGGTTTCCATTAATGGTGTCGTTTAGATAATAACGTTGTAAATCGTGGAAATTGACTGGTACTTGTGTCCGTATTATAAATTCGTCAAAAAACCATGACCCTGTTTTGAAAAATTAAAACTTCATAGACGTTGAAATTTGAATTTATCGAAGGATTTATCTTACTTTGTAATTTGTTAGCAAAAAATGTTTCTCTAATTGCATGCAGATTTCATGCAATTTATCCTATGTAATTCTCGTGGCTAAACAATAACGAGCCTATAACTTCCAAGGCCATAAATTATGCTTATTAACTCCTGAATTAAAAAATTGTGATTATCATTATAATTACAGCTGTAAACAATTTTTTGTCTTGCGTAAGCGGGTGACAAGTTTACAGTTTTTATTACGATCCTTTAAATTAAACTGGTGTAGCAGAAGACGTTCTGGCATGTTGTAACGAGTAAAAAAGAACCTTGATCACTGAAAGAACCTTGTGTTCTTAAGGAGCACCGTCCTACTTCAGTCAAAACTCCGTTCGGCAATTAGTCTCCCACAATTGTTTGCCTTAGGTAATTCGTAAGTATTTCGCAAAAAAGAATCCTTAAAAGTCGACGTCTCAAACTTTCGCCCACTCAGAGGAGGAAAGTGTAGATTGGTTTTGCTGGTACCTGAACTAACATTCATTATCTCTAATGCATCCATGATGTCACAATAGCATCAGTTTGGTAGGCATTGACGCAAACTAACACTCAGCACGTCAAACAGGGCGAGATACACGCAAAACACAATTAGTACTCTCAGCTGCATATACTCAAAATCAATGAAGTTATAAACTTTATAATCAGCTCTAGCTTGGCGGAGAAACACATCAGTTTTCTCAGTAATAGGCACATAAGATTTACCAACTAAATTATTTCTCGTCACATACAGGGGAAGTCTTCAATCCAAATGCGAAGTTTCACCTTTGTCATCGCTTTCCTAATTCCTGTCTGTAGCTACGGAGAATGTTCACGTCTGGGCGGTGGAAAAACTAAGGCGACTTTTACAGCGTGAGTAAAATGTAAATAGTGTTCAAAATGATTCTCGGTAACTAACTACCGCCTGCATTTAGGGAACTTGGCATAAGCATTTCAGGGGCATGAAAAGATCGCCTTGATTCGTTTTTGCCTATCAGGGTGCCCTGCTCCGCTCTGGGAAAAGTCTCGCAATGTTTTAATTTGATCATAGCATCATTCACTAATGTACAAGCCTTGGTAGCTTACTCTCCGCTTCTTTTTTTAATACAACAAGTCTCGCAAGTCTAATGAAGTTAGAAAGGAAATATGTACAAGTAGCCAGCCTTTTAGTAGTACTGATCTCTTAAAAAGCCAAAGAATATTTTATGCTGCAAAATATCCCCTTGAAATGTTGCCTGTTAAGAAGAGACAAAAAGCAACTGACTGCGACGAGAAACGCGGCATTTCTGGAAAAAGATAAAACTTTTAACTTTGTTACCATGCAACTAGCACTGGCAGGTGATTGCAAAAGGGGCGCACTAGACTTCATTAATTTAAGTCTCATTCTTTCCACCCTGATGCCATAATCCGTCCGCGATCATGATGCCGGAACTCATCGTCCCAAATTGGCCATCCTTTTAGATAACCAAGCTTTTACGCCTCAGCTATACCTGTTGATATATATTTTAGTTTTTCTGTTAAAGTTGACATTTTTGTTCTGATTTTTGACAACTCTGCACCGCCAAGTACTTTTAAAACAATAAACAAGTTTAACAATGGCAGCAGAATAACTAATTAGAGAATTTCAATTAATTTCATTTTCTTTTCATTTTGACTTTTGCTAGGATCATGGATAGAAAATAAGTTTACAAAAAGTTACCCTAAAAGTGCTAAAAATTGATCTTAAAGACGTTCTATCGTTAAGTCTTTAAATTTCAGTCTTCTTTTTTCGCTCAAAGTTAGCTTCACTTCTCTAAAATTTACAAGAAAAATACCGGTTTCGTTTTTAGTGATATCTCCGTTTTATTTTTCGTAATCCCCTTATCCTTTGTCGCCTTATATTTTAATTATTTGTTTTTTTGCGAACGAAAGTAACTTAGGAAACGTTTGCCAAAGAATGTGGAATTCAGCGGAGAATAATCTGAAAATTGGTAAGGATATCGTCATCTATGCAGGAATTAAACCACATCCCCTGATTACACTGACAAGGCTAGGGAAAGCAAAGATGAAAAGAGACATTTTCGTGAAATTTAAAGGTGACTTTTTCTTTTTTGATTTGTTCTCAGTTTAATTCTATTAATATCTTAAATAATTGAAAACAAGCTTGTCTGTCATGGTCTTAAAGTGTGGGGAGCTTAAGTCTTGGGATCGATCGCCGGGAGAAATCGTTATTTATCCCCAGTGTGATCCATGTGATCATTACAAACTACCTGTAATGTTTCACAAACAACGTTATTTTCCCCTAAATAAGGTATTGAAGGGCAGACACCGTTGAAACGCACCGTTACCCTTACCCGATGTTCAAGACGCACATCTCCTCGAGAGCGCGAAGTGCGATCGGCTTTTTCTGCCACATATTCCCCGGGGGTACCCTTCCTTGCTTGGCTTAAACGGGTATATGCCGCTGAACAGCGTCAGGTATACAATTTCACTATTTAGCGTCTTGGACAAGGTGTATTTTTTCGACCAGTCAAAGCCGTTAAAAGTTCTTCAAGAAGAGTATTTTGTTTGTTTGTTTGCAATTTTGGTTTTTTTTTACAAGATTGTGGTATTTTGTTTTTTTTTTTTTTCAAAAAACGGAATTCCGTAATATTAGTTTGAGAAATTGCTAGGTCTGTGTGCGAAACAAAACGAATCAGGCTCATAAAAAAGGTCTTTTGACTGAAAACAGGGTCAGGTTTTGCGAACGCCTCGGCGGCACACTTCTTCCAATATTTCCTTGAGTGCCCCCCCCGGGTCATATTCTCACCAGAGCAATTAGAAATATTTCTCTATCTCTCTTAAAGCCTTGTTAGATAATTACGAGGCAGACGAAAATCGACCAGAAAAGACTAATGCTACAGAACTGCTGGAAGAGGATGCTTTGATCGACGCCATGGTTGTCAGTGGAGGGCCAATGGATATTGCCTTTCAGTATCTCAAAGAACAAGGCAGTATTTCATTCAATGTAAATACCACATTTGACTTTCTTTACCCCATCTCCTACCCCTAAATACGCCTGATGATCCTTAATGCTTAAACTAAAGGGAATATGCCGTATTTAGAAAGAATTCCTCACTTGTGATGAGTGAACCTTTTGAATATTCCCTCCCTTGTTGACTCTCGAATCATCCGCAGAGGTTTTCAAAAAATCATTTTTTTATTTATTTACATTTGTTTTATTTGTTTGTTTAGTCACTCACATTACTCAACATTAAACACATTTAACAAAATTTGGTAATCAGTAAATTGTACACAAATGAGACAAGGCAGTCTAACTTAAGCTACAGAACGACTAGGAATTCGTTCGTTTGATGAAAATTTTAAAGATAAAGTATCGGGAGTGCGGTTTCAGATGTCTGTAGTCTCCGATGCCCAACTGCAGTGGGTTTGGCAAAATCTCGACGTTGACAAGACTTCTATCTGTTTGATGTCATGTTTTAGTGCCTTGACCAATTCAAGCCTGTCTTAAAGAAGATGTGGTTTGAAAAGTACGCTAAAAGACGAAAGGGTCCTCATTTTTCTGGATTTGAGCACACATTTGTCGGTAAGGCTCTTCATTTATGGGCGTTCGTAGTTATAAATTCTCTTAAATGTACGATACCCAAAATTTATGCAAAAATATGCTGTGGAATGGCAAATCGATAATCAAAAAGAGCAATAACACAACAGAAACAATGAGAAAACTGAAACAGTTGAAATATGTAATAAATGTAGAAATCAAATATTAATTATCTCTTCCAAGTCTTTCCTATAGCATATCAAACTTTGCCTATCGTTGGCACACAATAGAGCTAAAGTTTCTTGGATATTTTTGTGTTTCAAGAAGCGGCGTTTGACCTCTAATCGGATCGGTAAATTTTCGGTGTGACATTTTCTCACTTAGTAGTGGTCTGGTGCTTTAACTTTGTAGTTTCACGTTAGATTCATTCGTAACACTAAGCTGTTTCCACTCTTAGCCGCAAAAAACGGGAGAATTGATATCGGATGAATTTGTCCTAGCAATAATTCATATTTTGCGTAAGCTTACCACGTTACAATCTTGTCTTCATGATTAGGAGAAGTGGTTTATGACTGGAAAACCAAACGGAGAATTACGACGGGATTTCACAACTGGATCCAGTTCCTTTCTGAGAAGCAAACAGGGAGGCTAACCTATTCTCCTCCACCCCTGGGAAGATCTGTTAACACTGAGGTACATGTTAAACCCTCCTGTTTAAACTCAAGGCGTACGATGCCGTTTTTAGGTTCCTTGTGAAACTGACTCGATGTTGCGTCGAATTGCACCTGCATCTGAATGCTAATGCTTCTTTTATATTGGCTGTCACAAAGTTCGGCATCGGGGGGGGGGGGGGGGGCAAGTAAGGCACTCCCTATAATGACCTATATGGGGTAACTCTATTAGGCTTCAGTTATATGAAAGGGTTGGGATTTCAATCCGGGGTGTAAAAAGGTTCAAAGGGCTGACAAGGTCAACAGATGCATTTCATGCCTATGAAAAAGTCGAGAAAAAGTTCTGGTTTTGTGATTTATTCGTATTTATTTACAGCAGTTAAAAGGGATGCAAAGTTCTAAACTAGGTATGAGAAAGGGAACCATTCGTCAATAGAAGGTATACTAAAGCGGTACCTTTTGTCAAAAATGGTATATAAAAGGGAATAAGGGGTTTTACCTCGGGGCGGAGCCTCCCCATGTAACCCTTTGTTGAGTATCCGCCCCGGGAAAGGAAACTCGGTCAATAATAGTCTCCGAAAACAGTCCCATGTTGCAGTTCGACACAACTCCGATCCAGTCTCTCGCGAGCGTAATTTTCAGTAACTCTCAAATGACCAGCAATAGCGAGTTGGTTTTATAGTGGTTCATGAACACTTGCGAACAAAATAAAACTCCACAAACATCAGGAAGGTCATTAAAAGATGTCATACAGTGGAACCTCTATATAACGAAGTCATCGGTACAGCGAACGATTTCTTTACCCCAGTCAATGGTAAAATATATGGAAAAGAACCTCGATATAACGAAACCTTGTTATAACGAACACATTTTGCCAGTCCCTTGGCCCTTCATTATATCGAGGTTCCACAGTACTTTCCGCAAGCCCATATTTTATTGCCGGAATTCTGCGCTTCCATTGGAATAAACAGATTAAATAAATAACTTTTCTGTGGTTGAACATTTCATGATTCTTCAAAAGTATTATGGTTATCTTAGTTTTTTTTCTAATTTCAATGTTAAGCAGGTTGGTTTTATGACTAGTTACCGATAGCCAGGGTTGAAATTCATTTTTGGATTCAATTTGTTTATCTTAGCCAGCGTTGGTCAGAGCCAGATTTCAGTGGGGAGGGGCCAGTAAACCTCCAGGAAGCAGCTTTTTTATTGGTACAAGCCCAGCCTTTGAAATGGCCTTGTACACTGCGTGTTTTTTCCAGTCATCTACCTGCACATGTCAAATCAATGGAAAACCACTGACCATAACGTCCGTTAACTTCAACAAAAAAGGATTTGTACTAACGGCGTTTCCAAGGTTTTGAATCTTTGCTGGTGGAAAAAGGCCATACTTCATAGTTGTACTCTGAGAGCACCAACTGTAAATTGATTGTCTAGACAGATTTTGCGTTTATTAAGTCCCCTGGATAATGTGATATGTGATACAAGATCAGTCTCAATTGAAACTGTATTTTCCCTCATACAATCGCGGGATCGTCCCCTTTTGGTGGAAAAAAAAAATTTCCCCCGACTGTTATTCGAGGAAATACGGTATGCTCAAATCTTAGTATCAGGAAAGCACTAGGCTACATTCGAACTACAGGCGCCGTTTAGATTTTGATTTTAAAGATAGTAACAAGACATTTGTGAAGTTTAATCCTTTAGCCTTTACACAACTGTTAAGAATCATGTATATAAAAACAAAACAGAATAAAATACTACTAAAAAAACTACTGAAAACTGTAACCATCAATGACCTTAACATCTAAATCTTCATCTTTGGTCCTGATGTTTAAAACACGTGTCTTAGGATCTTGGAGTACCTAAGAACAAAAGAAAACACCAAGGTGATGTTGACAATCTAGGGGAAGGGTTGAAGAAATCATCTTAAGTTAAGTTAATACTGGCAGTCAACTCTCTATCAAAAGGACACACCTTTGAGACCAAAACTCTAAAGTGTCTGTTCAAGATTGTAGCGTCCGTATTAGAGTGGAGAGTTAAATAAAGGGAGTAAAGAAAGGCAGGGACCAACTCTAAGGTGTTCGTTTTACTATATATATCTTATGTTCTGTTGGATTATAATAATGCATTGTGTAGAAACAAGGCTTAATATGTATCCTGACTTAGGATAGCTTACTATAGGCAGTCTGCTGGCCCCTGCTTCACTGCATTTCTCCCAATTGACTCAAAATCTATTCGCAATTCACCCTCTCTCCAGTTGACTTAATTGGCTCAATTGAATTAAGACGTCTCAGTCGGTCATCGCTATGGTCAAAGCTCGAATCCCCGTGAAGAGTAAATTCTTTCAACTTCTTTTTCGTCTGGCGATTTTTAGGATCGGCTAATATTTCCTAAGATCACTTGAATCATTTCCTGGTTTTAAATTTTGATCGCCCTGTAAACTCATTTCGTCGAAAAGTTTCCATGTTTCAAAAAAAATCGTTAATTTACGAGAGAGAACAGAGAACACCGTCCATTTATTTAACCCAGTAATTTTAAAAAAGTCCAGTAGTGCCGACATTCATTTTGGCAGCATATGTTCTCCTTTAAAAGACTAGCCAAATGATTGGGTACATGTAATGTGAGGATGTTATTGTATTCCCTAATTGATTCTCTGGCCGGCCGGAAAATGCCCATAGGGTGGGGTTGGATGCATTTTTGAAATTGTTTGTTGACTGTTAGTTAGTAACAAACGGTTCAACATTTGTTGATCAACAAGCGTTGAACAGTGTTTGTCATGCGTTGTTAAATGTTTTAATAGGCTGTTCACCATGCTGAGCGCTCTAGAAAGCAGTTGAAAGAAATAGAGACGAGTTGTATTCCATTCAACAATTTGCCACTTTTTGAACGGCGCCAACCAATCGTAGTTCCTGACTTAAGTTCTGGTGATTTGGAAGGGAATGAATATGGCGTCTGCTGCATGCTAATACCTGTGTTTATAGTCATTCAACAATTCGCAACATTAATGAGCAACAAATGTTGGACGATGTTGAAGCGTGTTTCACTAGCTTTAAGTTCTTTGTTGGATTAATGCATAATTTTACTCACTATGATAGGCAACTCCTAGTCTGTTCTATCCAGGTCATTCCCAAGGGTTTGTCATATCTAGTCAAATACGAAAAGGAAAACATTTTTTTGTTGTTTCAACTAAAGTTAAAGTCATTAGGTTACTCTTTGCATTTTAGGTCAACTTGTCCCGTAAGACTCTGAGAAACACTTTACTTTACACTAGACCTCGCCTAGCTGCATCCCTGTCACCAGGAACAGGAAGAGGCAACGTGGCCGAGTGTTCAGCACGACGGACTCAGCCAACTGATGTAGCCTCCCGCCAGTTAATTTTGTTTGTTTCTAAGTATTTGAGTGGAGTGCCAGTAAACTAGCTGGATAAGCTGAGTGCACTTTCCACTATAAACAAACCTTTAACAAACCTTTAACTATGGACTACGAATAAACAAAACTGTACCCTAACTTTAACCTGGGGTCAATTAAAAAAAAAAACGTTTAAAAGTGTAACCATAGTTTTAGAGTCTGAAAACAATATAGCTACACCTGTAAATTACACTTGAAAAAGTTTTATTAAATTGGCCCCTGCAGACAAGGGAGGAAGCGCAAAAGCACTAGAATTTCCTCCGGTAAGGGCACGAATCACAGGAGGTAGGGAAGGATGCCGTGGGATGCTAGGGGGACTAGGGCGAGGGAGAAAGGTAGAGAAACGTTGTTTTTCGCCCTATTGATCGCATTTTCTTCTATCCTTATTCACTCTCTGCTTTAAAAATCACTCAGGAGAAGTAATGATCGCTCCCTTAACCGAGAACTATACTTGCACTGCAGGCTTAGCCTATTCCAGCCGTTCAGATATCAGCTACCCCACTCCCTCGCTGTTTTTGCTTGTCACATCTCTTTACGTCTTCCCCACAATCTAAACGCCTGGAGAACAGGCTACTGCAGGCCGTCCTATCCAAGATAAGCGAGTCTGAAATTACACCCCACAGTAAAATCTTTTAAACAGTAACTTGCAGGTTCTTTTGTTTAGTTTTTTGTTGTTGTTGTTAGCCTGCAAAGCAGGCGTAAAATCCATGAGTTTTTGAAATCTTGGAGTAACTCTTGGGACGAGTCAAAGAGTGATTTTAAGGGAGAGGTTGGGTTTAAAATTTTCAAGTTTTTTTTTGTTGTTGTTGTTGTTGTTGTTTTCTTTTTTTTGTTCATGATTAAGATGACGCCCTCTTGTTAACTATGGCAGACTGGTTTCTAGCGTAAACCAGTCGAAACCGCTTGAACACCACAGCTTTTAAACCTGTGTATACTCACACAACGTGCAACAACGAGTTCAAGTAACGGTTGATGCCACTTCACCTGTCCTGTATCAACAAGCACCCCCAAATACTCCGACAACCAATAACACTAACACAACCTTAATACTTACTTCATACATAGGTTGACAGGGTATAATTATGTATACCAAGTGCCTTAATCAAATATGGAATCGATTTCTTTACACAGATCCTAAGGAGGGGGAGTCACAGGGTGTTGAATTTTTTGGATACCACTCTATTACCACTCTATTGTGGATTCGATGTGGATCGTGTTCGTTTTGAGATCATCACCTACGAAACTGGTTTCGAGTTCGTACAAACTTCCCTAAGAGGAAGCTGACAGAATGCTGTTAGGTCACGTTCTAGTAATTGCATAGATGGTCTATTGATCGAAAAGGATAACATTATTTTGGCCACGTGTATAAAAAAATAGAAAGGCCTGCTAAAGATAAGGTTGAATGTGTACTGAAAACTTTTGATAACCAAAGTATAGAATTGTAGAAATTTCCGTATATTGTTTACTCGCAAGGTTTGTACCTCATCTTTGTACTACGATTCCTTTGTGATAGAGTCAAAAGTTACTTAGTATCACAGTTGTAACTTCTTTACTTGTATGACATGTAATTCACAGAAAGGGATTTGAAAAGGAAAACTGACATTAAAACTAAAAAATGAATATCTAATATCACGGAATAGTTTTAAATGAATAATGAATAATCTGGAGAAAAAAGCAAAGAATAATGAATAATGGTGTTCCAATTATTCAGCTTCCATCCCCGAATATTTGTATACACGTGTTTCTCTACTCTGAGAGCCTGGAACAAGCTAGATAATAAAAGAAAAGATGCTCGGCGCATGCGTCGCAAGCTTCTTCGAAAGGGTGGGCAAAGGGGTGAATTCGGGCAACCAGAGACGCGGCTTTCATCGAGCAAATCACGAAGAAGTTAATTTATTTGGTGTTAATAATATACAGAAATGTATAATTGTATTATAGACATCTGCTTGATTCTAGTTGCGGTTTTTTCCTCTGCAAAAGTGGAGTTTCCATCCAACTTTATCTGAAAGAAAAACAAGGGTTAAAGAGCTGGTACAGATCCCATTTTCCCACCTCCTCAATCTGCTTAATTCTTCATATCATACTCACTCTTTTCCAATAATTGCTAATTATACTCAATTCCAGACAATGGTTCCATAATAGGAACATAATATGGTCTCCCTCCCAAGCACTTCGACAATTATTGTTGGTGAGATCAGAGATAATCGATACCATAGTTAAAAGTGGAACAATGTAATAGAATGTAGAATCAATTTCTCAGTGTGCAAACGGTCAATACAAGCAAACGTTCAAGCTTAGTGGCCTAAACGCGTTACAGTATACACTCAGCGAACTGAAACAAGACGACGAAATAATGATAATACAATTGCAATTTACTGGAATGTAGAGCATTTAATTTCCGTTTCCCCTTTTCAATACATCATGTACTTCCCAAGTGTCCGTGGTCTGTTTCAATAGTGTCCTTTGTCTCGCTCCATGTATAGGAGATCCAGGACAGTCTTGGATCCTGGATTCCACGCTTTGGGTTCCGAATTTTAGGTACTGGATTTCAGTATTTGTCAGTTGGAACTTGGATTCTGGATTCCAATCGTTTCTGGGATTCCGTATTCCTTGAGCTGTATTTTCAGATTCCAAAACCCAGGATTCCCGATTCCACAAGCAAAAATTTCCCGGATTCTATTACATGGGGCGAATTGTCCGTCTTAGGTTCAGTTTATATTGAAGAAAAATTGTCCTTGGTAGAAGGATTACTCGTCTACCCGAGCTACAATGGGCATGCCAACTTTTCCTACATTTCGTTACAAAACTTGACCAACCGTTTACATCAGAAACAAAATGTTGGCTCGGCAAGAAGGATGACCCACCTAGCTAGGTCACCCTTTTTAATTGGTACGTTTACCCTCCTAGCCGGGCCAACTTTTCACCATATAAACACTTTGGCCGGCTTGCCCAGTCCTATCCTAAACTCTAACTCTAATCGCTTAATCTGGAAAGGCGGGAGCCCATAACCTGGAGCGAGCATCTCCCGTACTGGGCCTATGTCACGGCGTTTTTACAGACCAGTTTATTTTTAGACACATTTTAAGGCACTTTTTCCCGCGAAAATAGAATCTCTACTATGTCTATATATAGCTGGCAAAGGGTATGATCCGATCACGGCAGGTGTGCAAATGTGCATGTGCTTACGTTAAAAAAAAAAAAAGAAAAGTTCCTGGGTCAGCGTTTCTAAAGATGGCACATGACGGCCATTTTGAAAGCCTCCACTGACTGCTTTTCAATGAGGCTATTTGGCAAAGAGTTCCAGTCTCTGATTTTACATGCAATAAAACCATGTTGGTACTGATTTCTTTGTTCTAGCACAAACTTGAATGAATTTCTTAGGATGGAATTGTCTAGTGCCCTGTCGTCTTTTAAATAACATACATTAGGATAAAAACTGTGTAGCTGATCGACCAGAAACTACGGTAACTTTAAACATCATTGTGATTAGTGTCACTTTCAATCCTTCTTTTCTCGAGTGTTGGCCATTTCAAATCATTCAGAATTTTCGTGACAGTTCCAGGAGGGGTGCTATAAACAATCAGAGCAAGGCTCGGGCAAGAAGAACGCTTGCTAAAGTTGACTCGGGTAGGAGGGTGACCCTCTATCCCGAGGGCCATCCCGAGAGAACTTTTGTTAGTAACGGGGTCTTAGTGAAGTGTTCGTCTTTACAAGGAGGTGTCCGTTATAATAAGAGAGCAGTTGTTGGTTGTGGTCTTACTCGAGCCAAACTGGCGAAGCAATTTTAGAGCCAGATGGGTCCTAAACCACATGACCTTAAACCAGTGCAAAGCTGATCGTACAACGCGAAAATTAACTTTGCGAGAAATAAACTCGACACCGATAAAAGCTTTCGAAAGTGAGGGCGTAGCCGTTGACAGCTGTTTTGTCATTTTTGTGGCTCATCAGAACGGCGTAACAAACATACAGAAAAGCTCTGCTGGGACTGATACCCGCACAATTAAAAAAAGCCCTAACATTGGACTCGGTCACACCTACCGAATCACGCCATATTACGAGAATCCGGGAGGGCCTACGTTCTAGGGCATAATCGTTTGTGGTCCTTTGCAGTTAATGTTCAGTTGTTCCATAACCACGCCCTACACAGTTTAAATAGAAGAGAACCCGCAGAATACTACCCTAAAAATTTTACCCAAGAAAGTTATAAGTCGCCACGTGTGAGTTTGAATTTCTTCTCATACCTTAAACTCGCTCTACCATTTCGAAGCTGTTATTCGTATTCATAAAAGTAGCAGCAGACCAAGCCTGCAGGACATGATCCCTCAACTTGGAAGTATGCCCCGACTCCAGCTATCTCACCCTGACAGTTGGCATAACTGGAACACGTGTCTGAACAGGCCGCAGCAGCACGCTTTTCGTATCCATACATCAAACCTGTTTAAAATTGCACCAAAAAAAGGGATTGTTACAATTAACAGCTCAAAAAATACCATAACATACCATAATGCTCTTTGTTTTTCACCACAAAATTTTGCATAAGCATTTTCTTCAGTTTGTCTTGAGAGTTAAAATGGCCCCAAGAGAAACTGAAAACAATGCTTATGCAAAATTTTGGGGTGACAAACAAAGAGCATTATGGTATGTTATGGTATTTCCTGGAGTGGTCAATAGAGAGGAGAAGTGTGGCGTCAAGTTACCAGGGTAGCAATAAGGGAGCTGAAGCGACGGCGACGCTGTTAGTTGTTCCTTTGATAAACGGTCGCTGCCATTTTTAAGACACTTAGAAAATTCATTTGACCTGATATTGAGAGTGTTTCCATTGAGCTGAGAAAGATAATCGCATATCAGGGTGGAATCCGGACCTCGAACCCTTTCGTATCCTAAGACATAATACAATGATAACATAATTAAGGTTTTGTTTTACTCCTTAACCATCTTGCTTTTTCGACGTTCCTGTTGCCGTCGCAGTCGTAGTTTCGTAAACACTTACTTTTGAAGAAAAATGGGGGGTGGAGGGGGGAGGTCGTAATTTAAATTTAAGTTTTACTGTATATTGCTGGGCCCAGTTGTTCGAAGGCCGATCATGCTTAACCCAGGGTTAAATTTATTCCGGGTTTCTTTAGTCTTTAATTCGATAATTTTCTCGTTATATTTAAGAGCATCCAATCATCAACTTTTTGACAAAACTGAATTTACTAAACATAGCTTTGATCAACCAGGCCCTGGTTGTCAGTTGCTTTTACGGTAGTATCCAGTCCAGAAACGAACATATAAAAGGAGGCTGGGGAAAAGTAGCCTCCTCCGTGGCCATTTTTTGCAATGTTACCCAACGTTACTTTTCGGGGAGTGATGCATGGCATCCTAAAATGGACTGCGAAGAAGACAATTTGGGGAGGAAGTGGGGAGCGAGCCTGCCAATGCATGAATCCCAACAAACCTCAGCAGCTGTACGGTATCATATTGTCAGTCTGCAATGCGATAATCCTTTTAGCCCAAATCGTATATCTGAATCACTGGATGATGCAATTCTAGAGCTCTAATTGGCTTAGCCATAATAGTATATGGGCCATTATACCGTGCTCTCCAAATATGGTAACTGCACGCTTCTGCTCAAAATTAAAAACAAGCTGAAAATCGGTTGCTTTTACAAATAAAGTCGGGAAGAATTCTCGATATTTTGTGGGCGTTTTAATAAAAAACAATTATTCCTGTCGCGCTTGTTGGATATTAGATGATTATAGCGTATATCCAACGTGAACTTGTGGAATAATTCTTAATTATTTATATTGACTACTTAATTTCGCTACCTTACCTCTTTGGAACAGCTTCGCAAAAGGATTCATCATTCCGCGAGGTTTGCATGCTGCGAGTGAAACCATTGCCAAGAGAAAACAAGCGATCAGCAATTTTGCAGCCATTTTTTTTCTAGAAATAACAAACAAAAATAAAAAGAAAATTGTAACGCATTCAGCCACTCATATACCTCCCAAAATTTTTGCTGGACGGCCTTCCCTCCATAATCAGCCAGCGTCTAGAGGCGGGTGGGCTTCGGGGCTGAAAGAATAAATATAACCTTTCTTTATTCCATTAATCCTCCACAAAGGGAATTTTTCATTTTTTTCTTTTCTGCTCAATTTTTTTATCCTTACTCCATTATTCCTTCTCAGCCCTTCAGCCTCCTAGTCAGAACTCCTGCAGACGGCTACTTGCCAGTCCGAATATAAGCAAAGACCAACATCTTGAGATGAAGGAGCAAGGTTTCGAGAAACCAAGCCTTATTTACGCAGCCGTTTATATCTTGGCCAGGATAAGGTTTAATTTTATTCCTTTTTGTTCATTTGGAAGGGCTTTTTCCCGTTGGCGCGATAATACTGATCTGCGAAAACACGGATTTTTGAGTGATTTCCAATTTTGACTAGAAGCATTACTGGATTATGAATGTTTTTATTAAATTGTAAAATATTTAAATTGGACTGATAGCCGCCTCTCTTAGGCTGTCTGTTCGTTTTTTTCTGTCTGTTTTTTTTAAGAGCTTTGAGCCGCAATAGATTCAGTGAATTGGGGAGCTATATGGACTACTTGAATTGATTCAGAAATTCAACCAGGCCATTCTGGTTCGATATGTTCTTAAATGAAGTACCAAAAGGGATCAAGCCTTTGTAAATTATGTTCTGACGAACGAAGAAATTTTCACCCGACCTCGGCGACTAAAACAACCTAAATATAAGACTCTTAAAAGCTTACATTTTTAGGTCAACCTTAAAATTAATCAAAATTGAATTCAAAAGAGGCGTTTCTTAAGGTAACCACCGTGTTCATTTCGGACTAATGTAAATTCAAGATGCTACATTACAAAAGACAGTCAAGCCAAGTTGCAAGGTCCAAGTTTTTGACATAAGATTGCTTGTGCTGCTGGGCTTATGTTGTTTAAGGAAGATTTGAAAAATCCTTCATCTTGGCAGGAAAAGCTATATTCATGACCACTAGCGCCCCGCAACGTTGTACAATGTACAACCAGAATCCTCCAACTTTAAATTCAACAATTCCAAAACTGATACTGACTTCTCTTTTCCAGTCAAATATTTTGATTTAACAAGCAATTCGAAACTCCATTCACTTTCAATTACTCCCAAGGGGTTTCAAAAACACAAGACCCCCCTTGGAAATGTAACATGGTTTCCCTTATCAAAGTGAAAGTACTTTGTTTCTCTTTTGTCGAAATAGAATCCAGGATCCAGGACTAAAATGATAGGTCATCTTTTTAAATTCTGCGAAAGGTTTGAAGCCAGGAGTCATTTCATAAGTCGGTTGAGTATGATCGTCCGGGTGAACGGACGGTGACTGAACTTCTGTTTAAACTTTTGAAATATGGAATTTTCCAAATGACCTTTTCCCCAAAGAAATCCAGTTTGAATCGGGCATTGAATCGAAATAATGGAGATTTCAGCCGGGCTGTAAACGTCTTCCAAAATCGAAAAAGAAACTGATACGGACTTAGAGCAGCTCGAAAATTTTTCCAAATTGATTTTAGTGAGTTATTTTACAACCCGCCACGTTTTTATAGGATAAAAGTTTAGATCTGACTGTTTTGTTTCGATTTTTGATTTCCCTCTGAGTCATCTCAGATCATTTTGAACTGCAAAACACTACAATGTTTTAGCAAACACATATCTATAAAAAAAAACTTCCCTGCAAACAGCAAAAATTAACATTTGCCCTCTTTAAATATATTCTGTATGAAGAATTGTTATACAAACCACCAACGAGAGCTAAATCAGGAGTGCCAGTCAAGAGCGATGAAAACGAACTCAGTGATATAAAAAATACCACATGAAATTGGTTTCTACCTCTATTCTCCGTATGTATTTATACTAAATCGCTTCCCGCATACTTTAATTAATCCTTTTAAATGCATACGGGTTTCCCTTCCTAGATTTTATCACCTTACAATTTCGACACGCTGGAAGCATTTTGAAGATTTTTTTTAGTTGTCTTGCATTTTCTTCTTTCTTGGGAAAGTAAATTGGCTCTTTGGTAAACAACGATTTTAATTTTAGTGCAACAAAATCAGTTACATTAGACTCAGCGCAAAACGTTTCTCCCTAAAGACAAGACAAGCTAAGTGTTCTTCGCTGGTTCGAACCAATTATTACTGATCCCCCAATTGATTAAAAAGCAAAAACGTTCTGTTTTCGATTTTCGGAAATGTAACTTTTGAGGTCAGAGTGCTTAATCCTTTAATTTCCCTGAGGATCGCTCTTTATAGACTTTCTCCGCAAATGCCATTCTTTATCAGGCTTCCTTACTCAAATAAATGAATTAGGGCACGTCATAATTTTTTTTGTTTGAGTTCGCAAAAACCACAGAATTATCCGACATTTAAAGTAATTTCCTCTTTGGACCTTTCTATCTTTTTTCCTTATCAAAAAATACCAAACAAAGTTGATATCACGACATTAATATCATGATAAGAACAATAAATAGTTCTATTACAATCACGCAAGGTGAATGCGAAAGCTTCGTTTAAACGCATTCGTTATCCATTGCTAGGTGATGCAGGATTAGTTTAAGCGGGTCAAGAAGTTTTACAGTGCCACGAGCACAACACGGTCTACCCAACATGAATCACCCAGTCATAGGTCGCGTTCTAAGCAAAGGACTCCAACTTTGGCATCTTTAACCACTCAAAAACGAGTCAGCATATCTTTAAAAATCATGGCGTCGGTGTGTCCCTGGTTGAGTTCGTTGAGGCCCTGTGCAGCAAGTCTTTCCCATAGTACAAAACCGCCATGCTGTATAGGCCACTTGCACATCTCCAATAATGCATGCACCTTCTTTGCCCCCACCCCCCTCCCCCCAAAAAAAGATGGCATAAGCATTTTTTTCAATTTCTCTTGGGACGGCTGTAATACCCAGGAGAAATGAAAAACAACGGTTATGCAAAATTTGGGGGGGAGGGGTGGCAGATAAGGTGCATTATGGCAGATGTGCAAGAGGCGTAGTGTAAGAGACACCCCGGGACAAGACAAAGAAAATTATCATTTTAGATGATGTGATCCGTTTGTCTTGTCCCAATGCGTATCTTGCTCCCAAGCGTGGCAGTTTTGCACCACGTAAATGACCAGCTCCAAAAGGCCTATTTATTGCAACTCATTGCAACCTGTCGTAACATCATCAGAAGTACCAGCACCATACAGCCGGGTGTTCAAATGGGTCCACTATGTGGCATCTAACATGTGCAGCAGGAGTTTGGTTTAACAGTTAAATTATTTTTTATCCAATTTGACTTAAAGTGAAGGTTAGAGTAAAACAAAGAAATACCAGTACAATTGAGTGTTTGTTCATTTACTGAATTTTGTTTAATTTTACAATCTAATATTGACTCAGATCAAGACGTTTAAAGCTGTTTTCTTTGGTGTGCGTCAATATTTAGGTCTTTGTCACCTGTGCAAAGAAACAGAAGGTCATAAGAAGATGGAATATGATCGTTAGGACGGGTGTAGTCCTCGATTTTCATTACCAACAGTTTCGTTAAACGACAAAGGGAAACACGAATGAATCATCATTGCGTCATTACCATGGTCTATAACCACAACTCTCGAAAAAAGTAACTAATATTCCTTCCCTACATTCCTGTGAACAAAGGCACCAGCTCGAGGCTTGTGGCGACAAAAAAACACATTTTATTAAATCACGGTCCTAACAAACCTTGATGTCGTTTCATTGCGCTTAGTTATGAGAATATATTTTTTTATCATCATGATCATTGGTAACTATGCCGATACACGAGTATTGCACCAAATGAAAAGAAGAAAACTGATTATTAAAACCGACAATTACGCTCGATAATATTATAACTACATATCGTCAAATTGGAGACCTCAAGACTGTAAGACGAGGAAGACTACGAGGACGCGATAACCAGCGTCATTTTGGCGGGAAAACGTGAAAGCCATCATCACCCTCACTACGGGTTTTAGAGAGAATGTCATACTGGTGGAAACAAGTTGTAACTAATAACGTAAGAAGTTTTATTAATTTGCAATCAGGAGAGGACTTAACCTTCTTCAATAAAAAACACTGCGTTAACTTTCCTGGTAAAAAAAAGTTAAAATGAAGCTTCCCGGTTTTTTCTTTTTTTTTTTAGAATATGCGAATACTTCAAGTCCAATCTTGTTCTCGTGGTCGCCCTCTTACGGTCTCTATTAGCTTAAGTCAGAATGCTGTTTATGCATCAGTAATAAACATAAAATTACATAAAACTCTAACATAATTAAAGACAATGCTTATGAAAAATTTTGGAGGGGTAGCAAAGTAAAGTAGTCGTATCATGGTATTTTTGAAGAAGTTCTATTGGAGGTTATGCTTTCTAGTTTCACAAAACTTTACTGGTGTAAAAAACGATGTAAAATTGCTTTATAATTACCTCACTCGTCGATACTATATTTATAATAATAACAGCACACCAGTCCTGAAGGACAACGTCCGTAAACAAAGAAATATTCTCCGTAAGCATCAAATCCCTGGCAGTTGGAATAAGTCGAGCAGAAGTCTGTGCAGCGTGGGATGGCTCGCTTGTCTTCTCCTTTCGTAATTTCTGCACAATAGGTCAATAGCAAGAGAGAATAAGACAGAATAGTTATTCTCTTTAGGTCATAATAGCTGATATTTACCAAATCAGCAGATAGCAATTTTCAGGCGTTTATGTTAGCTCCCATTTTGCTCCATGTACGATAATCCGGATTCCGAATTCCAGTAATTTAATTTTCTGCTTGGTGGATTGGAATCTGGAATCCAAGCTAAGAAAGTCTTGGATTTCCATATATGGGGCGACCCAAACCGGCGTCAGTCTCTTTTCGCGCCAGTTTTATATTGGACGAAATAAATTATAAATTTAAGCGACGAAAAAAGCAACCGATACTAACAATTACCTGGAAAGCGAGGAAATTTGGCTTGACGGTGTTATCTGGCGGCTAGAAAATTGTCTTCCTACTAACTTCTCAAAAAAACATGAAAAATTCAATTGACAAAATCCTGGAAATATTTACAAACACTGTCTGATTCAAGACTTTTGTAACTTTATCCAGCTGATTTGGTAAATACTAAGCAACACCTTTTAGTCTCGGTAAATACCCACCACCATAATAATTCACCTCCCACCTTCTTTTCGAGAAGGTCAGAAATTAGGCTGTTGTTCTTCAGCCATTCAGACCATTTGTTTAGTCACTCTTCATTTTATTTTTGCCAAAATTAGATGCAATAAAAACTACAGTAACTATAAGACTATTTTTTGTGAAAGGTTTCAACCTTGGAGTCATTTCATAAGTAGGTTGAGCATGATTGTCCGAATGAGTGTAGTCCTGACTAGGACTGTTGTTGACAGTAGACTGACAGTGACTGGCGTGACCACCTGCACGGTAGTCATCCTCAGAGTCAAATTGAGTTGTATCACGTCAGTTGACTGTATAAAACTCTGGTTATTGACATGGTTGGTCAATTGAGTCGTGATGATATTGTTAACCGGCTAGTGTTCCTGAAGGTACGGAAAAACGTGCAACTTGTTTTGCAACATTGCTGCAAAACTAGTTGAACAGCGATGTTGCGCGTTTTCCACCCACATTAAACCTGTCTTGCAACAAATCAGGTTTTTGTTAACAGTATTGAAAGTGGGTGGTAAAACGCGCAACATCGCTATTCAACTCGTTTTACAGCAATGTTGCAAAACAAGTTTCACCTTTCTTGTTGCCCGTTTTTCCGTACGTTTAACCCCAGTTGTACGAAACAACAAAAGCAGCAGGCAAAACGCTTCCTAGTATACGGCTCGAATTGTTTTGAGGTGATCTTTAAATGAATGAATGAGGGAGTGTTTTGGAAATATCACACTGAAACGGCAAAGAAATATTAAACCTAAAAAGGATAAACTAAGGGGAGAATAAGTTTATAACAAAAAGGAAAAGTACCTAACTTTTTATCCTTTTCTAAGTTTGAAATAGTTTTTTGTCATATATCTCTGCATGAAGATTCTACGGTTTACACACTCCTGAGGAAATGACTCAGGGATCGTGAGTTATTTTTTAAGAAAGGAAAGTATGGCATATTCAAAATCAATCAATCATATTCAATATAGTTCTGATTTTAGTGTTTATGACTTAATTCTTAGATGATGAACAAAAGTTTTAACTAGTTTTTTATTTACCAACTCACCTCTCCTGAAAAAGTTCTGCAGAGTATTCATTCGAGGTTTACATGTGGTAATTGTGACCAAAGCTAGCAAAAGGTAGACGTACAGCAGTTTTCCGCCCATCTTTATTTTCAACTGAATGCAAAAGAAAAACGAAAGAATGAGAGCAGGCAAGAGAGGATAAAGTTTTATCCTCTCCGAGCAAGTTATAGTAGAACACTGAGTCAAAAGGTCAAGATTTAACTGACGCTTAAGAGTGTTCAGAGTGATCGAAGAGTTTGATCAATCGGGCACTGTGTTCTTGAGTTTGTTATGCTGAACAATGTGATTCCAGCACTGAATTTGTTCTTGGTCAAATAGGCTGCGAAAAAATTATGATCGCATGGTTATAATTTTGCCCAGGCCTTAAATATTAATTCTCTTTCTTTCAATGAGCAAGGTTTTTTCAGTCGTTCAGTATTTTTTCTTTGCTGTTGACAGCTTTAGGTTTTTGGACGTGAAGTCTTTCTCTGCGATCGCTGCCCCACCCACCATGAGACTGTGTTCACGTATTATGGGACGGAGTAAATCAACACATTTCAAGATTATTTTTCGGATTCCAATGAAAGGCAACAAATTTAAATAACTCCCTTTTTATAGTTAGTTTCCTGTGGGAAAGGGGCAAAGAATTATTTTATAGGTTGAATAACATTTCATGTGGCAGCGTTCTAATTGCTTCGTTACTGAGGATCTAGAGAAGGAAGATCTTTAGTTTAAAAGGCCGCAAACAGTAAAGTTGAAGGAGACCAACTTTCTTAAGGGGAAAAAATGCCCATCTTGAGAGCTAGCGTCCTTAAAATATGTATGTCCTATTAAAGCAGTACATGACGATCGTTATCGGTCGAAACGTCGACAAAACAAATAAATCAAACCTCTTTAGAATCTCTGTTGAGCAATTGGGTCGAAAGCCAGTCCAGAAAATATGCACGGTGAATAACAAAAACTGAATGTTGCTACTCTCGAGTATTAATACAAAACCTCATTCTTCGAAATAAATACTCGCGTTTTTTAGCAGTTTTTAGCACCTTTATTTCTAACTAAATACCGACTCTTTCAACAATTGGAAAAATTCTATGCTAAGTCTTTTGACGATGAAACTCCCCTCTAAAGAATATATTCTTTCCTTGAATTAAAACTTGTGTTGACAAAAACCTTGGGCCTACAATATCCCATCGTTTTGTAAACAAGAAAAGCAACGTTTTTCGATTTATTTTCAAGGGTAATATCTTTATTCCCTACGGAGGTTATGATAAGACTATAAATCATTTCTTATTTTCTATTTTTAAAAATTAACAATTTCGCACAACTGATTCGTAAGGCGATAGTGTTTCAATTTTGACCAAATGTCTTTAAATTGCATGTGACAGCTGATGCCGCGCTTGTGATAAAACTGATTTTATTTAAGTTTTCGTTTCAGTTCACACATGGCCGCAAGCCCATCGGGTATTTAAGTAAATTAGTTTTTTCTTCCTTTGTGTCAAATCAAAAACTCAAAAAATAAAACAAAAATTCCTCACGCAATTGAAAGCAAAAAAACTTTTCTCGAAGTCATCAAAATTACAATTTGTATCAAATATCAGTCTATTAAATGTTAAGTACCCAAAGACACTTACTCCTTAATTGCGCACCTTGCATTGAATATAAAATTTTGATTGGCTCGTTACTAAATAAGATTTAAGGGTGTTTTGAGTAAATGAAAATTACTAAAACTCCCCAATGACTAGCCTATTATAGCTGCTATTTCATTTATATAAAAAAACAACCTATGAACAAAAACAAAAATTAAAGATGCACTAAGACGCAGAGATAAGAAAACGGATTTAGCATATTAACCTTTATCGAAGGAAGACAAACAGAGGGGACCGTGGGGGGGGGGGTGTAACACAAAAATACCATTTTTATTTCATTCAGGAGCCAAGTAATCGGCTGCTGTTTCATTAAATTTCTGTTTTGAAGGGTGTTCCTTTTAACTGCAAGTTCTTTATCAAAATATTCAATACAGCACTATATCCACCGTAATTTGCACTTGAATTTTATGGTAAATTGAGTATAACAAGTAGATATCTTCAGAGAAAAATTATATCATATGAACGTCGTTTTCTAAATTTTCACCAATTATTTGATCCATTGATCAAGGCCTTAAAATCACCATGTTAAACAATAAGCAGCAGATTAAATTAACTGAGCTGGTCTAGAGTGATATGCTGGTCTAGCATACCAACCCTGACGTCTCCACGACTTTTCTAGATCCTTGAAACATGGCAAAAGGCCTGCAGAGGTTTTCTTCGAGATCAATGGGCGAGTACCAGAGTAGCTCAGAGTAATATTACCATACCACGTTCTATTTAAGCGAAAAACGTTTTCTGTGTTTGCATATAGCCTCATATAATCACAAGAGCGTGTTGGGAGAATTCGAGACAGTTATGCAAACCCGAAAAAAAGTCGATGTTTCGCAGTAACTTTCGAGAATTCTCCCTATCCGTCGAGACATTGTATTTGCTTTTTAGGTTTATCTGCTTTTCTTCGTCTTTATCTCTTATAAATAAATTTTTCATGTCTGCAAATTAAAATAAATTATGTGGTTCTCACCAGGAATGACGCAAAACCGAATTTTGAGCTTTGGTTTTGCATTGCCTTGATGGGCTAACTTGCACTAAATATTTTCTCGGCCAAACAGAGCTAGTGAGACCAATTTGCGTCTTTCACGTTTCCCATCATGATGTAATTTGTTCAGCCCCCATAAAATTTTGCACAAGCCAGTATTGTTTTCAATTCCTTTTGGAATTAACAAAACCAATGCATGCAAATTTGTAGGTAAAACATATTGCATTATGCGGAAAGTGGCAGTCGCATTAATACCGCGGTGGTTCCCACTCTTGCTGTCGGTTACCATGGTTACATACAGTATCAAGAGAAAAATTATTTTCGCAAGTTTGACGGTATACACTATAGAGCTCTGTCTACTCTGAGTGTTGAATGGTTCATCAAATTTCCTGCCTTTGCTATGACTGGCAAGTTAAATAACTCAACTTTGGTTCTGGTTTAACAATTCGATTGAAAAGCTCTCTAAAGTAAGCCTCCGAAACAAACTCCCGCCTTATTATTCATTCAAAACATTTTTCCGGTTCTGATTGGCTAAAATTGCACGGATAATTCATCATAACGAGCAACTGTTGGCCAAAGTTAGAAAGAAGTTTGCGATATGTGGGAATCGACGTCTACAGCATAATCGCCAGGAAACTGTTAACCGAGAAGACCTGGGGACCAGGTTGAGTTGTTTTGGTAGTAAGTACAAAAAATGGCGGAACATTTCACTCGTCTCGAAAGAAAGAATTAGGCGAACTATTGGCTAAGAACATAGCAAGAACAGCAAGAATACAACTCGACGGACGAACACCTGCTATTTGGAGAATATTTGCAGAACTGGACAACCCTTTATCTTCTAAATTTGCAGGTAAACAGGCAACTTAACATCGATGGTGGTAAGCATGTTTTAGTTTGTCTTTTTGTTGTTGATGTTGTTGTTGTAGTTGTTGTTTTTTAACTAGGAGTTATTTTCAAAGAATAATAAAACAATGAGTTATCAGTTACTTTATCGCTCAAAAAAGTTGAAATTAAAAGAAGAAATTAAGACGGAATCCACCAGGAAATGGAGAAATTTTAATTCCCAGGGGACAAAAACCTTGTACCAGAATAATTTAAAGAATATTACATTCTTTTCTACGTTTTTAAGAGCTAAAGATGTAATTAGTATATGTTATAGCATAATTTGTAGTGATATTTGGCATAAATACCACGAGTGATATTTCGAAATTGTTATACGTAATTTCACGAGCCGTTAGGCGAGTTAAATTTGAAACAATTATCAAGAGAGGTATTTATGCCAAACATCACATACAAATCATGCTATTATTTATTTATACTACTACCCACAAAGGTTTTGTAATTTTCACATCTAGGAATTTTAAATTAAGCAGAAATATCACTGCTCTAAGCCAATCAAATTGCAGAAATTTCTCGCGTAGTAGTATAAATCATCTGTAATAAGACCCAAAAAATTGTCTCATGGGAGTCCGGGAAAATGAACGTCAAATTTCGCAAGAACTGTGAAAACACAAGTAAAAATTCTGAAAATTTCATGTGTAAGATGTAATTTTGAGAAATTTTACATTTATTTCCTCGGGCCCCCATGAGAAATTTTCTTTTGTGTTATTACAGATGACTAATAGCATCTTTAGCCCTTGAAAGTTAAAAATAATGCAATATGCTTTAAATTATTCTGGTACAAGGTTTTTGTCCACTGAAAATTAAAATTACTCAATTTCCTGGTGGATTCCGTCTTAATCTAACGCAGTAAGAATCACAATAACATGATTAGTGTAATCATCTATCACATGATCTCTACATTGAAGTGTTTCAATTTTGGGGGGTATATGAAAGAGCCGTTGCAAAAACTGAATAGAGTAGGAAACTTACAACATATAGATATAATTAAACCCGTAATCGGTACGTTATTACGCTGCAGGTTGCGCAAAGATCAGTGTTTGAGGTGTGATTGTGAAGGAACACCTGTTCAGTTTTAAGTACGTTACTTGGCAATTAAAATTCGTCATGATCATGACTTGAGATGTTTATATCATTACAAATCCTTACCAGCTTAATGTTCAGATAAGTTCAGATAGGTTAGCGATGCTTAAACCGTAAATTGAAAAAAACACTACATTAATTTCTAGGGTGCAGTTTAAGAATCGTTTTTGAGAGAATAAAATGAATGAATCAAATTTTTTTAAAAAATCCATCTTTTGAGGTCAAATTTGCTGAGGAAAAGGAACTAGATTAGATCTATTTCCACAAGAAAAATTATCTTCGAAGTTTTTCCGGCTTGAAGTAACCTCCTAGATTTCTTTCTTATTGTTCCGACTTATAACTGCACTACGTTTTCAATATGACTGATGCAGGGGCGAGTGGTAAATTTCCAGAGGGATGTTTCCTTGAACACAGTTGTAATTTGCATTTGAAGAAATATGTTTATAGGGATTTCTTAAGCCAACCAGTATATAACTATCCGTTTTAAAGGGTCGCCGACCATAACAATCGATTTATATGAACTCGGTCAAGGAAATGCTGACACACCACTTTCGAGTTATAGTCAAACAACCATACAAAGAAAGGTATACTAATTTTTGTGCAAGTAGCAAAAAACTGGTAAAACTAAGATTAAATATGCCTGTTGCCTTTCGTTCTGCTTGACAAATAAATAATTGTGAAAATTGATTAGATTCAAGTCATTTTCCAGTGATCCTCAAAACAAACCAAAACAGAAATAAACAAACAAACTGAATTCACTTTTGATCGACAGAAGTTACTTTCTATTCTAAATTTTACTGATAAGTTAAACAAACCTGGTTTTGTAGGCTGTTCTGCCTCGTACGTTGCCTCTATTACTGTTTTTGTAATTGCTAAATTAAACGCCGTATTCTCTCACCTCTTCATCAATAAATTCATCGCCAATATAATGACTTTCCGGGCAGATTTTATCTTTGAATTGGAAATATAGGCACATTTCCTTGAGGCGACAAAGTTACTTTGGACAGGTGGCATGCACAATCATATGCAAGTAGAATGACCCTTGAACTAAAGAAATACAAACCTTACCTAAATCAGAGCAAAACTGAAAGCTTTAAAGGGCCTAAAACAAAATTATATATATAGACCACGTTAAATCCTTTTCAGGTATTACGAATGCCATTTATTCAACTGGGTTTTACTTATAAAAGCCTTGCTCCGCCGGTCAATCTCGCCACTAGCGCGTGAGAGCCCAAATAGAACCAAGAATTATAACAGTATGTTCACTGGGATGCTCGAATCTCAGTCATCAACAAGATTTTTGGTGACTTCTTAGCTATCCATGAAAATTTCCGTTCATTTTTCAACTATCAGTTAGTTTAGGATGATGGATCTCAGCGGTCACTAGAAGAGTTTCATTTCTCAGCTGAAGGCAAAATTTTGACTTTTCAGTCTCAACTGCCAGTTGCACCCCATAGCCTTTTCAGTTTTTATTTATTTATTCATTTTTAATTTTGTCTATACTTTGCATTCTAGTTTTGAAACCATTAAAACTAAAACCGTAAATGCAAATATTGCGGGCAAAAACAGCCTTCCGGAAGGAAATTTTCAAAGCTGTCATAAAATATACATAGGCGTACGGGCCGGGGGGGCGAGGGGGGATGCAGTCCCCCCAAATTTTGGGCAACTCAGATTTTTTGGGCAGCGAGAGAAAATTTGGGCAAAGCAAGTTTTTAAAGACGTCTCCATTTTATTTAATTATTTTAAAGACCTAAATATTAACCTGAAGTCGGCGTAATAAATTACATTACAGTGGTTGCTTAGCATGTGATGAGTAATTTACATATTTGCAGTTTTTTTTTGGTTGGGCACTATACTGCACTGCACTAGCTGGAATAGGCTATTTCCAGTCGAGAATTGATTAAAATAAACTTTCGCATAACTTTCTAGAATCATCTCCACTAGACGAACAGTGTATGGCAGATAGCATTTAGCAATGGGTATTGCCTGCATAGCAAGCGTTTCCGCGCGAGTTCGACTGGAAACGCTTGCTACGCAGGCTACAATGGGTATGAAAATGAAGAAGTGGCTGACTAATTCTCAGTTTGAATTACGAGAAGAATCTTAATTTGTTTAAAAAATCGATCGAGCGGTTTAAAATTATTCGCTAATTTGTTAAAGTAGACCGAAATGTTTAGAAAACCGCTAACAAGTGTCTCGATACATACTAATCAAATCCTTCTTTCGATTCTAGCAATCAAGCAGAGCTATCTCCACGATCTTTCACACATGTTTTTAAAAAGATTAAAACTACTATGAGGTGAAATTTAAAAATTAAACGAGACTTACCTGTAAGTTGAAGTTTGATTGTGATTCTACCGAGTTACAGAATGCTGAGAGATTACATGAGATAGCAAGCGCATGCGCCAATCAGGTTTTAAAGACTGAATGTACGTGTTACCCAACAGCAGAGGGGAGGGTAGGGAAATTGGGCAGGTAATCTCTCAGCATTCTGTAACTCGGTAGAATCACAATCAAACTTCAACTCACAGGTAAGTCTCGTTTAATTTTTAAATTCTACCTCGTTACCATGCTGAGAGATTCCATGAGACTTCAAAGCAACACGGACATGAAGGAACAACAACATGCCACTTTAATAGTAATATGTAAATGATACATTTTACATAGATGACAAGACTGATCTTGCATAATTTGAAGTCTTAGCTATAGGTTTGTTGTAAAAACGAGCAATGCAGCATTCAGATGACCACCCTGCAGTTTGGAGAATGTCATCTAGATTTACAGAAGCCCTGCTTGCTGCTGAAACAGATGCAGCCCTTGTACTATGAGCTGAATATTTTGTTACATCAATACCAGCTAAGGCCATAGTGTATCGCACCCACCTAGTGACTGTATCCCTGCTTACGGGCTTATAAGGTTTAACGTAACTTATCAACAGCTGTGACTGGCCGCTAGGTCTCAATACTTTAGTTCTTACATGGTATTCCGTAAGCGTAGTAACAACACAAATAGAGGGTCGTTCAAATGATTCCAGAACAACCTGAGGGTTAGGTACCCCTGGTTTGCTTTGTTTTAGGTGGCTAGGGATGACAAATGTGTATTTGGCATCATTCACAAACATATGATTTATGTCTAACAAGTGAATGGTCTGGCCTCGTTGGCCTGATACTAACAACAACAACATAACAAGTTTCAATGTAAGCTGTTTAAGTGTCAACGATTCAACAGGATGAAGTGTAGCCAGGTATGTTAAGACCACTTGGACATCCCAAACTTCTGTATATTTGGGCTTGGGTGGTCTTGACTGGAAAACACCTTTCAACAGGCGACAAACTAGCGGGTTCTGTCCAACTAGAGAGCCATCATCCAATGACACATAAGAAGACAATGCACTTCTAGCACAGTTGATAGCACTGTAAGTAAGTCCTTGGTCAAAAAGTTCAGAAAGGAAATCCAAGACTGCTCCTACAGGTGGTTGAAGATGATCGACTTTCCTCTGGAGACAAAATGCTGTCCATTTCTTGATGTACCCGGAGTACTGTTTCTTAGTTCCCCCCCGCCAGGATGCCATGAGCAATCCAACTGCTAACTTCGATACTCCTCTTGTTTCATAGTACTGCCGGACAAGAGACATGCCATCAGTCTCATTTGCTTTCTCAGAGGATGTAGAGTCCCCGACTGTGGTAGGGTGAGGAGGTCCTTGTCTTGTGGGAGCATTAATGGATTTGCCACAAGAAGGCTTAGTAGCCGGGGCCACCAAACCTGTGTGGGCCACACAGGAGCCACCAACAGTGCTAAAGTCTGATCCTTCTCTAATTTCTGCAGACATCTGTTAAGCAGAGAAAGGGAGGAAAAATGTAAACAAACTGTCCACTCCAGGAAAACGAGAAGGCATCTACGTGGCAGGCTCCAGGGTCAGGCTTCCACGAAACATATTTTGGAAGCTGGTTGTTAAGTCTGCATGCAAACAGATCAATCTCAGGAGTACCCAGTATGTCAGTAATCTTACAGAATATATCTGGTTGAAGCTGCCACTCAGTTCTCTCATTAAATTGTCTGGAGCTTATGTCTGCCTCAATATTAAGGACACCTGGCAAATGGCATGCAGTCAGCCAGATATCATTTTCCATACAGTACATCCAAACACTTTTAGCAAGTTTGTTACACGGAGGGGATTTAGTGCCCCCCCATTGCATTAAGATAGCAGACAGTTGTAGAATTGTCAGTTTTAATGCACACATGCTTTCCTTTTAATAAGGGCTGGAAGGATTTCAAACCAAAATAGACTGCTAATAATTCAAGTTCATTAATGTGCTTTTGTTTTTCAAATGGGGACCACATGCCTTGGGCACTTTGTCCATTGCATACCGCCCCTCAGCCTAATTTCGATGCATCTGTTGCCATTTCTATATCTGGGTTGTCCATGGTGATACTTTTGCATGCTGTAGGTAGGTTAGTCACCCACCAGCGAAGCTCACTGATAGATTCTGACGAGAGGGTCATATTAGCTTCATAGTTGCCATTATTTTGTTGCAAAGCTGTATTTTTGTCAATTTCAAGACTCCTGTAAAAAAGGGGTCCATACTGGACAGCAGGCAAACTAGAGACCAGAAGTCCAATGACCTGGGCAACTTCTCTTATACAAATTATACTTTTCTTTAGCAGTTGTTGGCATGCCAAAATTATTTTCTCGGTTTTTTCTGCCGTAAGAAATACTTTCATGTTGACAGAATCTAAAAGAAAACCAAGAAATGCCAATTTCTGACATGGTTGCAACACTGACTTTTCATGATTGATCAGGAATCCTAGAGACTCAAATAAGGTTAGGGTAGTAAGAATATTACTTCTGCAGTCTGTCTTTGAGTCCCCCTGTAAATATGAGTCATCTATATAGCCAACATTTAAGTAGCCTTGGCTACGCAATGTGCTATACACTGGTTTCAATAGTTTTCTAAAGTATCTTGGTGCAGATGCTAGGCCGTTAGGGAGACATGTGTACTGAAACAGCCTATTTCTCCTGAAAAACCTTAAATATTTCCTGCGCTCAACAGCCACAGGAACAGTGTAATATGCATCTGTTAGGTCTATAGAAGCCATATAACAGTTTTTCTTCATTAACTGGATAGCACATGTTAGGCTTTCCATTTTAAAATGTTGATACTCTATGGATGCATTCAGTCCTTTTAGATTCAAGATCAGTCTGTAAGAACCATTTTTCTTTTTTCTGAGAAAAATTGTAGAGACATACTGACCATAACTAGGGTCAGTCTCCTCAAGAACCCCTTTGTTAAGCAATTGTTGTATTTCACCATCAATAAGAGCAGCCTCTTCAGAGTTAAATCTGACTGGAGGCTTAGGATATTGTTGATAGGGGTGTTCAGTAAACTCAAGATGAGTGTTCAACGATGTCAAGAATTTTTCTGTCTGATGTAATTTCCATCCAGGCAGAGAGAAAGTATTTAAGCCTGCCAGCAATTTGCAACTCTTTGTCCCTTACCTCAACATTTTGGTCATGAATTAGTCGTGGTTCTTCTGAGCAGCCTTCCTCCCCTCCTCCTTCTTGCTGAAGAGGGGGCGGCGGTAGTTTTTTGACAGCCCAGAATAATAATTACTATTCCTGTATTTGCCTTGGTATCTGTCTGAGTGACCATCACTTCGTGATCTTTTGAAGCTCTGCTTAGTTTCTCTACTAAGCTTGGAAGTGATTCGGTTGGTATCAGTAATGTCTTTTACCGCCTTGGGTAGATCATCTCCAAAAAGCTCAGTTGTTATTGGGTTTGAGGGAGCACAAAGATAGCGGTAGCTTGTGTGAAGCTCCGGTTTTAGAGCCTCCCTACGCCTCAGATTTAACTCTGTGTTAGAATTAGCCATCAACAGAACACCATCCATGAGTTGGTTAACTAGTTGACCCTTTGATGGCATATCTGGCTTGCTGATCAGGTCATTTACAACCTGGACCACTGCAGTTGTACCCTTAATAAGGGATTTTTGCACCTTCTGGAATTTAAGATCTGAGGTACGTGCTCTCTCTGAAAGATTATTCCAGATTGGTAGGTTGACCCTAGTTTCGGCCAGCATATCACAGTTTTTTGGCCTGAGATACCGTTTTTTGATTTCATTCAGCTTATCTTCCTCAGGTTTGTCTTTCAATAACTTTTGGACAATAGCGGCTAAGTTTTCATGAATTTCAGCGCCATCTTGTTGAGAGACATTAAACTCCTTTTCGAGTTTATTAAGTATGTCACTATTGTCCTTAGGCAGAGCAATGCCATCATTGGTTTTTTGTTTTTTACGAGCAGGTTCCTCAGGTTCTATGTCTGAGCCGCCGCCACGGTCATCCGACTCGGAGTCGGAAGCTACAGAAGCGTTATTCTTGCATGCGGCGTCGTTTTTTGCCTTGATCAAATCGCCCGAATTGCTAAAACCCTTGTTCATCTCCACCGCAAGACCAGAAAAAGCCTCTTTGAGAAGGGCAGCCACGTCAGTGGTTAAACTTTGACCCGGGGTAGCAGATTGTTTTGAGCCGCTACGACGCTCTTTTGGCGCGCTTTTTTCCCTCGAGGAACGGCTAGGTTTTGTCACACTTTTTGTGACCACTGCCGCCTTAGAGGCACCAGAGCCAGTAGAAGGTGCTTTCTCGCTCTTCTTTTGCAACTTGTCATCACATTTAAGTGATTTTGTGGGATCTTTAGTCCCAGAAGTGGGCTCTGCGTCTTTTGACAGCGCGCCTTTGTGCTTCTCCGCACGTGTTTTGCTTGATCCTGCGGAAAACTCTTCGTCCCAGTCGTTCAAACTGGCGTCTAAGGCCAAGTCCATCTCTAGCAATTTGGAAATGGTAGTTTCCTTTGCTAAATTCAATGACTCGCTCATTTTTAGTAGATAAAAGAGCTGTAGTTTTGGAAAAAATCCTCAAATACAGCGATAAAAAGTCAATCTGATCGGCGACAAACGTTGCACTGATTGGCGCATGCGCTTGCTATCTCATGGAATCTCTCAGCATGGTAACGAGGTAGAATTGCAGGTCAAAAGCGCTTCGTTTTCTACAGATAGCGGCCAAAAATCAAGATTTTTCTTTTCTTACCGTATTTCTAATGATAAAAACTTAATTGCAAAATATCTCGATAACGCTCTTAAGGTTTTGCTTAAACTTCACGAGCATCGAGGCGACCGTATTGGAGAGAAAAGTTCCTGTGAACGATTTTGTAAGCTTCCCGTCCCGAGAATCATTGCTGAAGTAAAATAGGTAATGGAGTCATTTCGTTGCTATGACAACTCCGATGTCATTGCAACCCTGGTGATGACAAATTTTCATCTTAATGCAACTGTGGTCGCAATTTTTCCAAAAGTTTGTTTATGGCGACGTAGTTTATGCTCAGACTTGGTATTGACCCTGAAAACTGTATCGAGCCACCTTCATATGCCAGAACGGCCTATGTTGTTGCAATATGGCCCTCATTTCGTTTCGACTCTTTCGTAAAAATTTGGGCAACTTGCGAGATGTTTTTGGGAAAATGGTTTACCGCCCCCCCTGGCAAAAAATTTCCCGTACGCCGATGAAAATATATCCTTAACACAGGGCTCAAATCTCCTTTTAATTCATAACAGACAATTTGAGCCCCTAAGGGACCGACGATTAGAAAAGTTATGGGGGGGAGGGGAATTTTCGAGCCGCAGGAATTTTTTTTCGTTATCAAATTCCTAGCCTGCGCGCAGACGAAATTAAACTCTGGTTAACTCCGTCTGCGAAACAGCGCCGAAATCCTTGTTCTGGACTTCCAGCTGTGTACCCAGATTTGAGTACGCGCCAGGATTGGCCAGTTAAAAAAGGCCTTTGTTTTGTTTGTCGTGATCGCCAATCAGGTTGAAGGGGAATTCGAAACGCACTTCCGGTAATTCGTTGAGTCCGTTGGGGGTCCAGAACAAGGATCTCTGCGCTGCTTCGCAGACGGTACTAATCAGAGTTTAGTTATCGTCTGCACGCAGGCTATCAAATTCCTTGTATGAATTTTTTTAGGCCATAGCATGAATATTTTTTAGGATTAATTGGCGTGCAAGAATTTTTTTTATTTTATTTTCCCTTGCCCGAATTTTTTTTTTTTTCTTCCCCCCCCCCCCCCCCCCCCCCCATAAGTTTTCTAATGGTCCGTCCCTAAATACGTAAGAAAAAGATTACACGACAGTTTAAAAAATTTAGAATGTTCAAGGATTTGTATGAAAAACCAAGAAAGCGTGACTGGGTTGCGAAAGTTGTTTTTTTCATACAAATGCTTCTAACTTTCAGCAGTCGTTACAAACGCTACTTTTTACCTTATTTTAATGCGCTCTTTCAGCTTGTGCGAACAAAATGTTTCAAAAGCGAACTGTTTTCGTGTTTACCGAAAGTAGATCACGTGATCAAGTCATTCAAAGAGTCTGTTAGAGTAAGGTATCTCCTTCATTCTGATTGGTTAAAAACTTAAGTTATCCTACGCAGTGAAGAATAGTTAAACTTACAACACGAAAGGACGAATTTTACGATATGGAGAATAGTTCACCGTTACATACGGGAAGAAGATCTTGATTTGCAGCGACTGCTCGGAAACAAAATGGTGCTCAAAAGAGGGTGAAGCAGTCTCAACAGAAAACGTTTAATGCAGTTTGATGAATGTTTTTGTAAATAATAATAATAATAATAATAATAATAATAATAATATACACTTATATAGCGCCTTTCTCTAAGTGATCCAAAGCGCTTTACAATCAGTAAACACTTAAAAAACAAATAATTCAAATACAACATAACAGAATGTAAAATCCCAATTGGCAGGAGGCAACCATTTGGCTATTTACAAGCGTGGCCGAGGATTTGAGCTCGGGACTACCGAGAACAAATCCAGCAAGTCGCCATTGCGGGACTCGAACCCAGGACCACCGGTTTGCGTGTCCGACGCCCTGACCACTCGGCCACGCTGTTATGTATTACTCCTTCGTAGGAATTTTTTGTAATGGATCCAGACAATGAGGCGGGAGAAAAGAGTGCCATGTTAGTCCGAATGTATAGCATAACTTTACAGTGGCGGATATAGGGGGAGGTTCGTAGGGGACCCCCCTAAATACATCCTTCAGTCTTCGAAGCACTTGATTAGCTGCGATGAAATTGAAATGGTTAACTGTGAGGAGTCGCATACAACTTTCAACTCGCAGAAGATGAAGCTTGTGTTTCACGTTGCCTTTCAAACACAGATTTGTTACGTAACACAGGGGGACGGATTGTTTCAAACCTGGGTACTTTAAGGGAAGCTTGAATGTCTGGAATTTCACATTTGCTTCGACTATCATGACAGCACTACGTAATAGCTGTTCACGTGAAGTTGCACTTGACTGACTTTAGGATAAACTACGGTTGACACCTGCAAGCATAATACTCCCTTTATTTACAATGGCCTCAGCTTAATTATTCCACCTTATTGCATTTAAAACCATCTGATTACCTATATATAAGACGTACTGTAGAGAACCATTCGTTTCTGATTAGAAAAAAGGTGTGCAATTAATTCCAAATTTTCACAACTGACTCCTTTGATAATTACGTCATTTATATTCCAAATTTCAAAAGATCTGAAGATAGTAAAGGATATCCGCGTGAAACCGAAGGCTTTTCAATCGTAAAAGGTATCGAATTGAAGGTTTCTATGCAATTTGTCCAGCGGCCGATGCAGTTCAAGGTCTTACACAGATTTCCAAAAGCAGCTGAACTGCCTGTGGGGTGCCTGAAAATGGTACCTTTTTCATGCTTCAGGTATACGAAACTGGGTAGGGATTTCACCACTTGAAGTATGTAAGAAAGTAGGGAAATCTGTCATTTGGGTCTGTAAAAATAACCGATAGGGCTAACAGATGCATTTTATGGCTATAAAAAAGTCTGGAAAACGTTCTGGTTTTGTGGTTTCAGTTATTCTTATTTAAAAGACAATAGTGTATTTACAGCAGCTAAAAGGGATTTAAAGTTCTAAACTGGATATGTGAAAGGGGTACTATTTATCGATAGATGGTATGCCAGAAAACATGCATGATACATTAAAGGGTAAGAGGCTGGACCTCGGAGCTTAGTCTCCCCGTATAAAACTTTGTTGTGTACACGCCCGGGCTGAACGGCCCTACGAATATTTAAAAAGTTCAGTTTTACTCGTTCACTTAATTGTTAAGATATACACATTCTGTTGACTTGTTAAATGTAATATAAAAGTGTCGCGACCTTTTCGCGTAAAATTATCCGTGAGTAAGTAGGTTCAAATGATGTTTTTAAATGTCTCAAATATCACTCAGTCATGAAAGTTTAATTTTAGGAGCTTTAAAAACATCACTCCTCAACATACATCAGACCAACTGCACTCGAGTTTAGCATAATTTCTCAAACTGAAAATTTTTACCTTGTTCACTTAACCCCATGCAATTCGAACTGTTGAGTTATTCAGCTGATCGCACAAGATGCCCAAAGTTCGTTGACATTAGAGACCTTTAGATTCTCAGACGAGTACGACTACGGGTACGAGATTTTCTCAGTGCTCAGTAGTGCTAGCTCGTGAACCAGCGTCATTTTGGCGGGAAAATGTGGTAGCCCTGGTCATTCTACTACGAGTTTTAGCGCGAATGTCGTGCTGGCGAAAACAAGATAACAAACGTTAGAAGTTTTATCATTTTCCGATCGGGAAAACGCGTAACCTCCTTCACATTAGATAACAATGCTAACTTTTCTAGTGAAATATGGTAAACTAAAGCTTTCCGGGAAGTCTATATTTTGAAAATACGCGAAAAAACGATAAGTCAAATCTCGTACTCGTAGTCGTCCAGGTCTCTATTGTCAAGTAAAAGCAAGAGTTCAAATTTCATCATCTGACTCCCTTCTATTTTTTCGTAAAGTCTATTCTACAGCGCTTGACAGCGCGCAATGGTTCGTACAGACCATCAAGAGCCTAGTATAAAATATGGCCAATGTTAGTCACTAAACAAACTTTTCCATGAGCCATTTGTAACATTCGTGTTCTGATCTAAACGCCAGAGTATAGTGAAATAACTTCTAAAGGTTTTCACTGTACTGAGACATAAATTATTAACATTACTTAAATTTAAAGCATTTTATAAATAACTTAATCTACACAACGATTCTTAACGTGCATCTCCGTGATAATTACACTGTAATTACAACTATAGACTTCATTTCCTCAGACAAAACAAGAAAAATCTATTCTCGCTCCTTTGTCCTTGAGCTGATACCATATAAAGCATATCAAAGAACGACAGCTCATTTCCCCGACTTTCCATTTCTCTTTTTATTCTTTCCCTTATGTTTTCTGCCTTTTTTGGCCCTGTTGTAGAGTGTACAGTGGATCTTGAAAGTACTGCAATCGGATACATGCGTGGGCCTCTCGTTCTGCCCCACACAAATACGCGTGCATGCCTCGAGACCACTGCAAGATGAATTGTTGTTGGCATTTTGTCTCCTCTTCATCTGCCTTAAAAATTTGTTGAATGGTCCCCCGCGGCGCTGTCTGTTTCTTCTAGGGAGGGCATGCTGTGGTCTGGGTGAACTTGCGTTGGTAGCTTGGGTAGGTGGGGCTACTGTGGTGATGTTGGTGGAGTTTTTTGAAGCTGAGTGAGAGTAAGGGAGAACTACGTCAAACGTTTGTTATATAATTATAGTTTGTGTCAAGTTTTCAAAAGAATACTGAAGTTAGCTGGGAAAATTTCATATGCCAATATGACAAAACTAGCCAAGAGCGTTCTGAATTTATATAATTTAACTTTTTAATATTAAATTTAAAACAGTGTCAATTGCTGTATTTGTAATAATAGGCCTGGCTGATAGAACAGGGCCGGGTTGTTCAAAGCTGGGTTAAGATAACCCAGGGTTAGTGCGAAATTTGAAATCAGATTTGAAAGCTCAAAAAGTAAATTCATTTTTATTCTCTCTGGCAACAGGTTAATGATTGAATACTCTTAAGAATAACAGAGAAAATTATCCGAGAAAATGCTTTTGAACAAAGAAAAAGAAAGCCGGGTTAAATTTAACCCTGGGTTAAGCGCTAATCGGCCTTCGAACAACTGGGCCCAGGTGTTACTATTAGCACACATTTCACAAAGACATTGTCGGACGTCATTATACTTACTGCCGTTGGTACTTGTGTTTTCCTCGTGGAGTGGATCCTCGGTCAAAAAGCGATAAACGTTAGCTCCGCGACAAAGACTGCTGACAGCATCATCCCAGGAATATTCGCTACGCGACTTCCCTCCGTGGGCTGAATTCTAGAGAGGAAATTGATGAATCAGTTTTTAAGATTTGTATTTGAGGCCTGTTTACATGGATGTGGGGGAGCCCTGAAGAGGGCTAGGTGGGTTACCCCACCTTGGTTGAGAGGATTGCCCGGTCTTCCCTGCCTCGGCGGCTCACTATAACTATTATGTAAAAAAGATCAAATTAATCTGAGAAATTATATGGACAGGTGGGTTACCCCACCTAAGAGGATAACTTCACCAATCCGGCGTCCCCGACCTCCATATAAATACGACCGTAGTAAATTGGAGTCTTCTGCTCTTTGACTATTGTTTTTTCCTTCTTCTTCTCTTTCTTTCTTTGTTTCCTCAATAAATGAGAAAACGAAACAAAAGAAAAATGGACTCCAAACTGAGTCAGCGTTTTGCTGATTCTCCTTTACTAACCCATTATCAACCAGTCACAATTAAGTGAAAAGTGTTCGTTAGTTGAGCCATCTGAATCACAATGGTAACACCATACAATGCCTCCCGCTATGGCGGCACTTAACTCATGCGCACAACCGAATTGCTTGCACGCGTTTCAGTGTGACAGGCGTTTGAATGGGAGCCTCCTTTAGGGAGAGGGGAAAGTGAAAGCGTTGGCCGTGCCTCACATGTTGGTTTGCACATAGTTATCGAATACCAGTGCCCCTTTAATTTCCAAAGGCATTAACTGACGTGAGAATTAAATGAAGCCAGGATCTAAAAACCTTTACCATCAATACTGTTTCAGAAGCACTTACCATAGGATGTTCAAAAACTGGCTCTATTTTCCGGTTGGCCTAAAACAGAATTAACCCAAATGTTAGTGAATTTGTTATTACATGAAGAAATGATAGAATTACTCGCAGGCTATCTAAAACAGAGTCAACAGCGCTGGCATAGCGTGGGTATTGTCATTGGCATCGACCTTTCCAATAGCACTGTGCTTGTCATTGTCACTACCAGTGTCAATGTCATTGTTATTGTCACTGTTCCAGATACTGCCTTTGCCACCGTCAATGCCATTGTCTTTGTTATTGTCATTGTTGTTGATTCTAACTGTGGGTAGCATATAGATTTTTCCAACCCAAAAGTGGAGCTCCTGTTAAATATCAATGTTACAAAGAGTAGTGGAAGACTGAGCCGCTCGGAAGGTCTCTCCTAATTGGTTGCAGGAAAAAAATGACGTGTCATTCTTCCAATTGGGTCAGGGAAACGCACCATTGGAGACTTCTCTTCCTAGCAGCTGCTACATGACCCTTTATAAACGTTAACTTGGAACAAACAAATCATCACCACTGAAAAAGAACAATAGGCTTGTGGCCACTATCCTAAAGAAAATACTCCCTTAGCAGAGAAATATGTTTGAAAAGAAAATGTATGCTGTCAATGGGTATTGTACCTGGGCCCGCCCACAAGATACCCATTTTGACAGCTTTCAACCAACACTGATATAGATGGCGTATATCACTTTATAAAAGAAAGCAAATCCTTACCCTAACCCTATTCTTCTTTTATGTCTGGGAAAATGTGACTAAAAATAAATGGAGCGAGTGGACGGAAGGTCGCACGGAGGCTGAGGTGAAATACCAACATTTGTCGGATTTATAGGTTACCAATTTTTCTTAGCACGCTTGTAACAAACCAGCTCAGAAGAACTATTCAATGTTTTGAATAGTTCAGTTAAGTTGCTTCGGTGCTTGAGCTGCTTGAATAATACCGTTTGATTTTCAAACTTATACAACAGGCCGTAAAGTAGACGTAACTTATCACCACTGACCCATAAAACTTCGTTATTGCCTAGTTTTCACTCGGTTTTTAACTAACTTTTTCAGACTCAATCAGTGTTAAATCAGTGAAAGATTAGCTCATTGAGGCGCACAACAACTCTAATAAAGTGTATTTTTTATGCATTTCGTTATGAGACCGGCAGTGCTTCCACGAACACCTATTTCCAATTACCGAAACGTCAGAGAATCTGAAGCCTTATATCTATTTTTTTTTTTTAATATATGTTTTGGGAATATGCTAGAACAATCACAACATGCATAGTCTCATTTCACTTGCAATAGTTCTTCTTTGATAGGAAGAAGAATGCATGCATATTGTCATGTGTCGTTTAAAAGTGATTAGAACACTTCAGTGGGTAATTCGAAAAACATTACTATGATTAATCACCTGAGTCGTTTTTGAGGAAATTGGGCTTTTGAATCAACTCATTGGCCGACTGCCCAGACAAGACAAAAAAGTTGAAAGACCCTTTTATATTCAATTACTTTGTTATAATCTCTCAATTTTTTATTGTGATTGCATTTCCAGATTGATCACTCTCACTGATTAGGATTTCATATGGCCAGTTACGAGTATCTAGACGGACATGGTCGCATGACTGAGCAACACAACGTTTTTCCTAGGAAGAAATGGCACTGCTTTCATTACGAAAGCAAATCAAAAGCTACTCTATATCCTAACGCAATTAAAGCGATGATAAACTCAAAACTGTTAACAGCGGGGTTTTAGCGTTTTTTTAGGGTTTTTTAAAAAACACTTTTTTTTTGGAAAGGGAAACTGGTGAAGATATGATAATCGCGGTCGTTGTGAACATTCCGCTCACGTCGTTTCGTGTTAAATATCGGTTTATCATCTTTTCTGGTGCAACGGATACGCAGTTGAAAAGAACGATTAGATACCATGTCGTCAACAAGAACATTAATAATGATTTTAGGGTCAACTAATAAAACCCTAATCTAGAGGGCTTCTTTCCAGAAAAAAACTGGGCGTTGTTGCAATCAGCTGAAAATTGTAATACGTTGGTGAAAACAAACTCATTAAGGGCAAGTCAATGCTTGGCTTGTTAGGGGCCCAGCAAGATAAAAACTGTTTGCCTTTGGCAAAAACAGGCCGTTGTAATTTCGCTGAATCTCTGAATTTCGATCTCGCTGAATTTTTCGGGAAATGAATTTTTTTTGTGCCTTTAAATTTACGGCATTCTTGTTGATATTGCCATAGGTAAGATGAAACGCCGCGACGAGACTAGTAGAAGTTTTTAAATGAGGTAGGGATGGTTAGTTTATACTGAAGAAGGGTTTTTGTAGCTGCATAATTGCACGTTCACTTATCCGCGGTGAAAATGGGAGGAAAATAATCAAACTATCACGTGATGGCACGTGAACGGCTGTCTGTAAGTAATATCGAATCCAATACATAGAAATCGGAATTCATACATTCTGGTCAATGTTAGTTACGTCGCGTAGAATTCCGGGTCCATTGAGGTCAACAGCGATGAAGATCAACCAGAAAAATCACAGGAAAACTTCAATAAACGTCAACTCCACCGTTAGGTGTCTCGCTCAGCACTTCATGGTCGGCAATTTTCAGTACTAACCCGGAGTACCTAATGACCTCTATCTGCTTTGTTCACCAAACTAGTGGACGTTCTTCGCCCGCCAGAGAATTTTATAAAAAGACCGAAAGAAGGTTTTTTTAAAAATGGACTCTCTAAAACAGGGTGCGAACTCAGGCGCTTTAGAAATAAGGAAAGTGTGAGGCCAAAGCAACACGGCCATCCTTAAGAGTGCCTCACACAAGGGTGAACCAGGGAAGGTCTCCAAATAGGGACCTAAATAGTGGAGAAGTGAACCGGCTTTTCAGTCACAGAAATGGCCTAAGTCAACAATATTTCAAAATTTTTTTTTTTTTTTAAATGCTGAGAACCTAATAGCACCACAGGAAAGCACGGATGAGAAGAAGAGGTTTTATTGGGTCACGTCATAGGATTACGTTCACAGACTTAAAGGATATCACTCATTCTAGGAGTGGAAGTGTTAAGCCTAAAATATCAAGATTTCAGTGACATTTTCACTTGGGGTTGCCAAACTCTGAAATGCTCTGTGGAATTTTACCATGTCTAATTTCATGCTTGAGGAGGTGTTTAATACGGTAAGTATAGTAATGTCCTTTCCTCACGTGACGATTCCATTGCAGGTGAACTTTATTTATCCATCTGTCAACACCGACTCGAAGTCAATTTATCTCTCAGTGGTGCACTTAAAATTGTCATTTCATAGTAGTTAGCTGAAAGCTGTCTGATTAAATACATGGAGTCCTTGGATATGTTTATGGTACTACAATGATCTCGGAATTCGGAGCAGTTGATACAGGTCAGAGTGTCAGAGACAAGAAATTTTTGAGAATTTTTAATTAAATACTTGAAGCAATATTCCTTCCTGCATGTTTCTAATGAGATGGAAGTGGTTCCAGAGTAGTTTAGACCCGCTAGATTCCACCCAAGACGTTTTAATGCGAATTAAAAAGTGTTCAGCTCGGGAACATTACAATTAAATTTTTAGAAGGAAGAAGTCAAAAGGAGGGCTTCCGAAAAAAAATCAATGCCATTAATGTGATCTTAAAATCATGCGGAAAAGGCCTTCAAATTTCTTTTACTGGTGTACATCACCTCGGTATTCCTTGCTTTCGTTATGAAGTCAAACGTGGCGCATTGCACAATTGGCGAATTCAGAAAAGCTTAATAGTCTGAAAGATCTCAACGATGGGTTTTAAAGGAACCTTTCTTTCGAAGACCAACATAGTTGACTGTAATCTAATAAATCGGTTTAAGTCATTGTAATCCATGTATATAATTAGAACTTGTGGTTTAGATGCTATGATACCGATGTAAAATAGTAACGGGCAAGGTCCTGTGTCGATTTGCCGAGTGGTTTCATGAAAGGGTCAACAAGAAATCCCGCCTTGATTAAATCCTGCTTTGCTTGACAATGTTTGACAGGAAATTATACTTCTACTCTCAGGGATAGAAAACATCTCTAATGGAAGAGTAACTTTGTCGCCAGCCCAATTCAAATGGCCGTTCGCGACATCTTCTCTTTAAAGTAAAGCGAACCTTCTACGTAACAGTTCAGTGATGCACTCATGAAAGTTTGGTAAAACAAGCTCATCTTCGTTGAAAACACCTCACGTGAAAGGAAACGCAAGAGAAGGGGGAAATGCTGCGTAAGCAAAATCAAGAACGAGAATCGGGGGCTGAATACGCACCAAAAGTTACCCTTGTGCAATTCGTGGTAAAGCTATCTATACACGACAAAAAGTTCTACCCATAGGACACACACTAAAGCACGCTTGTTTTGCTTACCTGTAGTCCATTGAAGAGCAGATTCCACAGAGCGCAGTTGTTGAGACTTGAGTGCTCCAGATCTGGGGTATCTTCCACAAAGCAAACGGGAACCCTTGAACACGTTTCCACCTTCAAGCAGGCAAACGACTAAAAACGTTTAAAAAAATAAGAATTGAACGCATCTAAGCTTGATGATGCTAAGGCAAAAGACACCAATTGTCAAGTCTGATTTTGCAGAAAATAAACTGACAGTTTTTATAGCTCGTACCTTGGTGAGATCGAAAAACGCTTGCAGCTCCAAAATGTTCTTTCTCGAGCTTCCTGACCCATTCCTTTGGCATAGTTGTTGGAGTGTTTCCAGTGTTTCTCGGTCTCTAAGTGGATTTTTTCCCTTTCCTCGATCCCTTCTCTTCTTTACCCTAGCTTTCTCTGCACTTGCGCAACGAGCTAAGACAAACAAAAGGACAAGAGCTATGACGATTCTCTGCCAGGATGCCATTTTGTAAGGGCGGTTATTAGCCTGTTAGGTTGATGCGACTTGGAAGCAGACACATCCCTCTACTGACGATTGGAGATCAGAGGAAGATTTTATGCCGCATTCACAGACGACCCAGGTCAATCACGTCAATCTTTCTAATGACAATGTCATCTTCAAAAGATATTAAATATCTATTTGGGCTTCGTTGCGAGATATGTCCGGATTCCGTCCTAAACTGAAGGGGGCCATTTTGCTTAAGCCGACCCAAAGGTACGTAAGTCCGGCTGATTTCTTTGTCGCTAGTACCACCTTTTTACTGAGACGGTGCAAATCCTCTTACTGGTCGTTCAAGTCTCATTTCGCTCTCGTGTATTTAAAAGCTATAGGAGAAAACAAAAACAATTTCATGTCAAAAGGTTAAATACCGAGGCAGTGAAAACATAGGTAGCACAGTCGCTGAAGATGAAAGAGCTCGTTAGCAAATCCTTCTCCGGCGGAAACTTCTCAATTGGGGTGAAATTTCTGCCCAGGGGATCCTTCAGAGATTTGTCGGATTTCAAACAAAATATGAGACGCTGCTTGCATACCTCCTAATTGATAGAATTGAATCATTCAAATGTCAATCGAGACATTATTTCTACCATCAAAAACCGTGGAAACAAATATCCTCGCCGAAACGTAGCCAGACAGAAATTCTTGCCAAGGCCAAAAGGGAAAAATGATTTCTAAAGTAAAGCCTTCTAAACCATATAATTTTATTAGCACCTTCAAAATCTTAATTAAGGCAACTGCGCGGCCTAGGTGCCCAATACTGCAGGCTACGAGATTGTCTCGGAACAATTGTCAAACATTTGTTTAATTTCAAGTCAGTGTCAAATGAACTATCTCAGATCACGCACTTGTGATCGTAAGCTACATTTTTTGTCTAACAATCTCAAATTGTTTCCTGCCATTAACTCATCAATAGATTTTAATTTCTTAGCATCCATGTGGACTTTCCCTTAAGCATTCTGCACGTAGCGAAATCATTTTTATTATTTTCAATTGTTATTTTTGGTTTAAATAATTATTGTTTCTTTGTTTTTGATTATGAGAATGTATGAAATGAAGGGGATGAAATAGGTCAGTTTCCCATTTTTCTGAATTCATGCTTGGCTACGAGGCTTAGGGGTATAAAACAAAAGAAATTAAATTGATATTCAGTGATGAATAATTCATTTCTGTTGCTTTAAACCCTTTAGTCTCGGAGCCACAAGAATGAAGTTGGAGAATTCGAAACTGGCCCAAAATATACGCATGCGTTGAATTTCATTTTTTTTTTCCTCATGTGTGCTACTTTCTCTAACAAAATAAGACAAGTATGTGAAGGAGTTTAATATATATACAAGCGGGATCGTACTACCCGTAAATATTTTGAAGAAGGAGTTCAAACTGAAGTAGGTGATAACTCCGGACGACACTCGAAGAAATACAATCCAGCGTCTTTTTGCTCAATTTGCATTGAATACAATTTAAACGGACAGAGAAATAAAAGCAAGATTGGCTGGAAGTAAACAATTGAACACCTAAGCCTCAGGTAGTTCATAAAAGCAAATGTGACCAAGTATTCGGCCTGATGACTAGTATGGCTGCAGGCAACAACAGCAATTTATTGTACCCATATACTGGTAACAATGGCTGGGTGAGGAACTCTTTTGGTTGGGTGGCTGGGTGGCCTTGGTTCACAAATCAGGAAGCCGGTTAATGATACCCAGTCACGGTAGCCGTGCACTTAAGGCAGGGCTAGTAAGCTTGAAAGACTTTGTTGTTTCTACGTGCCAAGTAAGATCATGTGCGTGTGTTGATCCGATATCCAGTACAACAAGAGACTCACTTCATTTTATATTGACATCGCTAATAACTTCGTCAAAATTATTTTGGTATAATCTACTTTAAACTGAAACTTTATCTTGATGACACTACAGAACTCTTCAGTTGAAAAACAACTATCGTCTTTGACTTACAGTTATTTTTTATAATCATCGCAAAAACTTGAAAATTCAGCAAAATTACAGAATTATACTGCTTTAAACTGGCAGCCTTGTAACTAATTTTTATCGCCAAATAACTCTTGTTGAAGACTACGTCACGAGGATCACGAAATTGCTGTTTCCAGGTCAATTCTGTGCTGGAGTCATTTCCTTCTCAAACTAATTAATAATTCATAAAGAAAATATAAAGGAAATGAGTGTTTACTGAGTGTTTGGAAATCAGATGAATCCTAATTTTTTCCTTCTAAAGTTATTTTGTTTGAGAAGTAATATCAAGCATTCGACACAGTGTTTCATCAGCATATGAAACACCTGGACGTTCGTCAAAAATACTCCGTTGCGCGTCGTAAATTTCAACTCTCGTCCAGGTGCTTCATCTGGTGATGAAACACTAGCGTCTAATGCATGCACCACTTACTTAGTTCCCTTACCAATACACCAAATGCTTCTGCAGAGTTATGAAGAAAATATCAAGCAAGTTTCATTAGGGAGCTCTAACCATATATTTTTTTTCGGTGATTTTTGGAGGCATGGCATTAAAACGTGAAAAAGTTTGCTTAACTTTGTCATGTTTCAATCCATGTCCCGTGATCTTTGCCATCCGTAACAACCGACGACCGTACGGGAAACCTGTTTCAATGCCTAGTCAGTATAAGCCTTGAAAAGCATGATTGGACTATTATTTCTGAATTCAACTGATGTGAAAGCTTTAAAAAGGTTTTTTTTTTTAAAAGATGGCATATAGCGTGACTTAGTCCGTTTAAATCTATTTTTACTTGGCATTAGAGCAGGCAAAGTGAGTGGAACCTTCATGAGCAATGGCTAGCTGACTACCCGAGATAAATTCTCCCGTTATCATGTGTTTTGATCCCAGCGAAAGATTGTACATTGGATTAGCGATTTTGTCCCCTTCTTACATAGAGCATTACTTAAATGGGAACATGAAAGCAGATTGGGCATCTAATTGTTATTGGAGACTTAAGGTGTCTAAAGCTCCTTGTGAGCGTAATAACTTAAAGCCGTCCACGAGACTACTTCAAATTCTTTCTTAATACAATGGTTACACTTAAGTTTGTTATTTAAAGCTCTAATAAGATCATGAAGGGTAGCCCAGGCTTTGTCGGGTTTCATTCCAATGGATATCTTAATTCTTAGCTGCAATTCAAGTCGATATACAATTATAACGATCGACGCGAAAAAGTTTGTTGTCTTAAAAAGGAAAAAACATGCGATTAGGTGGTTGGCTGCCCTTAAGTTTGTTTTTCAAGCTCTAATAAGATCATGAAAGGTAGTGCGGGCTTAGTGGTTTCATTCACTAATGGATCTCTTAGTTCTTAGCTGCGATTCATGACCATTAATTTTATACATGCCATGTGATGATATAATGATCGATGAGGAAAAAGTAAACGTTTGCAGTTTATAAAAAGGAAAAACATGGGCTTAAGACAAGACCTTAAATTTTTACTTACGACAGTTTTTGGCAATCTCTGAAATTGTGAGTTTAGACGTCATAGTTTAGCGGTAGTTGACGGCAATACAGCTTGTTACCCCCCCACCCACAGCACAAAAATACTTCAAAAGCCGTCATCAAACTCTCATAAGATAAAGCCTTCGCAAGTTAAAAGCACGTAGTTACATTCCAATGAACCTATTCTTGGTGCACTCGACACGCCACGTGAGTTTACCTCAATTGGATAAAGCGTTGTGCTCAAAGGTCGAAGTTAAGCTCTTGTTGTACAGGAAAAAAAATAACACCTTTTTACTTAAAGCCGCAAGACCACTATTGATCCATGACCACCCAGTACAAAAAAGTTTGGAATCTTTTCGGCTTTGCATGTAACTACAGTTAGTGACAATATAATTCAAGCGCAGTAGTTCGAATAAGCTTTTCCTCATTCAGTTGACTTAGTGTTCAGGAACGGATAGTGTCAATTTGCTCTTTTTTGGCAATAATCCGAGGTCAAACCAGACACTGAAGATCGACAAAACATGGAAAAAAAAACTAGCCTCGTGATTAATCCTACAAAATTACTTAAAAATAAGATGAAGCTAAAATAAGTAGTTAAACAGTAACATTCCTACTAGTTAGTCTCTACTCATAGCTCAATTCCAACTCGAACAAAGTTCAATCCAGGAGTACGTTAACTGGCTTTGCGACCAGTTATGTTAAAGTTAAGGTCAAGCCTGGATTTTTCAGGTTCTTTGATATTTAAAAAGACGAACTTGCAAACAACCTGAAGGGAACGTTACATTAACAAATTCATTTGTTTCATTGCAGTTTACTTATAATATAGAATATATTTTAAATATATTCCCAGTTCATAGCAACTGAGGAACGCGGAAGCCATTTGCGTGTTTTTGTATATAAAACATTGTTACAGATGAGATTTCTACGGTCAACGCAAGAAATTTGGGCATTTATACGACTGAAACTTGTAACTTCAGAGCCCAAATCTCAGCCATGATAGAAGAAAAAGTAGCTTCATCTTAATCCTAATAACACTATCTCTACCACGTTGTGGGGAGAGGAAATGTAGCTAAAACTTCTGGGCCTCTCTTTTTTAAAAATCCTTTGTTGTGAACATTCAGTCGAAATCAGTTGAAACCTCTTCAGCAATCTAACTATCACTTGGTACTGTTCATTTTTCAATCTTTTCCTCAAGTCGCTTTGGGCACTGACATGTAAGGATGGATTGGGAAAGGGTAATTGCACTGGGCAACTGCTGTTAATGACAAGTCATGCAGGAAGTATTTCCATATAGAAAAAAAAACTTTTTTGTTATCTGTTGCCAAATATAGCTTAACCTCTGATCATGATTAAAAATGTCTACTTGCTGAGAATCGCAATTCATTTCGGCAAAGCTATTGACGCTCAGAATGTTGATAATAATCATCAGTTTAGTAATTGTCCAGTTGGAATGACCTCATCAGTTTTACTCCTTCAGAGCCGCCTGTAAGCTAGAGGTATACAACAAAAACTTAAACTACGTGAGATTGCAGGATTAAATTCCACTTGTTGCATTGATTCTCACCACAATTCATGTAAACGTGATACATCGTGGGG